TCTATTGGCTGCATTATTTAACAAGAGCTTGCATCCCTCTTCGAATAGTCTATTGGTATAAGATATGGTAAAAAAAATGATGTCCAGCAAGCTATTCTAGTCTAGCTTTTCCTGCATGGGACTCCAAGAGCTAAGGAGCATTTTTTAAGGAGAAAGGCCAGAGGAGCACAGGTGCCATGTGTATTGTTCAAGAGACATAGGCTATAAGTTAGAAGAATACTATTTATAACCAACCCATCATTAATTAGCTAAATATAAGGCTAATACTGCATTCAGTGTATTACCTGAAAGAGGTAGGCTAGGACATCTAGGGCTATATATATCAATCTACAACAGGATTATTTTAACTGAACAAAAACATAAAAGCAACATGCAATAATTTCAATGATTTTACTGAGTTACAGTTCATATAAGGAAATCAGTAAATTAAAAATAAATTAAGTAGGCCATAACCTATGGATTTCACATGGCTGGGCAGGGGCACAGCCATGGGTAGGCCTGGGAAGGCATAGGCCCACCCACTGGGGAGTCAGGCCCAGCCAATCAAAATAAGGTTTTCCCCACAAAAGGGCTTTATTACAGACCAAAATACTCCTCAGTTTAATCAGCTGTCCGGGTGACTGGTCTCAGATGATCCCACAGATGAAAAAGCCGGATGCTGGCGTGGTTACACGTGGTCTGCGGTTGTAAGGCCAGTTGGACGTACTGCCAAATTCTCTGAAACAACGTTGGAGGCGGCTTATGGTAGAGAAATGAACATTCAATTATCTGGCAACAGCTCTGGGGGACATTCCTGCAGTCAGCATGCCAATTGCACTCTCCATCAAAACATGAGGCATCTGTGGCATTGTTGTGTGACAAAACTGCACATTTTAGAATGGCCTTTTATTGTCCCCAGCACAAGGTGCACCTGTGTAATGATCATGCTGTTGAATCAGCTTCTTGATATGCCACACCTGTCAGGTGGATGGATTATCTTGGCAAAGTAGAAATGCTCACTAAACGGATGTAAACAAATTTGTGCACACCATTTGAGGGAAATAAGCTTTTTGTGTGTATGGAACATTTCTGGGATCTTTTATTTCAGCTCATGAAACATGGTACCAACACTTTACATGTTATGTTTATGTTTTTGTTCAAAATATAGTTTTAGAGTTGATGGAAGAGAGAAAGACTGAGAGAGAGTGCTCATGTATGCACTGATTTAAAGCAAGGATGTTGGAGTGATAGGCTGTTTTAAACTCTGTAGCTGCAATAAAGAAATACAATCATTAGAATAAAAAAAATAAGGTGACCCCTAGAAGCCAATGGAGATGGGTAAATTAGACTGGGTCTTTATATCACTGTAGCATAGACTATGCTGCAGTAAATGCAGGCCTACCTGCCACAAGAACAAAAGTTACCATAATGAGATGATAGGTCTACATGCATTGTGAACTGCGCTCCATACTGAGATGGGCTGTCTGTCCCCACCCTGAGCGTTGATGATTTATCATCCAGAGGCTGTAGAGAAGCCAGATTTAGACATAGCATATAATTTAACAGTTCAAATAAATAATTTATTATAATTTACCGGTTTCTCGCAGTTATTTATCCCGGAAAAGGGGAATGGTTTTGGGCGGTAAATCCCGGTAAATCTCGGAAACCGGGTTCCCGCCATTCAACCCTAGTCTGGACCAGGCAACTACTGCACGCTCTGGCAACTTTGGAGACATCACAATTATTTGTTACACATCCAATATCTGCAGCCCTTGAATTGAGACTATACTTATACTCTCATTGTCTTTGGCTATTGCTTATTTTCTTGTATACAAACAAATGGAGAGTTGAGATTTATGTCTGAGAAGAGACTGCGAATAGGCTACAGAATTCAGGACAGGGCAGGCTATTTAGGCTATTTGATATTGACAGAATACATGTGTTATAACCTACATGAAACCCCGACAGCGGGCTAGGTTTTATGCCCATGAAGACCAACATCATCAAAGTTTATTTGAACTAATCTCCAGTTCCATCTGAGATGGATTCAATAGGCCTAATCAAAATAGCCCACCTATATCGAAACGTGGCAATCCAAAACCACGAATAAAGAAAATACTTCCTCCTACATTTCCCATATTAAAAGTAATGCCTAGGGGAAATTATAGCCCAGGCAACACCACCAATAAGGGCAAGTGCTCAAATGGTGTATTGTGTCATGGCTGCAGAGCTTGTTCATTGAAACAAATGAACACTTTCAAGTATACAGGTTGTAAGAGATACGATAAATATGGGAAGGCTGGGGGCAATTGTATCAGGGGGCAATTATAACACTTTGCATTTCTCCAAACAGAAAGAAGCTAATGACACACACGGTGCATGCCTATTTAGGTTCTCTCCCTGCTTGAAACGTCACAGCCAAATATCTCACTATTTGCACGTTTTAATGGGCCAATTTTTGTTTTTTATGGGTGAAAGTCGTTTTTTCAACTGGCGGTATTTTTCTTATACTGCCCTGAGCATGAATGTCCAATAATTCAAAATAGCATAATTTTAATTGGCTATATAATTGAGTCGTCCTAAATATTAAGCAGTTACACAATTCTCAAAACACTTATAGGCCTTATAGGTGCAGAATAAGTTGAAATAAAGAGAGGTATTCAAATCACTAACTCCCATCTGAATATACGTCCATATTAATGAATTATATACTCAGCAACCCGTGACCTTAGAGGCATGATCAGGAGACACTTGGGGCATGGGGAGAGGTTGTTGAATTCTTTATCGGACTTCTGTCAAAGACAGCCGTCCATTTGTCTTGCATTCATCAGGCGAATTAATTAACAAGAAATGTAAACGTTTTAATTGAATGTCAAACAGAATACACTATGCAAATGAGAGCTACAACAATTTAAGTAGGCTATAGCCTGCTTTCAAATCAAGGTTACATAAATATATAAATACTATTTTCTATAGGCCTGTTTAAATAATTAGCTTTTGTCATAGAAAATGATTAATTTTGGCAGTTAATTTATTGATCCGGGCCCCTACTCCGATGTGCTTTACTTTAGGAAGCATTAATCAATGAATGAAAACACCAATGGTCTCCTTCTGTAGGCTACGCTTTGTTCTAGAAACGATGTTGTAGCTTAATTAAAAGTCCAAGCATAGGACAATATCAATTATTTGGTCATGCTTATAGAAAACAACAACAATAGGCCTACATAATAACCATTGAATAGGCTTATAACATGAGTCTATTATATTATTTATAATTATTATAGTCATTATTATTATTATTATTATTATAAAAAATATGAATAATATCCCTTTAATCATGCAACACCAAATTAATAATCTAAGGTTCTGAATGGCTGTTAAATGTATTGATAGGTTTGAGTGCTTCAGTGAACTTGGGAGGGCTTATTAGCTCCAAACTTGCTTGATGCATAAATAACTGACTTATTCCCATGTTGTAAAGTTGAGTTTGATGATTGGAGTTGAGGTGAATAGGCCTACTGGTGTGCAAAAATAAGGGGTTGAGGTTCGAATCAGTTTTTGTGTGTATAGCCTACATGAGCTAGGCGATTCATCCCTCAAGAAATCCCTCAATCAGTCCGTTTGGTGGGCTGTGTTATTTTTCACATTCTTTTACAGTGAAATTGCGCTTTTGTAGACAAGAGTTAATTTTCAGACGATTATGTTGGTGTTTTTGTTCGTTATCAATCTACAGAGGTCTCGAGATGACAAATGGCCTTGTCAAAATCACGCCAGTCAAAACATTTTACCACCCCTCTGGAAGGAATTGTGTAAAATGCCCTACATTTAGATAGGCTATGCAGACACTGTACAAACAGTAATAACTTTCTCAAGCGCATGTGAAACGATGGGAAACACAAGGGCTGGATAACAAGTTAAAGCAACAATACCATGAGGCAGTCTATATTATCTTGAGGTGCACCTATTTATTGAATCAATCGACAAATGTCATGAAATAGGGAAAGTTGTACAGGAATACATATGCCTAAGTAGCCCTTGCGCACCTTGAACACCATTGAAAATAAAACTTTCAAAACATGATTAACAAAGGTTCATATGAAACATTAGCATAATATTTTTTTCCTTATTCATGTGGTTGAAAATAAATTAAAGGTGCATGACTGCATGCCTCAGATCACAAGTTAAATACGCACCCAAATAAGCAATATATGCTAATACTGTTGGTCATGGGCGTTATCTTTTTGAATTTCTAATTTAACTAAAAACTGTCCCACTTTCAACTCCTTCAAGCCTAAAATCCAAGAATAGTTTTGGCAAAGAGATGCGGCAATACAATTTTGGGCCAGTGTGAACTTTTTCGTCCCCTGTGTTTTATGCTGTCGTAAAACCCACGTGCCCTTGCTCTGATCCTGCGAGTGCTCAGAGGAGAGGGGGCAAGAGCGGGAGGAGACTGTATTGTACTTCAGATGTAGAGCTTGAAACAGACGCCGCGTATCCGAAGTCATACTGTTATGGTGTAGGAGTCTGGGAAATACTATTGGAATCACCTTCGAGGACCAATCCCCGTTTTCGCGCAACAGAGTAAGTCTTGCTAGATCGATGCTCCACTTGCCATTTCGTTGAAAAGAACATTCCTCTGAAAAGTAGCGGACTGTCTTCTATTGCCTTAGCGCAAGGATGAGTAGCCTATGTGATGGGAGGTTCACAGACCTGAAACGCTCATGAGGTTGACTACCATTTACATTTTAGTTTTTGTACTGTTAAATCGCTTTCGGTCAGGTCGACTCGCTGGGTTAATTTATTTTACTTTCAAAACCGATTACACATTTTCATGCAATGTGTAAACAGTGCGTAAACCGTGCTTAAAGTGCGATTGTTTGATACTTTGCAGCTTTTACATATGTTGTATGGTGTAATACTTAACTTGTTTAAAAGCAACAGCATTTGCATTCTCAACTTGTCTCTTCCAAGTAGACTAAGTTAGGCCTACTGTTTACTGTCTCCTCTAGCTCCTGTTTGAGATGCTAAAACCCGGTGACCCTAGCGGATCTGCTTTCTTGAAAGTGGACCCGACGTACATGCAACACTGGCAGCAGCTCTTCCCTCAAAGCCAGCTGAAGAATGGAGGCATTACGCAGCTGCAGCCGCCGGACAGGGTAGCTGTTCCGGTGGAAAGTCTCCGTCAGCGGCCGAACCTGATCTCCTCCACATCATCATCGTCGGCTTTAACACCTTCCTCCACATCTTCATCGACTCCATCCGTTTCATCATTGGCAGGTTTATCTCAACTATCTGTGCCACAAATTGCACTTTTTGGACAAACTCTCTGTTCCGACATTGTCTCGTCAGACAACACCAACCTCCAAGCGAAAGAACTTTGTATATCCTCCAGCTTTAAGAATGACAAAGGGTCCAGATTTAAACTGACCTCCGATGAGTTAGACTACTACCTCTACGGACAGCAGAGAATGGAGATTATCCCATTGAACAATCACACCGGCGACCACAACAATCGTATGTATGAATCCCACACACATACAGCAATCTATTCCAGTGGAAATCTTGTTTTACAGCAGTTAAAAGGTTACCACATGTTAGGCCTGTTAGAAAACGTGATTTGGCTTAATGCTCACAATTGAACAAATGAACTTCAATCATTTAAATCTCGCTCCACCCCATCACTCAAAATCAGCCTTTATGGGCTAGTATAAACTAAACTAGAGCTAGACGAGGCTTTCTATTGCCTTTTAATCGAGGGTCCTCGAGCACACCAAACTTCTGTTTTGCCTCATTAAAGTCATGCTTCTCAGCACTGACCATCAGCAGGTGCCCCGCGCTTGTGTGGGTAGCATGGGTCAATTAGGCGTATGCATGATTCACTAACTCTGATCGTCTATATTCACACTAATTTATGTATAGGCTATACCACTGATGAGCAAATATTGTCTTTTGCATGTGTTCAACTGCAGCACCACAACTTGCAAGGGCGACAAATGTAATAGCTATAGCCCATTTACAACCGTTGATATGGGCTTTAACAATAGCCTACATGGCCTTATTGGCGTATACTTTTTTAATTTATAGACAGTTAAAGGGATTCCACAAATAATCCTCTTCTGATAAATATGATAAATAAGAAATAACACTGAGCTCGTCATTGATATGCTAATATTAGGCCTTTAGGCTAAAATGTTTGTAATTAATGTAAGCTTTTATCAATTTGTTTTCTTATTAGTGCCTAATAAAACAATCCGTTTCTCTTTTCATTTTGCTAAAAGAAACAACATCACATTATTTATATGTATTATTAAATAGATTTTGAAATCAGATTTCAGTCTTCGTTCTTCATCTGTCTTTAATTTTGTTTTTCTGCTTGGAGAATTTTAGCTTTGACATTATCGGCTGGAAATAGACGTCGAGGACAACCCTCTCTATATTAAAGCGAAGTTTGAAATGGTGGTGTTTATTTAAGGTGATAAAACGGCCCATCAGCAGTAATCTCCATCGATATGTGCCACAAGGAGATGAGGGATGGGGGGACAAGCCACAATTAATTGCTGTATAGTTTTGTAGAAGAGAGTGGACTGAGTGTGGATCAGAGATCGATCTTTTCCATCGGCCGCTATTCATCATCCGAACATGGTATATGGAAGTCTCCCGGGGACAGCGAGACTGCTTTATCTACATTCGGTATTCTCTCCCCCATATTTCAAACCAATGCAATGTCGGTCATTTATAAAATAGCTGAAGTGTGTATTACACAAGGAAACATACAATTCCATGTACGTTATAATGTGTGTAAGGCCCTACTTGAGTTTAGGCTATGTGTAACCTGTTAATAGGCTAAACTGTTTTTCTAGTTCAAATCTTAGAAGCCCTAACATAGGATTTTTGGGGGTACTTGACACTTGAAGGCGATTATATTAATCCGTCTAAAAGGTGTTGGTTTGTCCTCAGGCCATTTCTCCAAATATTTTGGGCAACGTGTTGAAATTAAACTTTAGAAAAACTATCTGAGAGTGCTCTTTTTTACTGCATGACCAATGAAGCGTGTTGCTGGTGTTGTTCGGGTATTTGAATGGCTGTAACAAATGGGCAAGTAGCCTACATTTTCAAATTTGATTATTTAAATGATATTCATTACGCATTACATAGGGTACAATCTGGGAGTAGCCTACGATTCCAGTTTACTCCATTCATGTTTGTAAGACAGCCCCAATTTCTCGCCAAAATGAATAGATCAACAACATGACAACATCGGTGGGATATGTATGGTCTTGACTTGAGTTGCACACCTATTTCAGTTCCAAAAAGAAACCCCCCAGTGTCATGACTCATGCTGCTATGACAGCACACTATTCTTAAATTGATTTAGATAATGCTTTTTTATTCATTTAGTGACAGAAGCTGCAATGTTTTTCCATCCCTCTGTAAACCCAATTAGGCCTATATTTAACATAATTATGTTTGGTTATGCATAAACATTATTGTGGCCTTTAAATGAGCAATATAATCCCATTATAATTTTAAAACAAAGCAGAAGAGTTGCATGAAAATGTTGTCAAAACATTTTTGAATGGATGTCACAAAATACTTATGTTGAATGATTACTTAAAAATGTGTGTACTTCCTCCCTTCCTCCTGACCAATGACTGTCCTACCCATATATATATATATATATATATATATATATATATATATATATATATATATATATATATATAAAGTACAATAAAAAAATATATATATCAAAAACCATATTTAAAAATGCAAATAAGTTATACTTCTTACACATATATTTTTTCCCTGGTCAATGTGTTAGTACATGTTATAGTAACCCATGTGTACCATGTGAGATGAGTTGCTGGTAAACCCCCTTTACCTTCTGTGCCCTGCAGGTTGTGACATGTGTGCAGATAACCGTAACGGAGAGTGCCCCATGCATGGGCCCCTGCACTCGCTGCGGCGCTTGGTGGGGACAAGCAGTGCAGCGCCGGCCGTGCCGCCCCCAGATGTCCCTGACTGGCTGCGGGACCTGCCCCGTGAGGTGTGCCTCTGCACCAGCACTGTGCCCGGCCTTGGCTACGGCATCTGTGCCGCCCAGCGTATCCCACAGGGCACCTGGATCGGCCCCTTCGCGGGAGTCCCCCTCCTCCTGGATAAGTTGCAGTCAGGAGGGGTGCGGAACACAAGGCACTTATGGGAGGTAAGTTCATGGTTCATGATGATGAAATTAAAATTGTGCAACATCACCCCAGGTACTGTAACAGGACAGATGAGCTGGATTGGGTTGTGAAGTTTTGGACACATCCACTTGGTTCTGTCTTTAGAGTGTGGCCTCATGATATTGTTACTAGAAATGACCCTGAAGTGTTTCAGTATAGGAATAATGTCATGATGTAAGTGCCGCAAACACTGATTGAAAGGGATTCAATGTGTATACAGTTCAAGGGAGAATTCAATGTCCTGTATACTGTACTTATGAATACCTGCATTACCATTTGGCAGTATACTAATGATTTGAATCGGTTTTTGTGTGGCAAGTGAAATGGATAGATAACTCCCATGAGGTAGTGGTGATAAAGGTCACAGTTTCCTCAGCTGACCAATGATCATTCTCACCAGTTAACCACATCACCGGATATTTGAGGCTGAAAATTCAGAGCACAGGCGAAGGCCACGATACAGTGTACCTGCCAAAAGAGGTGCCCTTTAAACTAACTGACACAAATTATTATTTTCCCTAAAATCCAACATACAAAAATTACAAAGAAATGAAGTGTGATGTTTTTGAATGGCATTCGGTTTGAATGGTGTTCTATCAGTTTGTCGCTTTAATCAATTGATTTATCACTGCCAATTTTGACCACATTAAAGGGTATATATATATATATATATATATATATATATATATATATATATATATATATAGTGTATATCTGTGCAAAAATATGATCTCAAGATCTCAGGGTGTATAATTAAAGAACATTGTGGTATTTGGCCGTCATGGCTCTTCACCCACAAACTGGCTGTTGTAAAAGGCCCCTGAGGCAGAATAGAACACTATTACTGCTTATATATGTATTGTGTGACAGAGCTTTAAATACTGGCTCTGCCAGAGAGGACTGTAAAAATTCCAATAGATTAAACAGATCTGAGGTGGGTGGAGGGAAAACTCAGAAAGGGAATCCAATATTCCAATCCACCCTCGGCTGTGGGGCCTCTGTCTTCACGAAATGCAGTAAGTGTTAAACTCTCCAATCATTATTGCTAAAAAGGAAAACAGGCACCGATGTTCTCTCCTCAATAGCCGCCCTGTGTTGTCTACTCTGCACTTTTCAAGTGTCCTGCTAAGCCACTTGATGCACAATGTTCAATAAGCATATTCTTCTCTGCATTAAAATGGGATAGCATGGATTTTATAACTATTCTCTGGAAGACTGCAGCAATTATTTTGGGGAAGATGGGATTTATCTTTTTTCTAGACCCAGACTTAGCCTACTCATAAACTTAAAATCATTGTCGATGGAGAATCTCCAATAAAAATGTTTTTAGGTCTGGGAATAGACTTCATATGGTTTCAGAAAAGCAGCCCTGTGAATTCTGGAGGGTGATGTCATCATGAGTTGGAATATGCCAGGATTAAGGTCACTTATGAACTCATTATTATGTTGTATCATCTATAGGTTCTCAATATGTTCAGGTTACCCTACACAGTCCCAGATGATTGAAATACAACATTTCGCCTGTTCAATGAATAGGGCCATACAGATCTAACATATTCTTAACTTTGCAGTCAGTTTTTGTTTATATTTGAATGGATGTCATGTAAAAAAAAAAAAAAACAATGATTGAGAGGTATGCATAATAACAACAACAACATTGTCGCCACTGTTTATTTGTTCGGTTCAGTGGGAAATGTAGGCCTAACCTTGGCCATAGATTCTGTGGTTGACACATAGTGATTGTGGTTGTGCACCATTCCTATTAGAGACTCAGGAATTGAGTGACCTAATTTTACGGAACAGTAACTGAAGTTCCACACAGAGTGTCGGCATTCGACTTTCCCACAGTGTTCCCACTGGACGTGTAGCATGGTCTTGTGGTAAGACTGTCCACTCCGACGCTGGAATGTCCAGGGTTCAAGAAGGTCCCATGTGCTTGCCATAGAACATAAAGAATGGCATCTTATAACAAGATAAGAATGAAGTGATATAACTTATGCAACAACAACTACATTATAGCCATACATAAGCCATCTCCTCAAAAGGAGAAAATAATGTGAAGAATGTTGTGTATGGAGATTAAAATGAATCACTGTAGATGTGATTTAATGTGGCAAACATATTACAACAAATCTTAGAAGTTTTATGTATTCTCTAGTGGCAGCTGTACCAGAGTTAAGGTTCGTGCCGTATGCTCACTTCACAGCTTGAAATGTCGCCAATGGCTCTGTTGAATTACTATAAAAAAAAATAAAAAAAATGTTAATTGACAAGCAGGGCAGTCATGTGTGTTGGCAACGTAGAGGACACGACATCTAGTACCAGTAAGGACTTGTTAGTGAGGAAGCTGTACTGCTAAGCAGCACTGTGACGTTTGTTACAGTGGTGCCATGCCCACAGTTGCGCTCACCTCAATGGCTGGGGTCACTGTGGTGTGAGTTTAGAGGGGTGAGTATAACAGAGTTAAGATTGTGCCGTAAACTGACTCTACTGCTTGAAAGGTTGCCAATGGTGCCTTTTCAGTGGTGCAACTGGTTAGTACGTTGTCAAGCAGGGTGTTCACGTGTGTTGGCCAGGCAGAGGACACGAGATCAAGTACCGGTAAGGACTTGTGAACGAGGAAGCTGTACTGCTAAGTAGCACAGTGATGTGGCCCATGTCTGTGCCTTTGAGTTGCCTATCTCCATGAGACTCAGATACAGTAGACTTATATGACATCATTCCTTGAAACTGCACCAGTGGGTGTTCTTCGGGAATAATATGCTGCTTAGGCCACAGGCCAGGAAAATTATTTGTATTTTGCATGAGCCAGTGTGGAGGTGACATGTTTAAAGTTGGTTCACTGACTCAGAAAGCTACATAATTTGTCATTTAAGTTATTTTATGGTCCATTTCCCCTCTGATTCCTGGCCTCTGTTGTGTGAGAAAGCATGTCTACACTCTGAGAAAGAAGGGTTCCAAAAGGGTTCTTTGGCTTACCCCATAGGAGAACCCTTTTTGGTTCCAGTTAGAACCCTTTCTGGTTCCAGGTAGAACTCTTTTGGGTTTCATGTAGATCCCTCTGTGGAAATGGTTCTACATGAAACCCAAAAGAGTTCTACCTGGAACCAAAAGGGTTTTTACCTGGAACTAAAAAGGATTCTTCAAAGGGTTCTCCTATGGACACAGCCGAAGGACCCTTTTAGGTTCTAGATAGCACAATTTTTTCTAAGAGTGTATGAACAATTGTATTAGATGTATCAGGGTCTATTATCTAAACATTGACTTATTGAATGATAATTATTATGCCCTGATTTATTTTATAGTTGTAAAATGTGAGTGCTGAAACAGTTTCAAGTGAACATTTAAATGTTTTTAGTCTGTATGTCAGCAGACAATTCTTCTTGGTTGGGTTTTTAAAGGTCCAGTGTAGCTGTTTTTATCTCAATATCAAATCATTTCTGGGTAACTATTAAGTGCCAAAACTCCATCCCACCAAAACAGTGTGAAATTTCATGTAGTCTTTTCAAACAGCTCTTACACTAAAAGGGCATTATCATAATTTTCACAATTTTACAGTATTATTCCAACCTCATAGTGTGGAAATATATATAAAACACAGGAAAATCACGTTTTTGACTGCACTGGGCCTTTAATGATTTATTAAGATTAAGATGAAAATCACTTTATCGCTCAATTGCACACAAGATCCAACTGAAATGTATGGTTTCCTAATCCAATATTTAAATACTTATCTGTCACATCATACCATACTGTAGCAGGTAGCTGACTTTGCTTCACTTTTACAGTGTATGTATCAGTAGAGGCTGGTGGGAGGAGCTATAGAAGGACGGGCTCATTGTAATGGCTGGAATGGAATTAATGGAACAGAGTTCTACCTGTCTTTGATACTGTTCCATTTATTCCATTCCAGCCTTTACAATGAGCCCGTCCTCCTATAGCTACTCCCACCAGCCTCCTCTGGTATGTATATGAGATATACAGTGCTTTCGGAAAATATTCAGACCCATTGACTTTTTCCACATTTTGTTACGTTTACTGCCTTATTCTAAAAGGGATTAAATAAATAAAAATCCTCAGCAATCTACACACAATACTCCATAATGACTAAGCAAAAAAAGGTTTTTAGAAACAGAAATACCTTATTTACATAAGTATTCAGACCCTTTGCTATGAGACTCGAAATTGAGCTCAGGTGCATCCTGTTTCCATTGATCATCCTTGAGATGTTTCTACAACTTGATTGGAGTCCACCTGTGGTAAATTCAATTGACTGGACATGATTTGGAAAGGCACACACCTGTCTATATAAGGTCCCACAGTTGACAGTGCATGTCAGAGCAAAAACCAAGCCTTGAGGTCGAAGGAATAGTCTGTAGAGCTCAGACAGTATTGTGTCGAGGCACAGATCTGGGGAAGGGTACAAAAAAAGATCTGCAGCATTGAAGGTCCCCAAGAACACAGTAGCCTCCATCATTCTTAAATGGAAGAAGTTTGGAACCACAAAGTCTCTTCCTAGAGCTGGCCACCCGGCCAAACTGAGCAATCGGGGGAGAAGGGCCTTGGTCAGGGAGGTGACGAGAACCCGATGGTCACTCTGACAGAGCTCTAGAATTCCTCTGTGGAGATGGGAGAACCTTCCAGAAGGACAACCATCTCTGCAGCACTCCACCAATCAGGCCTTTATGGTAGAGTAGCCAGACGGAAGCCACTCCTCAGTAAAAGGCACCTAAAGACTCTCAGACCATGAAAAACAAGATTCTCTGGTCTGATGAAACCAAGATTGAACTCTTTGGCCTGAATGTCAAGCGTCAAGTCTGGTGGAAACCTGGCACAATCCCTACGGTGAAGCATGGTGGTGGCACAATCATGCTGTGGGGATGTTTTTCAGCGGCAGGGACTGGGAGACTAGTCAGAATCTAGGCAAAGATGAACGGAGCAAAGTACAGAGAGATCCTTAATGAAAACCTGCTCCAGAGCACTCAGGACCTCAGACTGGGGTGAAGGTTCACCTTCCAACAGGACAACGACCCTAAGCACACAGCCAAGACAATGCAAGAGTGACTTCGGGACAAGTCTCTGAATGTCCTTGAGTGGCCCAGCCAGAGCCCGGACTTGATCCCGATCAAACATCTCTGGAGAGACCTGAAAATAGCTGTGCAGCAACGCTTCCATCCAACCTGACAGAGCTTGAGAGGATCAGCAGAGGGAATGGGAGAAACTCCCCAAATACAGGTGTGCCAAGCTTGTAGCGTCATACCCAAGAAGACTCAATGCTGTAATCGCTGCCAAAGGTGCTTCAACAAAGTACTGAGTAAAGGGTCTGGATACTTATGTAAATGTAATATTTCCGTTTTTTATTTTTAATAAAATAGCATAAAATGTATAAAAACTAGTTTTTGCTTTGTCATTATGAGGTATTGTGTCTAGATTGATGGGGGGGGGGGGGGGGGGACGGGACTATTTAATCAATTTTAGAATAAGGCTGTAACGTAACGTATTCATACCCCTTGACTTTTTCCACATTTTGTTGTGTTACAGCCTGAATTTAGAATTGATTAAATTTAGATATTTGTTTTGTTTCCAATAATATCAAAGTGGAATTATGTATGTATTTTTTTGTTTTACAAATGAATTACTAATGAACAGCTAAAATGTATTTTCAGTAAGTATTCAGCCTGTTTGTTATGGCAAGCCTAAATTAATTCAGGAGTAAAAATGTGCTTAACAAGTCACATAATAAGATCCATGGACTCTGTGTGCAATAATAGTGTTTAATATGATTTCTGAATGACTACCTCATCTCTGTACCCCACACATGCAATTATATGTAAGGTCCCTCAGTCGAGCAGTGAATTTCAACCACAAAGAGCAGGGAGGTTTTCCAATGCCTCGCAAAGAAGGGCACTTATTGGTAGATGGGTAAGGCGTACATTACTGATAAATTAGAATGAATACGTGCAGTAGTTTGTTATACTATAGGTACTGAATGTATGGCATTGTTGCAATCTGTGTCTGTGTCCTCTGATCACTTTCAGGGCAGTGAGCTGGAATAACAAGTAGTGGAGATTAAGAGAACTGATAAATGACTGAACTTACATTGATTTGCTGTAAAAGTGGACCAACAGTCATTGATTAAGCACCAGTTTTTCACTTATTTTGGAAAAGGCCCATGCTAGGTAGATTATGGAAGGTTTCGAGGAAAGGTAAGCAGATCCACTGCACTCACCTTAAGTGGAGAGTAAACGTAACATTTTAAATTATAATCTAACAGTATCACTGAGACTGCTTTTACTTAGCAGCCAGTGTGAAGCCCAGTAACAACTTAGGTTCACATAGTATTTGCCATCACCAAGAGAGAGCAATAACCATGAAAAAATCTGTTAAACCTAATCACTGATGGCCCTATATGAAACATGAAAACTAACTATCATGTAATGTTCAAATTCAGTTTATATTCCACTGCACCTGCAATCTCAACCAGGGGTTTGGTAAGGTGTTGGTATTTTTGTTTTGTGACATTTTAAAGCTGCCACGATATGTGTATTGATGCTCTTTTATACTGTAGCTACCTACCTCTGCGGGATCTATTTGTGGCATATGTTAGTGTGATAGTCACATCGAAAAGTCCTTAACCCTAATTCAACAGCCATTTTCTCTGGGTGAGGGCATGATGACAGATTTGAGTTGTCTCTGCCTTTATACCTCTGCCATTAATTACATTGAGTGAGCTTAAAGAGATGTTCCAGAACTTTTGTATACTGTTTTGCCAGTAGTTCTGAAATTAGCCCTCACGAGCCAAAAGTGGTCCCAGAAAATTGCGTCCTACGTCACATATGTGGAGATATATGCACCACGCCATTGCTCGCTCTCTCTCTCTGCTGTGTGTACATGTGCATGGAGTTTCCACTGAGCCGTTGGGCCTGCCCTGCAACCTCATTGGATAATGCTGGGCAGGCCTGGGCCAGCCTTCTTCTTTCACTGTGCAACCTCATTGGACCTGATCACATGATTGTGCCTTCTCTGGAAAAAACAAATGTCATGCATGTAGCTCTCTCATGCACTCACTCACTCCCTCAAGCCAGCCATAAAGGAAGGTTGCTCCAGCCATAATTGTGCTAAACATGTAGCTAGGATGCTATTGATACTTATGATGTCATGCCCAAGAAGAGAAAACTAGATCTAGATATCGAATGGCAGGGCCGCTCATGAAAGACAAAGGCAGAAAAATTATAGATATCGGATGCTTTTCCGAGATGGCCTCAAGGAAGAGAAACACTGTTGCCTCATCCAGTGTTGGACATCCATAAAAGTAATCTTCTGTCGAAAGGTAAGAGACTAAGCTTTAGCATTTGAAACAATGTTGATATTTTATTCAGTGAGAAGCGTATTTTGAGTGTTTGTGTAAAGAGGAACTGGTCTGTGTCTCCGTTAGCTAGGCTAGCCAACAGTCTGTCTGTGTCATAGTATGCTTTCAAAGGTAACGTAGCAAGCTAGCTAGCTAGCTGTCATGGTAAATGCATATTAGAGAACATCATACTGTCCGTCTAGCCAACTAAAACACATTTGAAAACATGAAATCACTCTACTAATGTATGTTGTGTTTTTTTGTAGCTGCATATAATCTCTCGTTGACTGGCTATAAGGGTAGAAATTGTTGTTGTTTGTAGCTACCAGTGTATAGCTAGCAGGCTAAGTGGCTAGGCTAACTGCTAGTCTGTAACTATATGAAACAGTAGGTTTCGGTGCTAGCTATATTGTTATTATTAGGCTATACCATAGAGAATGATAGAGGCCTCTAGTGGCCAAAAGGCTGTTTTAGCATGGGCAGCACCATTGAGGGCTTCCACCACTTTAATGCTATCAACTTGGTGGGACTTCCAACTTCATTGGCTGATCCCTCCTGATGACTCATGTCCAACCAGGTCATCAGGAGGAATCAGCCAATAGTGAAGAAGAAAATGTACTACTTAAAAAGGGAGATTGCCTCAATGGTGCTGCCCTGTCAGAGACGCTATAATGGCACAGATACAAAGATGAGTCCTCTATCTATCTCTATGGGCTATACCTAGTACAGGAAGGGCTGAAAAGTCTAAAACCTTTTCACTCTCTGCAGCTCGATTTCATATTTTGATCTGCTGCCTAGTTGAAGCCAAGGCCCTGATGCAGTGTCAGTGTGTTACTTTGACTTTTTAGTATCCTTTGTAAGTAATATGATCATTTTCCAGACAATAATTCCTGATAGAAGAACAAGGAATATCAGAGCTGGGTTCAGACATGCCAGATGATCAAGCATGCAAGAGGCCCTTGGCATCAGGTAAGGTTTGATTTGTACTAGCTGTCATTTGTTGATGGAATGTTTCCCATGTTATGTGTGTCATATATGGACTCTGAAGAATTAGATCGCTCCCGAGTGGCGCAGCGGTCTAAGGCACTGCACCTCAGTGCTTGAGGTGTCACTACAGACCCCCTGGTTCGATTCCAGGCTGTATTACAACCGGCCGTGATTGGGCGGCGCACAATTGGCCCAGCGTCGTCCCGGTTTGGCCGGTGTAGGCCGCCATTGTAAATAAGAATTTGTTCTTAACTGACTTGCCTAGTTAAATAAAGATAAAACATGTAAAGGCCTAGCTTCATCATGTTCTGGCCATTTACCCTGTTGGGTTTTCTATTTGAAGAATGGGCAAGATGAATATTGCTGATGAGGATGATGGCAGTTTGAATGAGGATGAGATCAACGACATTCACAACAGCATGTAATTATTACTGTGCGCTGTTCCCTGTAATGTAGCTACATTACAAATGTTTTGTGTAAAACTAGAGTACTGTGAGAAGCATCACATAAGCATGCATGTAGGTCATGTGATGAATTGGCATCAACACTCTTATGGTCTGTAAGGAATATGTCTCTCTGGATTCTGCCCTGTGGAATAACAAGTAGGTTGATGGCTAGGATGATGGTTCCAGCAGTTTACAAACAATAGGTCTGACCCATCAGGGAGTTTACCTGTTAGGCCAAACATGTTGTTTGTAAATGGCTGGAACCATCTCCCTAGACGGCCATATACCTGCCTGTTGTTCCATACCGACAATTTGCAGTTGTACACATTACAATACAGTGTAGCCTATTGTCAGCTGATGCAAAGCCTCTTTTAAATAATAGCTGTCTCTAATTGAGGTTATATGATGACTCATCATTGATTCTATAGAAGTGACAGCAGTGTAGCGTTTACTTGACTCATCTATGTTTTCAGCATGGCATGGGCTGATGACAACTGTGAGGAGAACTCTGAGGAAATTGAAGATGATGCTGAGATTGTGAGCGGTTTTAAAGTGATTGATCATATCACACAAACGTCAAATCCACTAACACACGCATGGCCAAATCTACTTTAGAGTTCACATGAGCAAAGGACTAGGTTTGAGAACAGAACCAGAATATCTACATGTTTACATGTTGGTAAACCAGGTGCACAGCTTTATGTTCATGACTGACACTGTGTGCAAATTCCCACTCTTAATGTCATAAAGTTTTGAATAGCTCTGCATGAATTAATTTATTGTGTTTGACATGTAACCCATTTCTGTATGCTAAAGTCATTTTGTATCTGCAGGAGATGGACATCAGCAGTCATGACCCACCAGTCCCACATCCACCACACCTTGACCTTCCTGTGCCCTTCCTTCCTGTGGCCTTCCTTCCTGTGGCCTTCCTTCCTGTGGCCTTCCTTTCTGTGGCCTCGGCAATCCCCTTACCACACTCGAGATGCAATCATGGAGCAAGAAGCATATTATGTAAAACGATGTATAAATGTAAATACTATTCACACAGACTGGAACTTTATTTTTTTTAAACAACCAGTGGACTTCTGAACTTTACAAATAACAAATCAATTCACACATAAACAAATGTCAACATGGATTTTCATAAGACACCTAGACGTCTATAAAGCTTTGGCTGCAGTAAGCTCTAATAACCTTGTAATGTCCCATATGAAAATGATTTATACACATTTATAAAGGCCAATCATATGATTATGGCCTACTTCCTATAACACACAACACATATTATTCTTATACAATTCCTGTGTTTCTCACATATGTGACAATATATACTGCCAACATGTAGTTCTGTATTTTGTGTATGAATGTGGCCTACTTCATCTAAGACATAAAGTCCACTTATGTTAGTTACATGTTTCAGCAGTACCCATATAAGAATACTTTTGATTCATAGAGACCCTTTCGAATGTGCCATACGTGGCACAGTTATACAGGTGTAACAGAATGGGCTATTGTGCTAGAAAATGTTTAATAGGTTACTGGAATTATATTGAGTATTGTTTATTCATGCTATCGATTATCCCTGTATTAGAGTGGGAAAGAGAGCTATGTTCAGAAGTTATGCATTTTTATAATAAATGAGTCCTATGAAATATCCATTGACATTTTGCATGCTGAGCGCTATTGCAAATGCACCTCGTACTGTGTCATCATTTGCTCCCGCATTCTCTCGGTCGTCGGCCCTAGAGCATCTTTTCGCTGCTCGACTTCGACACTGGGCAGCTCGAGCCTGGCCCTGGGTGCACGCACCTTGCACAGCCTATCCTCGTCCTCCTCTCATCCGTGGACCATGTCCTCTTCCTCGGCTATTCTGATGACGAGCAACACATTGTATATGTTGATTGTCAATATGGGAAGCTACAAATAGACTTATGATTTTCAGATTAAATATTTTAAAGGTAAGTAATAAAAAGTAATTACTGAAGTTATGAACGGGTACTGCTAATCCTGTAGCTTTATCAGTAGAATATTTGCATTAGCTACATATGCACGATGTGGAGTATTTTCCTTTCTCTTTCTTTTTCGATTCTAGTTTGATAAGCTAGCTATAGCCAGAGCCATGTATTTTGTGTTTCTAAATACATGGCTCTATATATGGCTCTGGCTATAGCTAACAAGCTAGCCTAGCTCGACTAACAACCGGCGATGTTGTCATAAAATACATCAGTTCATAAATCAGTGTTCATAAAAACACTATGCATAGCTTGTATACCTTGCCTCTTCAGCTGACATGTCGAAAATATGGTATTTGTTTACACAATTCATGTGACAACTCTGTTAGCTAACTACTGTCGGTCTCTCGTCAATGTGCATCTTGCTAGCTGTCACTCAAATGATGAGGGGCTGAAGCTAATTGGCTGGAACTAGCATTGCTAGGGGGCTGGCCCACGTGGGCCAAGCTTGAAGTATGTCACCAAAATGTGCGTAGATTCCCTGAATAGGGAAATAGTGCCACACAGCTTCCAGAAAACAGTCGCTTTCAAACACATTGACACATCCAGCCCAAAGCGGGAGGTTTAAAAAATACGCCAAAGTTCCGGAACATCTCTTTAATCGTCTGTGTTACTACCACTGGCACAATAAATGGTTATTTCAGTGTATCATCATCCTTTGGTAATAATGCTAAATGGTAATTATAGCTAAATGGTAATTATGGCAATTATTGAATGAGTGGTTTGGCCTTGAACTGCACACAATCCAATGAACTGAAAATGAAAATGAGCATGATCACTTTAGGTGTGTTTACACCATTGAACCGATACAGTGCGGCTCGACTATCTCATTTGAAGCATCAATCATACGGAGCATAACTGATCCACGTAACCCATTTACATGCCAGCATCGCTTGGGACATGGCCGTTAAGTGTTTCTGCAGATAAGAAACCAAATTCCATTAGCCAGGGTGTGTGTGCACATGTGTGAGTGGTGGTGGTGGGTAATCCTGCCTGCTTGGGGTCTGTGCTATCCCTGAGTGGGCTGGGTGGGACTCTCCCCAGCTCCCAGCCCCCGTCTAATGGCTTCGGCGGCTGATTTACTTGCTGTAATAAGGCCAGGAGGTCAAACGACTATCAGGCAGCCTTTGGGGTTGCTCCTCTAGCAAGGCATCGACACACAGCTGTTCCAGGACGATTTACAGCCCGGACAGTGACAGGGCCCAATCAGCGCGCCGTAAATGTCGGCCCAGGGAGATTGAGCAGTAACTAAAGCAGTGACAGGACACTGGGAGACAGATCAATGGCTGAGGGGCCACTGAGAACTAACTGTAAGCCACAGCACCTTCTTACCGGACTCAGGAAAAGTAAACATGAGGACCATAAATGGGTGTTATATGTTCTTGGATATCTTACACGTTATTGGATATCTGACTTCCTCTTCTGAACATTTACTGTATGTCATTATCCCCATCCTCAACGCTCCATCGTTATCATATATGGTACGTATATAGTACTACTAGAGTATAGTACTTCTAGTTACAAAGAAATCATTATTATGTTTTCTTTTCTGCAATTAAAATCAGTTCTGTGTGGCGCCTGGAGAATTTGACATAGGACATCGGTCTCCATTTACTGACAGGGGTCATTCCACGAAATGAGTGCCTTTTGATATTTTAAGTAGAAATTGTGCACCAATATTGAATTGTAAAAGCCTGTTATATTAAATGAAGTGCCCTTTAATATAGACCACATGGAGAATTCAAAACATCAGATTTGAATATGAAAAATCGCTCGTTAAAGTGCCATAATTCTTCATTTTGACATATCCCTCCGTCAACCCTGTGTCACTTCTAGGAAGATTTTAACCCACTTAATCCCTAAATTTCTCCAAGTTTCACCATCAATGTAAAGCCCTAGTTATTTTGTTGCTTTGACAAAGTCGTTTCTAAAGATTATTTTTATTTCATGTGATTAGTGATTAATTTACATCTGTCCCTAATTTTAAGGTCAACCCTGTTACATGAACTGAACTCTCGTTTTAATATGGTGAAACTATTCCTTTTTAAATATTATTTTCAAAAGAAACATGTATCTAATAGTCAAATCATAGAGTAAAAGCAGGTGAGCTGGTTCTACATGTCAATCATAGATAGACAGGCTAGAAATGTTTTAACAATTACATTTATTTTGTTAAGCTTGTATTCAATTGCCACTCGCTGTTGCACACAACAACCTTCCATCCCCCGTGTCACAATTTAAGAAGAAATTGTCAACCCTGTTACAGTCAACCTGTTATTTTATTTGGCACTTAATAGGCACTTACTATAGTCCTTTTTAGATACCATGCAGATTTTTGAGTAGGCTATTTACTTTATATTTCAGTTTTATTGTAATTATGATATCGTTATACCAACACAGGACATATTATGGTATTGACATTTACATTTACATTTACGTCATTTAGCAGACGCTCTTATCCATGGCAAGACATGGCAGTTATTGTCTGTCTCTTGATCATGGTGTAGCTAAATTTCGTCCACTTGGCTTTGAAATGATTTGTTTGTTAACTAAACACAGTCGACAGAGGGGTGTGAATAACAAAAGAACGAAAAGCTCTTCTGCTCCATTTTACGGTTTATCTTTATTTCTCCTTTATTTGCTCAACACATCAGTAAAATCCCAATCCCACAACAACACATACAAACAACTCCCTTTGCTTACAGGACATTAGAAGTTATTGTAAAGCGGCCATTAAAATGCTGTATGCAGAGATTTATAAATTAGGCAATTTCCTTGATTATTGCAATCATTTACAAAATTGATTGCTCCAGTGAGCTATAGACAGATTTCAGCAATGCTATTGACAGGGTTCACCTCCGTAATAAACAGGCCGCTCCTCAATAAAGTGAGATGTCACTACGCCAGGGCTTGTTTAGCATGCAGAGAAAACACAAGGTCACGTATGCAGGGAAATGTATAATAATGGAGGGGCTGAACTGTTGACATTGAGAGCATACAGAGGGTAAGTCATAGGCTGTGGTGTTTATTGGACATGATGGGGAGAAATACAATGGGGTGCGTGTGTGTGTGTGTGTGTGTGTGTGTGTGTGTGTGTGTGTGTTGTGCTGTCAGATCCTGCAGGGAAAAAAATACACAAAACGGGAGGGAAAACTGCTTGAGATGCTAAATGCTGTTTTCACTGATGTCGAGTTTGCAGACACACACTTTGCCTTTGCTTTGCATTTGTAACCCTCTGTGTAGATTAGACTACAATGAGGGCTATCAATCAGAGTGTGTTTTCTGGGCTGCCCTGTCGTATATGGGTCATTCCACCAATTCGGTGCCTTTTGAGAAGTGTGACTTGGTCAAAAACCGTAACAGGGTACCGATTTCTTCTTAAACCAGTCATCAATCCTCTTGTGACAGGGGTAATGGAAGCTTGTTGTGTGCAACAGGGAGTGGTAATTTAATACAAGCTTCAGATGTTTTATTTTTTTAATGTTTAGCCTGTCTATCTATGGGTAACAGGGTTGACGTGTTATGTTCGACCTGAACAGTTTTTCACCACAAAACACCAGAAAATTGCCAAAAAGAGAAGAACCAGATCACCTGCTATTACTGTATGATTTGACTATTATACTGAACAAAAATATAAACGCAACATGCAACAGATTTTACTGAGTTACAGTTCATATAAGGAAATCAGTCAATTTAAATAAATAGATTAAGCCCTAATCTATGGATTTTAAGATACCTTAAATAAAAAGGTAGGGGCGTGGATCAGAAAACCAGTCAGTATCTGGTGTGACCATCATTTGCCTCATGCAGCGCGACACATCTCCTTCGCATAAAGATGATCAGGCTGTTGATTGTGGCCTGTGGAATGTTGTCCCACTCCTCTTCAATGGCTGTGCAAAGTTGCTGGATATTGGCGGGAACTGGAACACGCTGTCGTACACGTCGATCCAGAGCATCCCAAACATGCTCAATGGGTGTCATGTCTGATGAGTATGCAGGCCATGGAAGAACTGGGACATTTTCAGCTTCCGGGAATTGTGTAAAGATCCTTGAATCATGGGGCTTTGCATTATCATGCTGAAACATGAGGTGATGGCGGCGGATGAATGGCACGACAATGGGCCTCAGGATCTCAACACGGTATCTCTGTGCATTCAAATTGCCATCGATAAAATGCAATTGTGTTCGTTGTCCGTAGCTTATGCCTGCCCATACCATAACCCCATTGCCACCATGGGGCACTCTGTTCACAATGTTGACATCAGCAAACTGCTCGCCCACACAATGCCATACACATGGTCTGTGGTTGTGAGGCCTGTTGGACATACTGCCAAATTCTCTAAAACGACGTTGGAGGCAGCTTATGGTAGATAAATGAACAATTCATTATCTGGCAACAGCTCTGGTGTTGTGTGACAAAACGGCACATTTTGAAGTGGCCTTTTATTGTCCCCAGCACAAGGTGCACCTGTGTAATGATCATGCTGTTTAATCAGCTTCTTGATATGCCACACCTGTCAGGTGGATGGATAATCTTGGCAAAGGAGAAATGCTCACTAACATGCTCACTTTTTGTGCATATGGAACATTTCTGTTATCTTTTATTTCAGCTCATGAAACATGGGACCAACACATTTACATTTTAGTCATTTAGCAGACGCTCTTATCCAGAGCGACTTACAGTTAGTGAGTGCATACATTATATATATATATATTTTTTTTTCATACTGGTCCCCCGTGGGAATCGAACCCACAACCCTGGCGTTGCAAACGCCATGCTCTACCAACTGAGCTACATCCCAACACTTTACATGTTGAGTTTATATTTTTGTTGTGTAGATGATGTTCAATGTTTCTTTAGACATTGTTTTTGGAATAGTTTCACCATATTAAAATGAGAGTGCAGTTCACATAACAGGGTTGATCTTAAAATGAGGGACAGACGTAAATGAATCACTAATCACAGGAAATAAAACATTATCTTCAGAAATGACTTTGTCAAAGCAACAAATGATGGTGAAATTTGGGATTTAAGTGGGTTAAAATCTCTGTAGAAGTTACACATGGTTGATGGAGGGACATGTAAAAATTAGTAATTTTGGCACTTTAGCAAAACTTCTTTCACATTCAAAATCAGATGTATTGAATTTTCCATGTGGTCTATATTAAAGGGCACTTCATTTAATATAACAGGCTTTTAAAATTCAATATTGGTGCACAATTTCTACTGAAAATATCAAAGGGATGCAAAAGGACACATTTTGTGGAACGACCCATATTACTCTATGTGGAGGTAATTGGGACCTAATACGTACTGTAGGGATCAGTGGCTTCACAAATGTGTTCCAATGTACTTTAGATAGAAGTTCATAAAGCCTTCTTAATGCATGTTATGCATTTCCAACGTGTCGTACATAAATATTGTGTTGTCATGTGTTATGTCAAATCCATTGTCACATGAAGGCCAGAAAAAAATATCATGCATCATTTTGGGACAACACTATGCACATGTTGTCAATCATTATATTTTCATGCGACCTTATGATTTTTTTAGTCCAGGCACAATATGGATAATTTTTTGTGCTGACAGCACTCCATGTGTTTGTTATCAGCCTAATATAACACGTTGGAACAACATGACCCGAGACTCAGCAGCGCTGATAGCAGGATGGAATACAAATGTATCTATCATCTCAAAAGGAGTGAAAAACGATTCCACTCCAAAAGATATTTGGATACTGCAAAGCAAACACAAAAAATGATCAACATAAATATCACATCTGTAAACATCACTTGCTGTTGTCCAGCTGGACAGAATAAAATGAGAAAAAAATACCCATATAACAGTGAGAATATTTCTCAGTCAGAAAGACGGACGAGGACTTATTTCTCCCTGGATTTGGGAAGAGGAGCTTGTACTCAGCGGGAAAGCCTGGAAAATCTCCAGCATCAAAGGGGCTGGATCAGACGAGTCAAACAGTGTGCTGCTCCACAGGCCAGGGAAATGAATGGCCTGTCAGGACTTTTTCAAGTGGACCCCCAAAAAAAAAATGTTGGGGTGCAGTGAAGGGTTCAGTGGCTGCTGCTTGTGATCACAGCACAGGCTCTGTTGATGAGAGGCTGCTCTCCTCACTGCTTCATCGGCCTGTGGGATCTATAAGCACTATAGTACAGATGCCAGGCTGGCTTCTCCATCCAAATAGGATTTTTTAAATGTCACTTTTTCATCCTGCTTCTTTCCAAATAACAATAACCTGATGTTGAATGTCAGTACATTCTGTTCCCATTGCAAAATACGATTTTTTTGTAAATCGGAGGTGATTTTTCCCAAATATTCCCAACTCCATGACTGCTGTATGGCAGTGATATGACATTGATTCAGCAATTTCTTTATCCTTTATTTTTGTATTACGGGAAATTACCAAATGTAAGATTCCACTTTCTATTTCCCATCACACCTTGTCTATTATTAAGTGCTCACCACTTAGTTTAAATTGTGACTCAGTCCAGATTTGAGGATTTTTTTTTTTTTAATGTCAGCTGTTGGATAGAAAAAAGGAACTAAGTAAATAAATGTATAATTTATACCATTTTCTTAACAATTTCTTAACCTCTCTCTACAGTGCACAATCATCTCTTGTTTCTTTGTCTCAAGATGGACATGATCATTTAGATAAAGCAGCTGGAGGACCTGTCTTGTACTTGTGTAACAAATAGCTCCAGTGTAAGTCATGTCTTAAAGGGAAAGTTCACCCAAATTAGAAAATTACTATTGGTTTCCTTGCCATGTAAAGGTGTGACAGCAGTATGAAAAAAATATTTATGCACTCACTAACTGTAAGTCGCTCTGGATAAGAGCATCTGCTAAATGACTAAAATGTAAATGTAAATGTAATCCATTGCTTTGGTTTATTTTCTCGAGCACTGTTTCCACATGCTAACGTTTTAGCATTTGTGGCACAAATCTCATTCAAGTCAATGGACCGATATTAGCATTTTTCACGCATCATGTTCAAATGATCTATAAGTGACTTTGTTGAGGTTCACAATCAATTTGACATACTTTCGGATGATTTTGACATGTTGCGCAAAACATGCTAATATAAAATGCTAAAATGTTAGCATGTGGAAACAGTGCCAGGGAAACTAGATTGCTTACAGGGTAAGGAAACCAATATGTAATTTTGTAATTTGGGTGAACTATCCCTTCAAGTATTCTATCATGCTGTCAAAGCCGGAGATGGTTCACCAGAAAAGCCACAAGGATAAGAATGGAAAGGGATAAGGAAGGGGAATCACTGCCGACAAACTAGATGTCAGAGATTCAATGGGGTCAGTGGGGTCTTGAAATCTCATCCATTTAGCTGGTGGCCAGTGACAAGGCTCGAATCCCCCTACTGCCTAGATGCAAACTGAATGAACTGCGACAGGGATAAAGCTGTTTTATACATTTCTAAGAGTAGGACATTGTACATCACTATTGTCCATGATTATCCCTGACAAAAATATATTACAAAATAAAGAATTAAAATGTTTAATTCAGAAATTATTATATTGCTTAGCTACGGTCCTTACATCTTTTATTTCTGTCTCTATTTTTTCACTTCAATGTACTTATTAGTCAACCAGCTTTTCCGATATGTGCAGATTTTTTGCCATAAACATGATGAAATGGCCAAATAAATATATATTGTTTTCTCATTGTGTGGCTATTTCAGACTGGTTGGTTGATATACAGTGACTGATATTGGGGGCACATATGTTAACACAGCTTTAAGTGAAAGTGAGAGTGAGAAGCCCCGTTTATACCTGGTGCTAACCTGCATCCTTTGTCCTGATCTTGTCCACATTCTGATTGTACCCACATGTTCAGATATGCATCTACACATGGTATTAAAATGTGTCTCTTATCTGTCCCCTGTGTCCACATTGTGACCAGATTTCCTGGTCCCCTCCCTGTATGCAAATGATTTGACGGATATTCTTTAAAAATATTATGTATTTATTTAAAGACACATATCGATGTCATAAGTCAATGGTACCACCTGTCAATTACTTTAGAAGTGATCGTGATGATGATTTAAATTGTTTCACTGTCCAAATGTTGTATTATTGTCACACACCGGATAGGTGCAGTGAAATGTTTATATTTGTATTATTACAGGCTCAGCCATAGTAGTACAGCACATCTGGAGCAAATTAGGGTTAAGTGCCTTGCTCAAGGGCACACAGAACGATTTTTCACTTTGTCGGCTTAGGTATTCGAACGCTCTAATCCACGTGTCAAACTCATTCCCCGGAGGGCTGAGTCTGCGGGTTTTCGCTCCTCCCTTGGACTTGATCGATGAATTAAGGTCACTGATTAGTAAAGAACTGCCTCACCTGGTTATCTTGGTCTTAATTGAAAGGAAAAAACAAAAACCAGCAGACACTAGGCCCTCCATGGAATGAGTTTGACACCCCTGCTCTAACCACTAGACTACCTGCTGCCCTATGTCTACACTTGTGAGATATCCAGACACAATGCGTGCCTGACTACCTCCGGAGGTGGGCAGGAAGATCACAATCAGATCATTGTCTACACCTGTCTACAAATGTGGGCACAATCAGCACAAAGGACGCATGTTAGAACCTGGTATAAATGGGGCTAGAGCGAGGAAGGAAAGGAAGCCACTAAAATATTTGAAACCAAAATTGTATGCCATCCTTTTAAAGATGGAATCCGCAGTAGGTGGGAAAAGCGCCACTGTCCGCCCCATGGCCGGTGTTATTTTTTACAAAGCAGAGGTGGGGGTAAAACTAATTTCATTATTTATGCTGCTGTTCTATCGCACGCGCAATGATGTCAGAGGGGAAAAAAACGGTTTGTTGTTTGCAGTAACTTTGTTTTAATATCGCAAACTGACATGGCAGTTTCACCATTAAAGAGTCCATCTTTAACTCACATCATCAACTTTAGATGCTGTTAACCTAGGGCAAATCATTTTCATACTTATACGATACTCTAGGGCAGGGCTCTCCAACCCTGTTCCTGGAGAGCTACCCTCCTGTAGGTTTTTGCTTCAACCCCAGTTGTAACTAACCTGATTCAGATTAGAATGAGTGTGTTAGGTTAGGGTTGGAGTGAAAATCTATAGGACGGTAGCTCTCCAGGAACAAGGTTGGAGAGCCCTGCTCTAGGGCGAATCATTTTCATACTTATACAATGCTCTCACATGTACACTGTTTACATTTTACAACAACTTGTGGAGCTTGGCAGTCCATCACATTCCTAATTCCTGTGTGCGTCATTGTTGAAAGTTGTGTAGATAACGATTAAAGGGTGCTTTAATGAATCATGTTTGTTGTGTATCTTTAGGAAGACTAACTACATAAACCCCCATTGCTTTCCAGATCTATGACCAGGAAGGGACGTTACAGCACTTTATTGACGGCAACGAGCCGAGCAAGTCGAGCTGGATGAGATACATCCGCTGTGCACGACACTGTGGCGAGCAAAACATGATGGTGGTCCAGTACAGGTAAAGACTGCATGGAATGTGGGTGGGGAAGTACCATGTTAGTTCCACCAGGAATTGAATTTGAATTTAATCATTTAGAATTTGGATTAACATTAATATTACTCCATACCATGTAGGCCCAACTGTGAGTAGAGCATGTGATCAACACAATATATTCAGGCATAAAGTATATTCACACTGCAAATTTGACACTGTCAGCTGTAGTCTATGCAGGCATACCATACAGATGCCATATCTTAATTTGATCATCATGTTGCAGGAATTTTCCTGCACAGCTGGGAATTCAAGCTTGTAGTGTATTTGAGGTTTAAAAAGGCTCCTAAAGTTTGTAATTTCCACTTAAAAATGTCAGACTTGATTTGCCCTAACAAAAAATTTATCAACCCCTACAAACATAATTATAATTCACATTTCCTGTTGGATTATTTTCCTGCTGTGAGAAACTGGGTCAAATTAAGATTCGGCATCTGTAGATAGTGTGCGTGTGTATGTTATGTATGTATGTATGTAATGTATGTATGTATGTATATATTTGTATGTATATATATATATAAATATGTATATGTATATATATATACATTTCCGTACATACAGTGGGGAAAATAAGTATTTAGTCAGCCACCAATTGTGCAAGTTCTCCCACTTAAAAAGATGAGAGAGGCCTGTAATTTTCATCATAGGTACACGTCAACTATGACAGACAAATTGAGAAAAAAAAATCCAGAAAATCACATTGTAGGAATTTTAATGAATTTATTTGCAAATTCTGGTGGAAAATAAGTATTTGGTCACCTACAAACAAGCAAGATATCTGGCTCTCACAGACCTGTAACTTCTTCTTTAAGAGGCTCCTCTGTCCTCCACTCGTTACCTGTATTAATGGCACCTGTTTGAACTTGTTATCAGTATAAAAGACACCTGTCCACAACCTCAAACAGTCACACTCCAAACTCTATGGCTACACTATGGCCAAGACCAAAGAGCTGTCAAAGGACACCAGAAACAAAATTGTAGACCTGCACCAGGCTGGGAAGACTGAATCTGCAATAGGTAAGCAGCTTGGTTTGAAGAAATCAACTGTGGGAGCAATTATTAGGAAATGGAAGACATACAAGACCACTGATAATCTCCCTCGATCTGGGGCTCCACGCAAGATCTCACCCCGTGGGGTCAAAATGATCACAAGAACGGTGAGCAAAAATCCCAGAACCACACGGGGGGACCTAGTGAATGACCTGCAGAGAGCTGGGACCAAAGTAACAAAGCCTACCATCAGTAACACACTACGCCGCCAGGGACTCAAATCCTGCAGTGCCAGACGTGTCCCCCTGCTTAAGCCAGTACATGTCCAGGCCCGTCTGAAGTTTGCTAGAGTGCATTTGGATGATCCAGAAGAGGATTGGGAGAATGTCATATGGTCAGATGAAACCAAAATATAACTTTTTGGTAAAAACTCAACTCGTCGTGTTTGGAGGACAAAGAACGCTGATTTGCATCCAAAGAACACCATACCTACTGTGAAGTATGGGTGTGGAAACATTATGCTTTGGGGCTGTTTTTCTGCAAAGGGACCAGGACGACTGATCCGTGTAAAGGAAAGAATGAATGGGGCCATGTATCGTGAGATTTTGAGTGAAAACCTCCTTCCATCAGCAAGGGCATTGAAGATTAAATGTGTCTGGGTCTTTCAGCATGACAATGATCCCAAACACACCGCCGGGGCAACGAAGGAGTGGCTTCGTAAGAAGCATTTCAAGGTCCTGGAGTGGCCTAGCCAGTCTCCAGATCTCAACCCCATAGAAAATCTTTGGAGGGAGTTGAAAGTCTGTGTTGCCCAGCGACAGCCCCAAAACATCACTGCTCTAGAGGAGATCTGCATGGAGGAATGGGCCAAAATACCAGCAACAGTGTGTGAAAACCTTGTGAAGACTTACAGAAAACGTTTGACCTGTGTCATTGCCAACAAAGGGTATATAACAAAGTATTGAGAAACTTTTGTTATTGACCAAATACTTATTTTCCACCATAATTTGCAAATAAATTCATTAAAAATCCTACAATGTGATTTTCTGGAATTTTTTTCCTCATTTTGTCTGTCATAGTTGACGTGTACCTATGATGAAAATTACAGGCCTCTCTCATCTTTTTAAGTGGGAGAACTTGCACAATTGGTGGCTGACTAAATACTTTTTCCCCCCACTGTATATGTATATATGTATGTATGTATGTATGTATGTATGTATGTATATATGTATGTATATATATGTATATTAATGTATATGTGTGTATATATATATACAGTGGGGAGAACAAGTATTTGATACACTGCCGATTTTGCAGGTTTTCCTACTTACAAAGCATGTAGAGGTCTGTAATTTTTATCATAGCTACACTTAAACTGTGAGAGACGGAATCTAAAACAAAAATCTAGAGAATCACATTGTATGATTTTTAAGTAATTAATTTGCATTTTATTGCATGACATAAGTATTTGATCACCTACCAACCCGTAAGAATTCCGGCTCTCACAGACCTGTTAGTTTTTCTTTAAGAAGCCCTCCTGTTCACCACTCATTACCTGTATTAACTGCACCTGTTTGAACTCATTACCTGTATAAAAGACACCTGTCCACACACTCAATCAAACAGACTCCAACCTCTCCACAATGGCCAAGACCAGAGAGCTGTGTAAGGACATCAGGGATAAAATTGTAGACCTGCACAAGGCTGGGATGGGCTACAGGACAATAGGCAAGCAGCTTGGTGAGAAGGCAACAACTGGAAGAAAATGGAAGAAGTTCAAGATGACGGTCAATCACCCTCGGTCTGGGGCTCCATGCAAGATCTCACCTCGTGTGGCATCAGTGATCATGAGGAAGGTGAGGGATCAGCCCAGAACTACACGGCAGGACCTGGTCAATGACCTGAAGAGAGCTGGGACCACAGTCTCACAGAAAACCATTAGTAACACACTACGCCGTCATGGATTAAAATCCTGCAGTGCACGCAAGGTCCCCCTGCTCAAGCCAGCGCATGTCCAGGCCCATCTGAAGTTTGCCAATTACCATCTGGATGATCCAGAGGAGGAATGGGAGAAGGTCATGTGGTCTGATGAGACAAAAATAGAGCTTTTTGGTCTAAACTCCACTCGCCGTGTTTGGAGGAAGAAGAAGGATGAGTACAAACCCAAGAACACCATCCCAACCGTGAAGCATGGAGGTTGAAACATCATTCTTTGGGGATGCTTTTCTGCAAAGGGGACAGGACGACTGCACCGTATTGAGGGGAGGATGGATGGGGCCATGTATCGCGAGATCTTGGCCAACAACCTCCTTCCCTCAGTAAGAGCATTGAAGATGGGTTGTGGCTGGTTCTTCCAGCATGACAACGACCCGAAACACACAGCCAGGGCAACTAAGGAGTGGCTCCGTAAGAAGCATCTCAAGGTCCTGGAGTGGCCTAGCCAGTCTCCAGACCTGAACCCAATAGAACATCTTTGGAGGGAGCTGAAAGTCCGTATTGCCCAGCAACAGCCCCGAAACCTGAAGGATCTGGAGAAGGTCTGTATGGAGGAGTGGGCCAAAATCCCTGCTGCAGTGTGTGCAAACCTGGTCAAGACCTACAGGAAACGTTTGATCTCTGTAATTGCAAACAAAGGTTTCTGTACCAAATATTAAGTTCTGCTTTTCTGATGTATCAAATACTTATGTCATGCAATACAATGCAAATTCATTACTTAAAAATCATACAATGTGATTTTCTGGATTTTTGTTTTAGATTCTGTCTCTCACAGTTGAAATGTACCTATGATAGAAAGTACAGACCTCTACATGCTTTGTAAGTAGGAAAACCTGCAAAATCGGCAGTGTATCAAATACTTGTTCTCCCCACTGTATATAATATACACACAAAGTAGTCCAAGACCATGAAGAGGAATAACTTAATACTGATGATCTGTGGACTAGATCCAATACTTTTGCTGTCTTGACCCATGATTGTACCAAACTAGGCCCATATCCATAGAGCTTCTCAGAGTAGGATTGCTGATCTAGGATCAGTTTTTCCTATTAGATCATAATAAATAAGATTCCATGGACAGCAGGAACCTACTCGGAGATGCTTTGTGAATACAGGCCCTGGTCCATAACTATGAGAGAGCTATGATTAGTGAAAACCTTTGAGACTCAGTTCCACATCATCCTATACGTGCACTCCTAATGCAGACACTCCTGTTTCCCTCCTCTGAGCCGTGTGGGGATGTCCTCCACAGGCAGTCAGCTGGTTTGAATTCCTTATGTTATGATTTGCAATATCTAAATGGAATTCTCTTCAAAGCAGCTCGTGATTGATTGACCCTGGGATGGCTGTTTTGTTTTTGCTCTGACAATAATGTCCATTGGCATGTGCTTCACTTTGCCTGCACTGGGACGTCCCGCCGTTGTCTTTATGAGTCATCCAACCACAATACTAAATACATGTCAGCAAGGGAAATATTATCCAAAACTGAAAATATGCCTTTGATGTGCTCCACTGAGCTGAGATTTGCACAAGTTTTGAAAGTGACAGCAGGCTTGTAAGAAATGGTATACATTTACACTCTTTCACCCGCCTCAAAGTGTGCAAGACCACCTATCGCTTAGAAAACAGCCCTCTGTCAGCAGCCAACTGAGTCATTTAGTCCCAGTACATTTATTTGTGTGCTCCAGTGTTTATGTTAAGTGAGGCCAAACTGAGAGACAGAACGTTACAAGGGTATAAAATACATGGCATACTTGTGTTTTTCTCAGGTTATAAGATGTTTGATTTATGGGCTTGTCTTTGCTTCATTTTTATGTTGTGGTGGAAAGAATTAATACAAACTCACAGGCTTCAGCAGCTCGGCCAAGACCAAAGAACCATTTTTGTTAAATGTTTGTTTATTTTTTAACTTTATTATTTGAAATATATGGATATGTTATCTGCTAGTGAAGCAAATGCCTGGAATGTCAGCATGGGTGCACATTTAAGATAGAAGCCCCCCCCAAAATTGTTCTAGCCGCTGAAAATAAAAGATAGAGGTTTATATTGATCTCTGTATTATCACTGCCAGGGGATGGTGGTTACTTAGTGGTGACAAAGTAATGCATATCCCACTGCCATGGAAATGTACAGTATAATGCCTATTCATTTCGAGACTGATTCATTAAATAAGCATTGCGTCACAGCTGCCATGTTTCTTCTTGTAGAACCTCAGCCTCACGCATGCAGAGTTTTTCAACTCGCCAAAGAGGAAATTAGATGTGATGCTTGGACGTGATTATATATTCTGTCAGACACAAAGCAAAAGGCATACTGAGGGCCTCTAATAATTTTTGTTTGCATTTACTGACGTACATCGTTTGTACATGAAATTGTGTTGTGAGTAGTTCACACTGGGCACGCCACATTTCAACGTCGAAATTTGGGTAATATTTGGTTGAGACGTTGATCAATGAGATTTCAACCTTTCTTCACCCACTCAAAAAGACAGAAGTTTGTTGAATTCCCAAAGTGTTATCACTATGCTTTCAACCATCTAAAAGCACAACCAACTTCTAATGGAAAAACAATGTCAGATTTTTGGTTTAGGGCTCGATTCAATCCGTATCGCCAAAGTTGAGCACTATAGCACACGTGAAATGTAAAGGTAATTTTCGATTGAGCCGACATATGCAGTGTTTACCGTGAATGAAGTCCCTGTGAATGCAGGAACAAGTTAAAGAATGGGACTAAATCAAATCAAACTTTAAAAGTACTTGAAATAAAGTTGGATTTGATTTAGTCCTATTCTTTAACTTACATTTTTGGTTAAGATGGAGACAATAGCTGTTGATTTCGCAAATGCTATATAGGCCTATTAGATTATATGACTTTTAAAGTATGGTTACATTTCATTTGCTCTGTTAAATCTCCTTTGGAATTACTTTGATAGCAACAGTGAATCTATTTAGTTTTTAATTGGTACATTGGTAGTAGTCAGTGACAAATATCAAAACTAAGCAGTCCAGGGCTTGGTTAATACCATGGATGGGAGACCAATGGATAGCTGTAGATAGATCAGCTCTCCAGTAGGAGGTGCTGCCCAGCCTATTGTTTTCTTCTGATAGTGGCTATAACATTGAAAATCTGACGTTGTTTCAAAGGTACAAATTCAACATATATTATACAAGCTTTATCAATGTTGAAAATTGGTTACCATGATGACATAATTCTGTGGTTGAAACTTCACGCTCAAAACAACACTTTCTTTCTAATCCAATGTATTTTCCACGTAGATTCCATGTCACAATACGTTGACAAATTACGTTGAAACAACCAGTTTGTGCCCAGTGGGTAGATTAATTGACAGCACTGTTTTCTCTACCGTACAGATCATGTATATTCTACCGGGCATGTATGGACATTCCAAGAGGAACAGAGCTCCTCGTCTGGTACAATGACAGCTATACCTCCTTCTTTGGCATCCCTCTACAGTGCATTGCACAGGATGAAAACTGTAAGTCTCTCTCTGTCTGTCTCTCTCTCTCTGTCTGTCTCTGTCTGTCTGTCTCTCTCTCTGTCTGTCTCTTTCTCTCTCTGTCTGTCTGTCTCTCTCTCTCTGTCTGTCTCTCTCTCTCTCTCTCTCTGTCTCTCTCTGTCTGTCTCTCTCTCTCTCTGTCTGTCTCTCTCTCTCTCTGTCTGTCTCTCTCCTCTCTGTCTGTCTCTCTTCTCTCTCTGTCTGTCTCTGTCTGTCTCTCTCTCTCTCTCTTCCTGTCGTCTCTCTGCTTCTCTTCTCTCTCTCGTCTGTCTGTCTGTCTTCTGTCTGTCTCTCTCTCTCTGTCTCTCTCTCTCTCTGTCTGTCTCTCTCTGTCTGTCTCTCTGTCTGTCTGTCTCTATCTGTCTGTCTCTCTCTGTCTGTCTCTCTCTCTGTCTGTCTGTCTCTCTCTCTGTCTGTCTCTTTCTCTCTCTGTCTGTCTGTCTCTCTCTCTGTCTCTGTCTCTCTCCTCTCCTGTTTCATTCTTCTGTCCTTACTTCTACAGGACATGGTAGCTCTATTCTCTCTCTTCTTCTGTCTCTCGCTCTCCATTGGGCTCTCAAGTCTTTCCACCATTTAATGTTACATTCCTCTGTCCACATTAACACACATACTACAGTTACATTACTCTGCTCTGGGCCATTGGGTTGGCAAGCAGTTGTCCCCATTTCATCTTAACATTCCAAAGGAATATGATCCACATACAGCCATCAGCATGTACTGATTTAACAAGGGGTTATTTCTATCCAAATATAGTATGACTCCTATAAAGATATCTAGTATTTCCATGTAAGAATACTAGAATGATCTAGTACATAGCATTGTCATGAATAGGACTTAATGACAGACATAACATATCTGGTGCCTAGCATAACCCAACAAAACATATTTGCAGAAGGACTACTGTCCAAAAAGTAGTAGGTTAATGAAAATGCTATAATTTACTTTGGATTTCAGTGTGTAATTTTATTAAAGACAAAAAGCATTTGACTGGGCATAGTTGCGCTAAGCCACAAAAACCTATGCAAATATTGGACCCTTAAATTTACTTAAGCCTGATTTATACATCTGAACCAAACAAACCTTGCCAGTGCAAACAGGAGGAAAACATCGTTTTTCATATTGTGGCAAATTAAACCAATGACTCAATGTTGATTTTCAACAGACAGTACCCGTTAGTTACGTATAACTATTTTCTATTTTCTAAGCGGTTCTCTCATTGAAGAGACAATCGGTTAGGCTTATTGAAACAATAGTATTTCTCTCCCCCAGACATTTTTGAGGGACTGTCTGTTAACAGTCTTCGTAGGAGCGTTTGGGGAAAAGGAATGACTATTTTCTGTCTAAACCAGCATTTTGCCCCATACTGCTCTGTCTGGTTTCTTTGGAACTCACTGGCCACTGGAGGTCTTGGACAACCGACAGGGCCTGACAGTTCACTGTTTACATGTTCAACATTTTATTACTTCAGTCTAGTTGGAGTCCTGTTTAGACAAGTGCCTTTTCATATAAACTGTTTTAAAAGTGTATAGTATAATTTGATAGATGCAGTATTGTAGCCTTAAAACGTGGCAAACAATGGAGAGGTCGAGGAGGGAGAGTGCTGTGAACTTGCGAATCAGCATACCCTGCATGAATCAATATATCCTAGTATAGCTCTCTTAAAGGAGAATCTACCCATTACAGACACTGAAGCCTGGTTACACAGAAATAGACCGCTTCCCCTAATACAACCCACATGAAGGAATAGTGTGTGCATGTGATAGCAAATGAAAGCTACTGGATTGGTGAGGTTTAGTACTTTGCCCTAACTCAGAGACTTTAAATTAGTCACCACCCTCCTCTACAACATGCACAGCTTCAGAACCACCTCACAATTGTTTTTCATGTATATTTTCATAAGTTAACATCAATCACACTTCCTTAGCCTGATACTGAACAGCGTTCCGAGATCTAACATTAAAACGATGCCCAGAAATACATAATTGAAGTTTTATTATATTATATCTTTATTAAATAAGAAAGGCCTAGCCCTACTCCCACATGTATCACGTTACGGTTGTGTAAATCTGTGTTTATGTACACAGCATGTTGCAATACAAAGAATGTGGGATGTGGTTTGTCCACCGATGAGTTATTATGGCTCTGACTTCTTGAATGCAGTCAGAGATCAGTGTGTAGTGATGAAGAATCATCATATGTTTCTTATAACAACAATGAAACGTTATTTCATCAAGCTGCTTATGCTTGGGATGCACAAAGACTGCAGCTTTTCTTTTCCGTGATCCAGTAGCTGAGAGAGAATAGATCTCATCTGTGTTGTTATGTTTTGGTCATGACTAGAACTCACCGACATGGAATGAAAAACAACAACAACCTATGACAGTCGAACTCAGAGCCAAGATAAAATACGTTTGAAACATTTGTGCGTTCCAAATGGTACTCCATTCCCTATGTAGTGCAATACTTTGTTCAGAGCCCTATGGGCCCTGATCAAAGTAGTTCACTAAATATAGGGAATAGGGTGCCATTTGGGATGCAAACACTGTCCATGTACACAAGTAGCGATGGCTGAAAAACATGCATGATCCTTATCTTTGAATGTTATCTACATTTAAATTACATTGACCAATATTTGCTTATAAGGTTTGTGGCAAAATGAGTTGAGCATTTTCGAGAGGTGTAATGCATATGTCAACTGCCATTGGGAACTTATGAATGGAATAATTATCTCCATATTATTAGTCTAAGATCAATTTAGCCTGTCTGCATTTAGCCGAAGTGAAATGAAGAAAGATTAAATGTGGTAATGATGTCTGATGACAGTATTCTATTAACTGTAGCTAGGGAAACATGTACAGTGGGGAAAAAAAGTATTTAGTCAGCCACCAATTGTGCAAGTTCTCCCACTTAAAAAGATGAGAGAGGCCTGTAATTTTCATCATAGGTACACGTCAACTATGACAGACAAAATGAGAAAAAAAAATCCAGAAATTCACATTGTAGGATTTTTTATGAATTTATTTGCTAATTATGGTGGAAAATAAGTATTTGGTCAATAACAAAAGTTTCTCAATACTTTGTTATATACCCTTTGTTGGCAATGACACAGGTCAAACGTTTTCTGTAAGTCTTCACAAGGTTTTCACACACTGTTGCTGGTATTTTGGCCCATTCCTCCATGCAGATCTCCTCTAGAGCAGTGATGTTTTGGGGCTGTCGCTGGGCAACACGGACTTTCAACTCCCGCCAAAGATTTTCTATGGCATTGAGATCTGGAGACTGGCTAGCCACTACAGGACCTTGAAATGCTTCTTACGAAGCCACTCCTTCGTTGCCCGGGCGGTGTGTTTGGGATCATTGTCATGCTGAAAGACCCAGCCACGTTTCATCTTCAATGCCCTTGCTGATGGAAGGAGGTTTTCACTCAAAATCTCACGATACATGGCCCCATTCATTCTTTCCTTTACACGGATCAGTCGTCCTGGTCCCTTTGCAGAAAAACAGCCCCAAAGCATGATGTTTCCACCCCCATGCTTCACAGTAGGTATGGTGTTCTTTGGATGCAACTCGGCATTCTTTGTCCTCCAAACACGACGAGTTGAGTTTTTACCAAAAAGTTCTATTTTGGTTTCATCTGACCATATGACATTCTCCCAATCCTCTTCTGGATCATCCAAATGCACTCTAGCAAACTTCAGACGGGGCCTGGACATGTACTGGCTTAAGCAGGGGGTCACGTCTGGCACTGCAGGATTTGAGTCCCTGGCGGCGTAGTGTGTTACTGATGGTAGGCTTTGTTACTTTGGTCCCAGCTCTCTGCAGGTCATTCACTAGGTCCCCCCGTGTGGTTCTGGGATTTTTGCTCACTGTTCTTGTGATCATTTTGACCCCACGGGGTGAGATCTTGCGTGGAGCCCCAGATCGAGGGAGATTATCAGTGGTCTTGTATGTCTTCCATTTCCTAATAATTGCTCCCAAGAGTTGATTTCTTCAAACCAAGCTGCTTACCTATTGCAGATTCAGTCTTCCCAGCCTGGTGCAGGTCTACAATTTTGTTTCTGGTGTCCTTTGACAGCTCTTTGGTCTTGGCCATAGTGGAGTTTGGAGTGTGACTGTTTGAGGTTGTGGACAGGTGTCTTTTATACTGATAACAAGTTCAAACAGGTGCCATTAATACAGGTAACGAGTGGAGGACAGAGGAGCCTCTTAAAGAAGAAGTTACAGGTCTGTGAGAGCCAGAAATCTTGCTTGTTTGTAGGTGACCAAATACTTATTTTCCACCATAATTTGCAAATAAATTCATTAAAAATCCTACAATGTGATTTTCTGGATTTTTTTTTCCTCAATTTGTCTGTCATAGTTGACGTGTACCTATGATGAAAATTACAGGCCTCTCTCATCTTTTTAAGTGGGAGAACTTGCACAATTGGTGGCTGACTAAATACTTTTTTTCCCCACTGTATGTACGGAAATGTATTCAGTATAAAAGTTTTGTGATAATACAAATACTGTCATCAGACAAATACTGTCATAAGCTTCAAAGCATAATATTTTTCCAATGTCTTTATTTTCACTTTTAAAACTCTGACCTTGGGTGAGAAATGTGAATTAGGAGTGTTACACCATTCCAGTTGTATAAGGTTGCTAAGGGACAACATCCTATCGGTATCCTCACATCACATGCTGATAGTGGTTTACATGACCATATGTTCCATCTTTTCTATTGTTGTTTTCCTCCTTTAGTGAATGTACCAACCACAGTCATGGAGGCCATGAGCAGACAAGAGACCCTGCAGCCGCTCAGTAAAACGGGCAAAGGCTTCTCGGTGGCCCTGCTGCGCTCCATGGTCTTCCCCCACTCGCCCTGCTCCAGAAGCTTCTCCCTGATGGACAAGGGCGGCCACACGGACTCCGGCTTCAACCAGATGAGCTCTAAGAACCAGCGAGTCCTAGCCAGCCCCACCTCCACCAGCCAGCTGAGCACCGAGTTCAGTGACTGGCACCTCTGGAAGTGCGGCCAGTGCTTTAAGACTTTCACGCAACGCATCCTGCTCCAGATGCACGTGTGCACACAGAACCCAGACAGGTAAGGTAACAGCCATCGAGTCATCTCATAATATGCATCATCATACTGCATGATATATCCTAGTAGTCCCAGACTCTTATAGCCATTTAGGCATTCTTCTTGCTTTGTCAATTTTTCATTTCAGAATGTTCTGTTTCCATTGGGTTCATTGGGGAAATACAAAACACTGTTGCTATGCTATTGTATATAGTGTAGTGGTGAACGGGGTTGGTTGTCACACTTTTTACTCGTGTGTATTTCTCAGCACCAGTATATCGTACAAGACTCTTTTCTATATGAGGAGAAAGACCAAAGTCTTGGGTTGAAATGGGGACCCTTTTTATCCTCACATCTTATTCCAACATGGCGTTATAAGCCATCAAACACACTGTCCACTTGTGACAACCAGCCCCATCGTGGGGTTGGTTGTCACACAGTATGGGGTTGGTTGTCACAATGTTTGCTAGTAGCTTCTTCCTTTTGTAGCATAATATAGCATACAGTCTTAGAAATAGCCTTTCTTTGATCAAATTATATTTCTAACACAATTTAGCATTTTATGCCTTGATAATAACATGTCATTTTGAGTACATGTCTGTGTGTATGTGTGTGTTTGCACATGTATGTGTTGGGGTGTGACAGACAATATGTGTGTAAGAGTGAGGCAACGAAGGGAGCTCTTTATAGCACAAGCACAAAAGAGCTTGGGATTTTTACTGGATACTGGCTGTGACACTGTCCCCGAACAATATGGTTACAATGAGTTGGATTGTGACAAGGACATTTCCATGTAAAAGGCCCCATGAGCACTAACATAGGAGCACATCAAATTCCATGTCAAATGAAAGCTAATAAATAGTCTGGGCTATATTTTTGAGAAATTAAGGCATATATACTTTTTCCAACAATTTTCCATCCCAAAAAATGTGGAATAAGCAGGCTTTGTACTGTACTGAACTCTACTCTGCTGTGATGACCAAACCTGTGAAACAGGCATATATGATTGGTACAGATTTGGTCCGGACCCCCTCCCAATGCTAACTAAGATGGTGGTTACCACATGGCTTGACCTAGGTAACAGACAATTGTTCATGGATATTCCCAAAATTAAAAAATTTACAAAGTACCAATATATATATATATAACTTTCACCTATGAAAAACTCAAATTCCCCTCACCTCAATGTTGTCATGCTGACATGAATTGACCAGGTGGTTGATTTCTTTCAAAGAATTCACACATTTTAACCTTTTCAATTATTACACAGAGCCATTTAGATTGGGAGTAATTAGCACTGTGACAACCAACCCCCGAGTGTCCCCTGTACTGTATCAGAAACAATTCATTGTCCCTATCAGTAATTTGCATGCCTATACATGTGGTCTTTCTCTGTCACAGTGGTTTCAGGGTTCAAATCCAGTGTGTAACATCTCCCAACTTAATTAAATACAGTGGGGGGGATGTATTGGACATTTTTGCTTAGCACAATTTTTCTTCAGAGCATACAAACCTATAAATCAGTTGCAGCTGTCACAAAGAAATACCTACCCTAACTGTGATGCGGAGGAAAACAGATGCCACTTATTCAATAAACTAATATTCATACAGAAGAAAAATGTTGCCTGGATACCTAGGAGTTGAAGTCAATATGAGCGTTTGTCAATACTCAACTTTATGACCCTGGGGTGCAGATAAAATTTAGCTGAACAAGGGAATCTGGATCTGTTGATATTTGGATGCACAGCCTTTGCACCTAGTAAATTACCCAATGCATCTGTTTAAAATGTTCTCGGCTGTGGTTTATGGGTTTTGGCTTATACATATTTATTGATGTTTAGTTTATATGTACATTTGGGGCAAAGATTAATTGCTGTAGTATATCAGCACTAGAAAAATCATTTTGCTGATCTATTTTGCTGACTGTTTTGCTGAGATCCTACAAAGGAGTGTCCGATAAGTTTTTCGTCTTTTTTCAGTCACTTGGAATGTATCCGTCAATTTTAGAGAAATACAGTATCTTTATGATAATATAGTAGATCAAGGAATAATGTGTTTCCGTTTACTTTGCTACTTATCCTTTCACTTAGTATTCAGCCTTCAGTATGTATCGATACTATTTATTAATATTTAATATCTACTAACAGAACAATACTGTACAGTATTACTTTAAGACATGAAGCATTTGAGGACAGTCTTTCACTTACCCAAATGAGGTGTGCAGTAACTATGAGCATTAATTTTATGTTTGTTCTTCTGCATTTCCAATGAACGATAGGGTGGTTACTGCTCAGGCTTTGTTTTTTCTGTTCTTAGGGCGAAAAGGCCAGGGATCGCCCTACTGAGAGTTTCAAATGGGAAAGAAGTGGTGGTCTGTAGCACAGAAGGGCCTCTACCTCAGTAAATAACGTTTCAATACTCTAATCAGCAATGAAAACTTGATATTCTAGTGTGGTTCTGTGTTGCTCAGTTGGTAGGGCATTGAGCTAGCAATGCCTAGATCGTGGGTTCGATTCCTGCTGAGCCACCCATATAAAAATGTATTAATTCACTGTTGTAAGTCACTTTGGAGAAAAGTGTCTGCTAAATGGCTGACTTTGTTGATACAGAGGATTATTCTGTTATTTTGTTGATAACTCTTGAGTCTAAAATGCGCTACTGGTTTGAGGTCTAAGGATTGCTATGGAAAATCAAGAGCATTGATATATACAGTATGTTGGGCGGTGTAGATAGTGGATGCGGCCCAAATGGGACCGTTCTGAGCTCTGGTCAAAAGTAGTGCACTGTACTGTATAGGGAATAGGGTGCCATTTGTGAAGCACCTTAGTTGTAGATTTAGATCATGCTGAGACGTCTATCAAACTTTAGCCCCACTAGCTGGGAGATTGTAAGATAATGTTATATTTATTTATGCATAAATGTAACATCTCCTGAATTGTAAAACAAGGGATAGTCACACAATTACTCAAAAGCAAAATAACTTTAAATAGCGTCTTTATACAGGTTACACAGAAAAAATCGGACCTCTCAAAAATTAAAATGAATGGCCCTCCCTTCAGCAAAATATATTTTACCTAAACCATCCCTGAACGCTTGAAAAAAAAAAAAAGTGCCCCTCCCCTATACCCCAAATAATAATTACAACAAAGTGGATAGCAGAGAATATGTTTACTGTTTACCCTCACTTCTTAGACAGACCAGAGCCTTAGATATGCAGTTTTAAAGCTCTTCTTCGTCCTGTAAGCATTACAGGGCAACGCAGGAATTTTGATAGCGCACAGGGCTGCGGGCCAGAAGGTTGTGGGTTAGCAGACAAGCGTGGACAAGAGTAAAGGTGGAAAGATCTCCTTTAAGCATTACATGAATCGATCATTGTATTTGCAGGTCCGAGAAAACATTTCCTTTTATAAACAGGTCATGCAATTCTATTTCACATATTTGCATAATATTTTTGAATACCACACAAATTACCGAAATTACAGGCTAAGAATGGACAGAGATAGGCCTATGTGTTTATCTTGTATTTCTCCAGTGCCAAATCAGTGTGACTTGTTTGCAACGAAACTGTCCCTGTTTACAAATAATTACATCTGAGATGTCATTAAGAATCTGAGCATGGTACTTTCAAAAGTTAGGCCTACCTTTCCACTCCAGACAGAGTAGGCCTACCGACGCAGAAAAATGTAAGCTTTAACTGCTGGCTACTCCTCTTCTGTGGCTTAACCCAACGAGAGAAGGTCACAAGTGTTTCCCTAAAAGCTGTCTGGGTTTAAACATCTCTGGTGACATAAATACATTAATTTATTGTCTCGTTCAGTGGTTGTAGCTCAGCCTCTGAATGTAAAATAAATTAAACAATGATATCCCCATATGCATCGGAGTCACGTCTTTCACGGGTATTTTACAGATTGTTTCTAGCATGAAGCATTGCGGACCAAAGCGCTGTTATAGATAACTTTATATAATCAGATCGGTTTTATTTTCTTCAATCTTAAGCTAACAAGGGGTAGGCCTGTGCTTTTTGCCATTTTATTTAATAAAAGGTAGGCCTATGGCATACCCTCTCATACCCCCTCAATTTGAGTCTTGGTTTTAACTTAACAGCCCTTCACTGACACAGAGGTAGGCTATTTAAAGAATGCATGGTGGGTGGAGGAATTGACTGACAAATCTATGGATATAGCAGCCCATAGCCTAATTTTGTCTTTCAAACAGGTAGGCCTAACTCTTATTTCTTAAATAGGAAGAAATAGGCTCTAACACAAAGCCCTCTTGTTGTTAGTAAAGTCTAATTAAAATGAAGATGGTTGAAATGAATTATGATTACTCAAATTTGCCTACTTTCAGCACCATGAGCTGTCCATTTCCGATTGATTGTGCCGCGGCTGCTGCTTCAAGTTTCAGCACCACAATGTAAGTTACTCGAATCTGGCTTATTGTGAGGTCAATAACTCAGATAAATAGGCCTACATCATGGGCAAACATTTCTAATCAAATAGATTATAGTAGTAGCAAGCTATCAAAGTTGACCTCCGGTCCTCCTCATCTTCGCGCTCTCCTTCTCAAACTGAACAGAACATAGGCTATAGGCTAGTCTGCACTTCCTAGCCTATATGCTATGGATCATTTCATTGAGACCACACTAAATAGCCTATAGGCGTACTTGATATTGCGCACCCAGAGGAGAATCAGAAATGAGGGGCGGTATCGGGCACACATCGATTTATAGCCTAATATGCAACTAATTCTAAAACATTGAGAAATGTAGACATTTTATCAATTACATGACCCTCCCCTGGACTAGATGATAAAATAAAAGACTAAACCCTCCCCTTGACTGAAATTGAAAAAGCATGACCCTCCCCCATTTTCCTCCAGGTACCCATTATGTAAATGTCGATCCTAAAGGGAGACCGGGGTTGGTTGTCACAGTGCTTATTACTCCCCAGTGCTTATTCATCTAAATGGCGCTGTGTAATAATTTTAAGGTTAACGTGTGAATTCTTTGAAAAAACTCATCCACCTGGTTTATTCGTGTCAGTATGACAAGACGTTCAGGTGAGGGGAATTTGTGTTTTTCATAGGTGAAAGCAAAAATAAAATATTGGTATTTTCTTTGTAAATGTTTGAATTTTGGGAGTGTCCATGAACAATTACATTTGTTGAAAAGAGGAAAGGGAGAGCTATATTTCAACCTTTTTCTGAGTTCCTAGGTGAAGCCATGTGGTAACTAGCATCTTAATTAGCATGGTCGGGGATGGTTGTCACATGGAATGTGGGGTTGGTTGTCACAATAAACTCCATTATAAAAATGTTTGGGGTTGGTTGTAGGCAATTCCATTGTAACAGAATGATGGTAACAGAATGACATCATGGGTCCCTGATCTGTACTATACAGAAATACATAATTATGAATGTCATTCTATTCATGGTGATGTATCCTGAATAGGTACACAAGGTAGAAACATTTAGAACCTCCTTTGCATATTTGGGTATTATTCTATACACTGCCTATTATTCTAATGAGCTCCGCCCCCCAAACAAGACCCTATTTGGTTGGTCTGGACCAAATCTGTACTAATCATAGATGTCTATGTTTCACAGGTTTGGACATCACATTACAGCACAGTAAAGCACAGTAGAGCCACAGTAGAGTGGAATAGAATACAGTGCAGTAGAGGTCAGTACAGAAAATTATACTGTACTCTAGTGTGCTATACTGTGCTAAACTGTACTGAACTCTAATCTACTGTAGTTTGTTGTACTTTATTGTACTGAACTATACTGTACTGTTTTCGAAGACCCCTTTCCATCTGTTTTGACCAGAAATCATTGCCTTTGCTTATTCCTCATTAGGAGGAAACATTGTTGAAAAATGTATATATGCCTTAATTTCTCAAAAATATAGCCTAGACTCTTAGCTGTCATTTGACACGAAATTTGATGTGCTCCTGTGTTAGTGCTCATGGGGCCTTTTACATGGAAATGCCCATTTCACAATCCTACCCATTGTAACCATATTGTTCAGGGACATTGTCACTGCCAGTATACAAAAAATCCCAAGCTCTTTTGTGCTTGTGCTATAAAGAGCTCCCTTCGTTGCCTTCCTCTCAAGCCCAAATCACATGGAGAGACGCCGTCAACGGTGTCAAAATGTGCACGCGAGAGTAGAGAGCGTCAATTCACATACACTGCGTAGCGTATGCCAACTTAATTGTCAGGAGAATCCATAATGAACAGTTGTATTTGTTATGTTCGCTATGTAGCCCTTGTGAATTATGGTTGTGTTTTCCTTTTGACTCACCTTATATTGTATGTCCTTTGGAGCCACTGTACCTGCCTGTTCTAAACAGTTACGTTAGCTCAGGAACGTGAGCATAGTTGTAGCTAATACACCCGAGCAGTTTATAAAGAATTTAGCTAGTCTCGTTCTTTCCGTATTCTCTCTTGAAATCGGATTTCCTCGAGTTTTCCAGCCGTAGGCTATATGACTGTTATCAAAATGAACACAGGTAGGCATAATGTTGTTGTTTTCAAATATGTATTATTGACACTTTTTAACTATAGATGTCTCTATTCCAGACGTAACAATTCACAAACGGTCTATTTTCTGGCAATTTATCCGCTAATTTTATCAGCATTTCTTTGCGTAGCCGCATAGACATGAGAAAAATAGACTTGCTTTTTAATTTGACGCGCTATGGCGCCGTTGACGCACCAGGCCATTCTGTTTGTTTCTCATTCACTACCGCGCATTCTAATTCCAGCGTGTACACAGTCGTTCACGGGTATAAAAAATATGCTTTTCATTTGATTTGGGCTTCACACACATTTTTTCTGTCACACAACCACACGCATGTGCAAACACGCATTCACGAAATGTACTCGATGTCATATTTTGTTAGGAACATCGTTCTATCAAAGAAAGGCTATTTCTAAGACTCTGTATGCTATTTTGCTTTTTTTCCTGTTACAGAAGGAATAAGATGCTAGCAAACATTGTGACAACCAACCCCATACTGTGTGGACAGAGTGTGTTTGATGGCTTATAACAAAGAGTCCTGTAAGATATACTGGTGCTGAGAAATACACACAAGTAAAAAGTGTGACAACCAACCCGGACTCCCCTACTGACCTGGAGTGTGGGATAGCTCAAAAATGGATATACAGTGCCTTCGGAAAGTATTCAGACCCCTTTTTTTTGTGTGACTTTTTCCACATGTTACGTTACAGCCTTATTCTAAAATGGATTAAAAAATAATAATCCTCAGCAATCTACACACAATACCCTATAATGACAAAGCAAAAACAGGTTTTTAGAAATTTTTGCAAATGGATAAAAAATTAAATATATACCTTATTTACATAAGTATTCAGACCCTTTGCTATGAGACTCGAAATTGAGCTTAGGTGCATCCAGTTTCCATTGATCATCCTTGAGATGTTTTCACAACTTGATTGGAGTCCACCTGTGGTAAATTTAATTGATTGGACATGATTTGGAAACGCACACACCTGTCTATATAACGTCCCACGTTTGAAAGCGCATGTCAGAGCAAAAACCAAGCCATGAGGTCGAAGGAATTGTCCGTAGAGCTCAGAGACAGTGTTGTGTCGAGGCACAGATCTGGGGAAGGGTACCAAAAAATGTCTGCAGCATTGAAGGTCCCCAAGAACACAGTGGTCTCCATCATTCTTAAATGGAAGAAGTTTGGAACCACCAAGACTCTTCCTAGAGCTACCCGCACGGCCAAAGTAAGCAATCGGGGGAGAAGGGCTTTGGTCAGGGAGGTGACCAAGAACCCGATGGCCACTCTGACAGAGCTCCAGAGTTCCTCTGTGGAGATGGGAGAGCCTTCCAGAAAGACAACCATCTCTGCAGCACTCCACCAATCAGGCCTTTATGGTAGAGTGGCCAGACGGAAGCCACTCCTCAGTAAAAGGCACATGACAGCCCGCTTGGAGTTTGCCAAAAGGCACCTAAAGACTCTCAGACCATGAGAAACAAGATTATCTGGTCTGATGAAACCAAGATTGAACTCTTTGGCCTGAATGCCAAGCATCACGTCTGGAGGAAACCTGGCACCATCCCTACGGTGAAGCATGGTGTTGGCAGCATCATGCTGTGGGGATGTTTTTAAGGGGCAGGGACTGGGAGACTAGTCAGGATCGAGGCAAAGATGAACAGAGCAAAGTACAGAGAGATATTTGATTAAAACCTGCTCCAGAGCGCTCAGGACCTCAGACTGGGTGGGAAGGTTCACCTTCCAACAGGACAACGACCCTAAGCACACAGCCAAGACAACGCAGGAGTGGCTTTGAGAGAAGTCGCTGAATGTCCTTGAGTGGCCCAGCCAGAGCCCGGACTTGAACCCGATCGAACATCTCTGGAGAGACCTGAAAATAGCTGTGCAGCAACCCTCCCCATCCAACCTGACAGCGCTTGAGAGGACCTGCAGAGAAGAATGGGTGAAACTCGCCAAATACAGGTGTGCCAAGCTTGTAGCGTCATACCCAAGAAGACTTGAGGATGTAATCGCTGCCAAAGGTGCTTCAACAATGTACTGAGTAAATTGTCTGAATACTTATGTAAATTTGTCATTTCTAAAAAACTGTTTTTGCTTTGTCATTATGGGGTATTGTGTGTAGATTGATAAGGGGAAAAAACACTAATACATTTTAGAATAAGGCTGTAACCTAAAATAATGTAGAAAAAGTCAAGGGGTCTGAATACTTTCCGAACGCACTGTATTAACTTAGTTTCATCCCACCAGATGAAGACCTGGGCCCGTATTCACAAAACATCTCAGAGTAGGAGTGCTGCTCTGTTATCAGGTCCCCCTGTCCATATTAACTATGATCTAAATAGAAAAACTGATCCTAGATCAACACATCTACTCTGAGACGCTTTGTGAATACGGGCCTTGGTCCTTGCTGTCTTTGAGAGATATAATTTGGCAAACAGTCCCCACCACCACCACTTTCAGAGGGCTCCGGGGTGAAGTATCCCCTAGGTACCGATCTAGGATCAGTTTTCTCTTCCCTAACCATTAGTGGGGAAAATGCAAAACTGACCCATGATCAGCATCTAGGGGCAACTTCACCCCACACCTTTTAAGCTCAGAAGAGCCCTGCAGATGTTGCTTCCCCATAGCTTTGCGCCGGTTTGTCCGTCTGTTGATAACAAGGGATATACGAGTCACTTGCTTCATTGCAATTCTGCTGAACAGTAATATTTTCAATATAAACAGTATCATGCTACTTTTTCCATTGGGTCATATTTTGGAACAGTTGGCACAACACAATGGTTAGACTATGAAAAAGTGCTGTCCTCATCCACCAATTTAGTTTATCATCTAAATCCTATCCTTCACTCATAAACCCGATTTAAGCTTTCAACTGGTGCAATAAAATACAATACAACCTTTATGTGAGATCTTTGTTTTTTTCCCTGCTCATTTGATTACCATGATTGGTTGACGAGGGGCATTATCTCAACACTAGAATTTAATAGATTGATCAATACATGGAAACTAAGACCTTGTGTGTGTAGTGTAGATATTTTCTGTGGAGTGATTTTCTAAACCATTGATTATGTATTGACGTGTTCAAAACCAAGATATATATATATATATATACACAGTGGGGAAAAAAAGTATTTAGTCAGCCACCAATTGTGCAAGTTCTCCCACTTAAAAAGATGAGAGAGGCCTGTAATTTTCATCATAGGTACACGTCAACTATGACAGACAAATTGAGGAAAAAAAATCCAGAAAATCACATTGTAGGATTTTTTATGAATTTATTTGCAAATTATGGTGGAAAATAAGTATTTGGTCACCAACAAACAAGCAAGATTTCTGGCTCTCACAGACCTGTAACTTCTTCTTTAAGAGGCTCCTCTGTCCTCCACTCGTTACCTGTATTAATGGCACCTGTTTGAACTTGTTATCAGTATAAAAGACACCTGTCCACAACCTCAAACAGTCACACTCCAAACTCCACTATGGCCAAGACCAAAGAGCTGTCAAAGGACACCAGAAACAAAATTGTAGACCTGCACCAGGCTGGGAAGACTGAATCTGCAATAGGTAAGCAGCTTGGTTTGAAGAAATCAACTGTGGGACCAATTATTAGGAAATGGAAGACATACAAGACCACTGATAATCTCCCTCGATCTGGGGCTCCACGCAAGATCTCACCCTGTGGGGTCAAAATGATCACAAGAACGGTGAGCAAAAATCCCAGAACAACACGGGGGGACCTAGTGAATGACCTGCAGAGAGCTGGGACCAAAGTAACAAAGCCTACCATCAGTAACACACTATGCCGCCAGGGACTCAAATCCTGCAGTGCAAGACGTGTCCCCCTGCTTAAGCCAGTACATGTCCAGGCCCGTCTGAAGTTTGCTAGAGTGCATTTGGATGATCCAGAAGAGGATTGGGAGAATGTCATATGGTCAGATGAAACCAAAATATAACTTTTTGGTAAAAACTCAACTCGTCGTGTTTGGAGGACAAAGAATGCTGAGTTGCATCCAAAGAACACCATACCTACTGTGAAGCATGGGGGTGGAAACATCATGCTTTGGGGCTGTTTTTCTGCAAAGGGACCAGGACGACTGATCCGTGTAAAGGAAAGAATGAATGGGGCCATGTATCGTGAGATTTTGAGTGAAAACCTCCTTCCATCAGCAAGGGCATTGAAGATGAAACGTGGCTGGGTCTTTCAGCATGACAATGATCCCAAACACACTGCCCGGGCAACGAAGGAGTGGCTTCGTAAGAAGCATTTCAAGGTCCTGGAGTGGCCTAGCCAGTCTCCAGATCTCAACCCCATAGAAAATCTTTGGAGGGAGTTGAAAGTCTGTGTTGCCCAGCGACAGCCCCAAAACATCACTGCTCTAGAGGAGATCTGCATGGAGGAATGGGCCAAAATACCAGCAACAGTGTGTGAAAACCTTGTGAAGACTTACAGAAAACGTTTGACCTGTGTCATTGCCAACAAAGGGTATATAACAAAGTATTGAGAAACTTTTGTTATTGACCAAATACTTATTTTCCACCATAATTTGCAAATAAATTCATTAAAAATCCTACAATGTGATTTTCTGGATTTTTTTTCCTCATTTTGTCTGTCATAGTTGACGTGTACCTATGATGAAAATTACAGGCCTCTCTCATCTTTTTAAGTGGGAGAACTTGCACAATTGGTGGCTGACTAAATACTTTTTTTCCCCACTGTATATATGCATACATACAGTGAGGGAAAAAAGTATTTGATCCCCTGCTGATTTTGTACGTTTGCCCACTGACAAAGAAATGATCAGTCTATAATTTTAATGGTAGGTTTATTTGAACAGTGAGAGACAGAATAACTACAAAAAAATCCAGAAAAACGCATGTCAAAAATGTTATAAATTGATTTGCATTTTAATGAGGGAAGTAAGTATTTGACCCCCTCTCAATCAGAAAGATTTCTGGCTCCCAGGTGTATTTTATACAGGTAACGAGCTGAGATTAGGAGCACACTCTTAAAGGGAATGCTCCTAATCTCAGTTTGTTACCTGTATAAAAGACACCTGTCCACAGAAGCAATCAATCAATCAGATTCCAAACTCTCCACTATGGCCAAGACCAAAGGACCTCTCCAAGAATGTCAGGGACAAGATTGTAGACCTACACAAGTCTGGAATGGGCTACAAGACCATTGCCAAGCAGCTTGGTGAGAAGGTGACAAGTTGGTGCGATTATTCGCAAATGGAAGAAACACAAAAGACCTGTCAATCTCCCTCGGCCTGGGGCTCCATGCAAGATCTCACCTCGTGGAGTTGCAATGATCATGAGAATGGTGAGGAATCAGCCCAGAACTACACGGGAGGATCTTGTCAATGATCTCAAGGCAGCTGGGACCATAGTCACCAAGAAAACAATTGGTAACACACTACGCCGTGAAGGACTGAAATCCTGCAGCGCCCGCAAGGTCCCCCTGCTCAAGAAAGCACATATACATGCCCATCTGAAGTTTGCCAATGAACATCTGAATGATTCAGAGAACTGGGTGACAGTGTTGTGGTCAGATGAGACCAAAATGGAGGTCTTTGGCATCAACTCAACTCTCCATGTTTGGAGGAGGAGGAATGCTGACTATGACCCCAAGAACACCATCCCCACCGTCAAACATGGAGGTGGAAACATTGTGCTTTGGGGGTGTTTTTCTGCTAAGGGGACAGGACAACTTCACTGCATCAAAGGGACGATGGACGGGTTCATGTACCGTCAAATCTTGGGTGAGAACCTCCTTCCCTCAGCCAGGGCATTGAAAATGGGTCGTGGATGGGTATTCCAGCATGACAATGACCCAAAACACACGGCCAAGGCAACAAAGGAGTGGCTCAAGAAGAAGCACATTCAGGTCCTGGAGTGGCCTAGCCAGTCTCCAGACCTTAATCCCATAGATAATCTGTGGAGGGAGCTGAAGGTTCGAGTTGCCAAACGTCAGCCTCGAAACCTTAATGACTTGGAGAAGATCTGCAAAGAGGAGTGGGACAAAATCCCTCCTGAGATGTGTGCAAACCTGGTGGCCAACTACAAGAAACGTCTGATTGCCAACAAGGGTTTTGCCACCAAGTACTAAGTCATGTTTTGCAGAGGGGTCAAATACTTATTTCCCTCATTAAAATGCAAATCAATGTATAAAATTTTTGACATGCGTTTTTCTGGATTTTTTTGTTGTTATTCTGTCTCTCACTGTTCAAATAAACCTACCATTAAAATTATAGACTGATCATTTCTTTGTCAGTGGGCAAACTTACAAAATCAGCAGGGGATAAAATACTTTTTTCCCTCACTGGGGTTTCTTCTTATATATGTAAGTTATCTCACAGGAGAATAACTGTTAGTTGCTGAGAGACAGAGCTTTACATAGTACTGTATTGTTTGGAAATAATAGATATGTCTCATTAAGAAATTGATGGAACAAAAACAGATCCCAAGAAGTAAATCATTTGATCCAAATTATTCCAAATACTCTCAAATTGTTGTATAGACTTTAGATTATAGACACATTATAAACACATTATTTATTATTTACATAAGCAATTCATTGAATATCAAGCAATCAGTGACCTGTTAATCTATTGGAAACCTGAACAATTACTTTCATATAAGTATTTGTGTGTACATTATTTTTTCCTTTGTTATTGTGCGTATGTGCATGCGTGCATGGCCCTGCAGAGGCTCCCTGTGTTGTGACGGAGGTGTTTATCTGTGGGGCTCTCCCAGGCTCACTGCTGTAATAAACAATAACCTGACATTAATCACACGGCGCGGCCCTAATAAATAATATCCACACATTAATCACATTAAAGTATTCACAATCAATGCACCTTCTCATAGAAAAACCTCCAAATAAATTGTGGTCTAAGTCACTGAGGCATACTTTATAGAATGGGACTGATAAATGAATAGAACCCCGACGGTATTGCAGCTTTATGTGGAAAACTGCAAGTGAGAATTTCTCCTCTTTCTCCTTTTTTTGCTCGTATTACTTTTTTCCCCTGCATAATACCACTAGATATGGCTTCTGATTCACAGAATATGCATTGTTTATATTGCCTATTTAACAACAAAATAGACAACATTGTTCCCAACTTCTGCACACGTATCATCTTGTGTTAGCCTAGAGTTTAACAGCACGTCTAAAATCACACCATCTAATTGATGCAATCATTGTCATTAGCTAAAGGGAGTAATAACTTTGTCCTGGATGGTTTGTCTTCTGAAGGAATCATGTGATTGATGGCACAGTTGAATAGTCAATTAGTCTAATTACTCCTTTAAGAGCATTTCTTTGTGGCCTCTGTCAATAAATGTGTGATTTGTCATCATGCCCCACTTATTCATTGGGATCACTGTGAGAATTAGCAAAGATCATTAGAGCGCTACATGCAGATAGGAACCACAGACAGAAGGAAGCAGAGAAACCCAACTATACCTAATGTTGCCATTATGTTTCCAGTATGTTGTGCACACATTGATAGATGGCCGAGTCATGGACTGGGGCCACATGGTTGATGAGGGTCATGCTGCCATGGTAACGGGAGCGTGGTGTCCCTCTCTAACCCTCTGTGTGTGTGTGTGTCTGCAGACCTTACCAGTGTGGACACTGCTCCCAGTCCTTCTCTCAGCCGTCGGAGCTGCGCAACCATGTCGTCACTCACTCCAGCGACCGGCCCTTCAAGTGTGGCTATTGTGGTCGGGCGTTTGCAGGAGCCACCACTCTCAACAACCACATCCGGACCCACACTGGGGAGAAGCCATTCAAGTAAGTAACAGTGAGTACCATTGCTTCCTCCAATGACACCATTACAGAAAGCACAATGAATGTTTACGATACACTGTCTGTACTCCTATTGTCGCCCCCACCATTGCCCACCGTGTCTGAAAAGGCCTGTGCTAGTTGAATACTGACACACACTAACACTTAGGGTTAGCACACACTCAGGGCCAGAAGACACTTATTAGAGGACGCCAAAGGTTTCACAATGCCTACATTGTAAAAAAATAAAATAATAAACACTTCAACTGCACTGCCATTTGAAATATTTACTCACCTCTTTTTGAGTGTATCTCAGTGGCAAGGCTGTATTTGAAAGTGGAGTCCATCTCTGCTACAGCACATATATCACAAAGCATAGGTATTGTTCTGTCATAGGCCTCTTAGCGAAAGCATTCCCAGTTAACACATTTTGGTTCCCAGAACGTCCCGGGAACTTTTTATTTATTTTTGGGAAGGGAGGGGAACGTTTCCTGGACGTTGTAAGGTTATTTTTTCAAATAACCAAAGGAGAACCTTTAGGGAAAGTTACGAACAATGTTCTGTGTTAGCTGGGCTCTGGCATGCCAGATGCCTCCCCATATCTCTGCCTGTCTTATTGATGCTGTTGGAGATGCACACTAGATTTATGTAAATAATTGAGCAAGTTAAAGGCTCACACCGGCTAATAGATTTCTGTTAATCTAATGGATGTTAAATACATGTGACCTTGTTGACTCTAAAGCATAAACAAATGCTATTGGAACGGTCACCGTAAAGCCAACATTGGCTTTAATACAGTCACATATTATATTACCCGGTCCTATAATAAGACATTGTAAATGCCTTATTACTGTGCAATTAACTCTATTAAATTAAGTGAGATAAGTATGTTATGATTTCATACTGTATTCCGCTCTTACACAATAACAAAGCAAGAACCGTTTCTACTAGTAAGTACAGTAGGACTGCTTGATATAAGTATCAACATTTACATGATTGCCAGGACAGCAGTATTGACATTATATGAGCTTATCCAACTATATTGAATGTTCATTTTATAGATACAGGTAACTGCCAAAATAAAGGAAACACCAACATAGTGTTCAATGTGCCTTTGCATAGATTCTACAAATGTCTGGAACCCTATTGGAGGGATGCAACACCATTCTTCTACAAGAAATTCCATCATTTGGTGTTTTGTTGATGGTGGTGGAAAACGCGGTCTCAGGCGCCACTCCAGAATCTCCCATAAGTGTTCAATTGGGTTGAGATCTGGTAACTGAGACACACACACCCTGTAAACACCCTATGCTCCTTTGAGACCCCTCTTTCAAAGTCAATGAGATCTCTTCTTCTAGCCATGGTAGCCAAAATAATGGGCAACTGGGAATTTTTATACATGACCCTAAGCATGATGGGATGTTAATTGCTTAATTAACTCAGGAACCACACCTGTGTGGAAGCACCTGCTTTCAATCGACTTTTTATCCCTCAAGTGTTTCCTTTATTTTTGGCAGTTACCTGTATATCAGTGCAGGGATCCATAGTCTTTCGCTAGCTTGAAACTGGGATGAAATTGAATTTACAGCGGCTACTGTCCTCTCATCAATATAGATAATAATTCCCACCAGATTGTCACCATGTAGCCAGGGACGGTGGTGTGAAAAGGTGGCCGACCAATCAAGTAACGAATCAGCTTTCTAATAAGCAATCAGTGATATACAAATGTGTCATCAGCACTTCAAATGCTCCAGAGAGGAAGAGGCGCACAAAGACGTTAATGAAGACACCACAGTAATCTTTAGCTAATCAATAGGGGCTGAGTTATTTTCATTGAGCTGATATGCTTGATAGATTAAAGCTGGCATTTTCTGTTTGTCAGGAATGCTCACGTCTTTTCTACAGCAAAACGTCACTAAACGAATTCCGTGCAGTCTGCAACTTTGGCCCTTTCACTGGCTCTACTTTTACCTTAGTTTTACTGAATTTGCTTTGTGCCTAAGAGGACATTACCGCATATCTACCGCTTTTTACTGTTAGCAGATTGACAAACGGGTGCATCCTTGTCACATAATCTGGAAGACTTGATAGTAGAAGGATCTAGTTTACTGAAAGGGGTGATTCTCACAAATTGCTATGATGTAACTAATGATTAGATACAGTTAGTAGAACAGAATGCTATAAGAAGCTGTCCTTACAGAATTACTGCTCTAGACACCAAGCCCCCTAGCCAAGTGCATTAGCAGCACCCAGCCCTCTACATTGCACACGGTCCATTCTTTCTGAGCTGCTAAACACAATACTTCAGGAGAGGCTCTCTTTGATAGCCGGCCTACCGAAAATCTCTTTTTGTTCTCTATCTACTGGAAGTGACAATGATGCGCGCCTTATCTAGACAGGCCCCTCGAGGTGGACCCCCTCCTCTGAGATTATTGACAGGGCCCAATGTTGGGAGGCATTGGGGCCTTCGCCCATCATCGGCATCAAGGCCAGAGGACTAGGCTCCAATTACAGCCCTCTGGCCCAGTCAGATTCCCAGCCACTTTGGAGTGTCAGTTGCCATTAGGGTGCCGAGTGATGAGGTGGCATGTGCGGCTGGCCTCTCTGAGTCGTTTTGTGTTGTGTGTTCAGGTGTGAGCGGTGCGACAGGAGCTTCACGCAGGCCACCCAGCTCAGCAGACACCAGCGGATGCCCAACGAGTGCAAGCCCATCAGCGGCGAGAGCAGCGAATCAATCGAGGTGGATTAGCTGATTGACTGGCCGGAATTAAACTGCAAGGAAAATCATGATTAAATGTCACGGACACTTAAACAAAACCAAAGATTTCCTCTGAGAAACTCTCAATCAGCCCCAGAAAACCAAAAGCAGTAATAAAATAAGTAAGATGTTAAGAGATATTGATCTTGGCACAGAAAAGGGACCAGGAAGGGGAGGATGGGGGAGGGGATGTTTGGGGGAGGTGGAGTTGTTGAAAGGGGGAGAAACAATTATTTATTTATGACTGGGGAGTTATGGTTCTCAAAGAAGACCTGAAACTGGGACAGCAAAAAATACCAAAAATGTCCACTATATGTAGCTCTATATCTCAGTTGTCTTATTCTTTGTATCCTAATACCAAAGGGAAAGGACTGTTGGGGGGAACGGAGAGGGTAGAACATGCCTCTACTGAGAATGCACAATTTCTCTTAAATTGCACCATGAAGCATGATTTAGGAGGGGACTGTGTTTCCACCACAAAAATAAACTATCCACAGTATGAATTGTGAAAACTAAATTATATTTCTAATTTCTATTGCTTCTATTGCTCTCATGTCATGCTTCGGGCACTTTTAATAATGATTATTTAATTGTTTCAGTTCAATCTGATGCTCCTAAATATAAGAATGGAGACTATTTGAATATTAATTTCTTGTAAAAAACAAAAGACTAAATCTTCAGATTCTTGTTATTCAATGTAAAACTGATAGTTGGCAGATTAAAATAGACATTTTGTCCAGAAAAGGAAGATGTTTTTTCATGGCATTTATTAAGAAACTACTGTATTTCAGGGCAAGCATTTCTTTTAGATCCAGGCTGGAAATCAGTCATATCTGGTTTGTCCTTAATCTCAACATATCAGTTATATCTGGTATAAATTTGTCACAGGCACAATTGTAAGCTCTCCTATATCTGTTCAATGGTGACATTAATTTTAAGATTCAAGGGCAAACTACATCATGATTTGAAACGATGTGCTGCATTTTTTTTACATTGTTATTGTGATTGTTTTGTTAGGACTTACATTGCGTAGTAAAACTATTTCATTTTCATGCAATTTTGGATGTACATAGTGTCATAACGATACACTTCTAACAGGTGAGGAAAAGCACGACAAACCCCAAAGAGGTTTGAGCCTGAAATTAGAGCATTAGGAATGGATTAACTTTGAGACCAAGCCATCAGACATGTTGATGCAAATCTTATCAAATCACACTGGTTTATTGCTGTATTATTATGGACCTAATGATTTGAGTTGAAATAAGCAAAGCAATTTCAATCAGATTAAAAGAAGAAACGTGTATGATAATCATCAGCTCCACTGTATATGACTGGGATCATCAACTAGATTCAGCCGCGGGCCGATTATTTTTCTTGAGCGGATGGTCAGGGGGCCGGAACATAATTACAAATTATTTGTAGACCGCAAGAAGCCCAAACAGATATAATATTGCTTACATTTGTATACGATCACATATCTATCTATTATGCGTGGGAATACTTTGGAACAGATTCGAAAAATGTAAATCACAGAGCTGATTTGCTGGTGTTTTTAGTCTTTTGTGTCAGAACTTGGGGGTTAAATAAAATCACCCGCGGCCATCCAGTTGGGGAACCCTGGTATATGAGAAAGACTTCTGCAAAGTGTGTTAAACTCTGACTTTTCAACATTTGGACGCTTGTTTGCATGATTTCAGCCTTTCCCTTTTCTTTTATATAAAAAAAGGGCTCGAACCAAACCATTCCTCTGTAGAAATTAAAACAGTGACCCAGTTTTGAATATTATCAATAATTCTATTGATGGTTTATTAATTGCTTCTTAATATTTTTTTACTTTTGTGAATGTTTGTCATTTGTATATCAAATCACTATCATTATATTACACTTAACTCCTATCACAGGTATAAACAGTTTATAGATGTAAAGGTATTGAACTTTGAACAAACAATATCCCTGCTGTTGCCCTAAGAATTAGTAGTATTATTTTAGTACTTAAAAAAATGCCTGTGATATTTTATGGAGGACAATGTGCTATACTATTCCAAAACAAATAACATTGAAGTAGGTTTTGAACATGGTTTTTGAAAAATGGCAAATCGTGTCTGAAAACACGATCCATCACTTCCAGCCATCACAAACCAGAAAGTCTGAAATATTCTGTTTTTTCATCCATGAGTTTCCTGTCACTTGATGTTTGTTCTTTACAAAGAGAGTCTGTGTGTGTTTGTGTGCGTGTTGGACATAGCGTTTTCTTGGAGGGGCTCAGATTCATCTTAGCAGGCGGTGATGTATCAGTGTGTCCGCAGGGCGTGCTCCCTGCCCATGGCCCCTGCGTTGTGTGTCTGTAAGGTCACGTCCCACAGCGCCGCTGGTTCTAGTGCGCGGGCAGCTGTCGAGAGGTTATGGATCTGACCCGGAGAACATGAACTCCTCTTGCTCACACCGCCCCTGATTTATTAGGCCGTCCATACACCTTTCAAGCATGGCCCTTTTTTTTCTCAAGCCCTGGCTCAAATCGTCAAGTAAAAACAGAATTCAAAGCAGCTTTTTCAATAAACCTATCCACAAGTCTTTCCCCCTTCAGCAATGTGTGGGTGTTGCTGCTCTGAGACCTGTGCTGCTGTTAAAGAGAGCCTTTCACATGACTGAGTCAGGGTAAAACTTTCATTTCCCATGTTGTCCATGCCACTCAAACAGAACATGTAAATGATTTGCAATGCTTATTTTGGCTCCAGTTGCCCAATCTTATTTGGTGAGGATAGACAAGGTTAAGAATTGTCATCTATATACAGGTCTTTTAAGGCATTATAAACTCCTCACTTGGTTTAGTGCTGGTAAACACTGTCTGGTGGCTATATTTGGGACAGGATGGGATTTGAGTTCCTAAGCAGTCTGGACCCATATTCCAATAACAAATTATAGTTGGGACTAACGTTCTGCCTATTTCCTCTTGACATTTAAACTTTTTTATATTTTTCTTTTTTTAAGTTGGGCATTATTTTGCATTCAACTAAGTGGAATCAAAATGCTATTATCTTTGTTAGTGCAGTCAAAAACGTGATTTTCCTTTGTTTTATATACATTTCCACACTATGAGGTTGGAATAATATAGCGAAATTGATGATAATGCCCTTTTAGTGTAAGAGCGGTTTAAAAAGACAGCCTGAAATTTCAGCCTGTTGTGGCGGGATGGAGTTTTGACATCACCGGGTGGTAAATTAGTAAATAGACCAATAAGAAAGAGTTCCAAACCTTTCTGCCAATAACAGCTAGTTTTCCCCTCCCCACTCAGGCCACTCCCAGACAGTCCTAGAAAAAGTATTGCTTGAGTAATTGCTCTTTGCTATTTTTGTTTCTTTTTGACCATTTTAATTTAAAACAATCACATTAAGGTACTTAATTGTTACCCAGAAATGATTGAATATTGAGATAAAAACAGCTGCATTGGACCTTTAAGTGTGCTAGCAGTCAACTTTAACAAAACATCTTATCTTCACCCACTGGTGGGACACGTTAGAGCTTCAAATCACCTGTATTGTCATGGTGTGTTTGGATTAGTCATATAATGGCCATATTTTGCCAGCTGTTTCCATTTTCCAGTAATAATCCTACTAGCTCTCCCATGCACACACTGCATACATTTGAAGGTTATAACAATTATAACACTACCTTGAACTCAAATAGAAAAAACATTTTTAACCACCTTTCCGCACATGCTTAGCAACTATCACAGTTTGAAGATAATAGAAACAAAGTTGCCAGCATTTAGAGTGATTTAAACAAATTATTCTCACGGGAATTTGACGAATTTGTAAAACAAATACAGTTAAGATGTCATACATCAATCACCATACTTTGCCATGGGAACTAGGACCTGTGAAATGCAGCTTCACTCAGGCTAAACAAATGATCGCACAAAAATTATTATTTTGAAAGGCTACATATGAAAGTGGCCCTGGGGTTTTGGACTGTAATGGTTTGCTTTTCATGGAATTTCCTGCTCAGGAAAATATTAAACAGACAAGGGTCACACTTTCAAAAGCAATTAGTGATCATGCTGGAGTTTTTCTAACTTCTAAAAAAAAAATGTTAATGGGAAACATAATGTAGGGGGAAAAGTCTGAGAAATTAAAGTTCTCTCTTGACCTTTTTCAATTACAATGACCGTTTATTAACTTGACAAATGTGTCCGAGCGCAGGATTTCCCCCCAAGTTTTATTGAGTTTACTGTACAGTTGTGTATGTCAGAGAGCATACACCATGCACATTCTGTGATCCATTGTGATCAATTTAAGTGTGGAACATAACAGCCAGAAGTGAAAGAGGGTGGGAAACCCCACTATCCCATCATCCTCGCCTGACCTTACTGGTCACAGCACTGTACGATCATGGTAACTAATCTTAATGACCTGATTCATTTCTACTCATCTGATTAACACGGATTTCAGAATCCTTGGCACTACTTAATGGAAACTCTCCCAGTTTAAAACATGGTCTAAGGGAGATTTTTTTTTTATGGCATGGGGCTTGGTGATCCATATTCACGAGTCTGACAAATTACTATTAATTCCATCCAGGTTCTCCCATTAGCTGCAACATGACAAACAGTCTGTTCACATTATGCAGAGCGAACACCAGTCACACAAGTCATGCCAGAGATACTTATCATTGTCAGGTTAGGCCCCATGCATAATGCCAAAGGTAGCAATCAAAGCCCAGAAAAGTGTACCCAGGCCCAGAGTGATCCACCAGGGCTCAAACGAGCATAAATCACATGGGCCCGGGCTGGAGTGAGTGACTCGGTAAACATGCTGATAGTGTGTCTTTATGTCAGCTGTGTAAGCTGTTGCTGACGGTCTGTCCTCATAAGTACAGGGGAGTTCAATCGGCGAGGAGGGCCAGTGTCTAAACAAGCCATACGTCACTATCAGCTGGGCCAGATTTTACAGACAGCAGTCTCCAGCAGGCCCTGGGCCCTGCTCCTCACCAGCCAGATAAAGAGCCAGGAGGAATTCAGCCCTTCACGTCGGCCACCAGACGGATGAGCTGTGAGCGTCTGCACACTGTCAGACCAGATGACAACACAAGCCATCCACCACCCACCACCACCACCAGACAGACCGCATGGGAACACACTCAGGCGGTGTGTTTGGGACGGTGTTAAGACGTGTGATTACATGTGTAAGCTATCACACTCCTGTACCCGCAGGTCAGCAGATTGAGCTCATCAACCCATCTCGCAATATTCAATGACATTGTTCTATCATTTGTTAATGTGGAATTTGGGTTGGTGCCCTAGAATCCATCTGTAAATCCTTGAGTATCAAACCCCACCCCCCAAAAAAGAAGAGCGATTAATAGAGGCACTTAACATCAAACATATGGGCGGTGTCAGAGAGGTAGAGTAGCGGCCATTGACATGACAGATACAACATTTACATTTACATTTACGTCATTTAGCAGACGCTCTTATCCAGAGCGACTTACAAATTGGATATACCGTTGTAGGATGTGTTTTGAGAAATACTTTTGGGGACTGGAGTCATTTAATGTAATGGGATATTATGCCAACTACACTCCATACATCTTTAGAAATTACCAGGCCAAATAAAGACACCACTTCGTCAACTTTAAACGAAGTATAACATTAAGGCTTAAAGAGCAACTGCCCCTAAAAACAAACTTCTCTTTTTGTGGCATCGATATGAGTCCAAACATTTATTCTACTGTCAAAATTGACTACAAAGTGTAAAGAGGATAATTTTGGTCATAAAGTCAGTCTCGTCCAAAACGGAGTTCTGTGAGACTTGTGGTTGTGACTGCACCACAACGTAAATTAAGAATGGGCACAAATTATCTATTATATTGACCAGCTGGTCAAATGCCCGCTCTAACAATGGAAATAAACGTCCTCAAAGATTGAAGGCAGTCGGGAGGAGGCGAGATCAGGTGGGAGCATTCTAGCCAATGAGAGGGCAGATACGCTTGTGACCAAAAGGCACATCTCCGATATAAAGTAGTTTTTTTCCAAAGTTGCCAGGATGTTACGTTTCCTATTTATATCAATCAGTACACTCGTAACAACCTAAGCATGACAAAACTTCACATTTTTTGTTGACCAAATTCGACACATTGACCTTCAAGCAAAAACACCTCATTTGGTGGGCGAAAAAACGCCACCTGCTGGAGACAGATTTTGGGCCGAGTTGGACCTCTGGCTTCGCCTCTTCCTCTCTGGGTTGGATTTGTTTCAATCCTGCCCACAGCTGGCAGCACACAGGTAATCATCAATTCGGAGTGCAGCTGCACACGACCCAATCGTAATGCCTGTGGTAAATTTGGGTTGACTTTGGATATCCCTATGGGGCTAGTTAGGGAACATAGGTAAATTAGACAATGTACAATATGTTAAAATTCCAATAGCTCCAAATTTCAATGACTTAAAAACCTAAAACTACAAATTGTAGAAATTAATATACAAATATTACAAGCATTTAATGAGAAAACTAAAAAGTGTGCAACATGAAATATAGTATAATTTATATTGTAATTTATTGATAGTCCCTAACTAGTCCCAGACATAGGCTATCCAAAGTCAAACCAACAACTTTTCCACGGTCGCACACCAGCTGGCTGAAGCTAATTGGCAAAATAATTTGGATAACTCTTCCCACCTGCGAACACACACAAGAAACCCATCAAACCACAACCCTAAAATAACTCACGTTTGAATTGTCATGGCCACTAGTATTTCTTAATTAACCAAATCAAAGAAGATCTATTATATTGACAAGATAGCCAGGTGACCGCTCTAACAATGGAAATACATGTCCTCAATGATTGAAGGCAGGCGAGATCAGGTGGGACCATTCTAGCCAATGAGAGGGCAGATACGTGTGTGAACAGCCACAATTAAGTAGTTTTTCTCAAAGTTGCCAGGTGCATTCACTTATATCAGTACATTTGTAACAGTCTAAACATTACAAAACTCTTTGATCAAATAAGCCTAACGTAATTCGACACGCTCTCATAGACCTCCATACAAATAAAGTGCTCATCTCACACGGACAGATTTTCCCCTCAGCAGCCTCCACTGGTGTAGAGATGTAAACCAACCTGTGCTCACTAACACAAGACTGTGAAGGCGCATATAATCCCCAAATAATGTATTTAATACACACAAATCAATATACATTCAAGAGTAGTCTATGCATGTTAGTCATGACAAACAATAAATACTTTTAACACACTAATTCTGGATCTGAAAAAATAAGAATAACTAGTATATTTACACGTAGCTTTGCTGATGTTACAGCGCCATCTGGTGTCTACAGACAACTCACTCAGTATAAACACACCAACGAACCTTCAACCACTAGAGTGACCTCTTTCGTTCTAATAATTTAAACCATAGACATTTGGAATGTAATGCTTGGTAAAATAAAATAATTTGGGCCTTTCCCGTTTCACAATCATCTCTAAAATGTGGATATTAGCCCATAGTATAAAACAGATAATATAGCCTATTACAAATGTAACAAAGAAAGCCAAAATGTACTTAAAAAACAAAGAACACAAAACACTTACACAAAACAAAGTCAATCCCTTATGCTAGCTTTCTACTGTCCCTGGAGCTTGAAGTGATCTGATAGTCCAATTCAGACCATTTGGCACACTAGGAATTGATAGACACTTCACATTTAGGCGAGTCCGATGGCTGGTTTTCTAACATCCATTAGCATGAGATGCTAGACTAGTGGTCAGTGGGCCACTCTGTGTGCCATGGCCTCTTGGATTTGCCTGTTGAGCTCGCTGATGATGCGGTCTTGGTGTGTGTACACACCCGTGCGTAACAGAGTGTCTCTCTCCTCCAGAAGCCGGCTGAGGTGATCGTCGGCGCTCTCGTTGAGAGACACGGCGGGGCCGGCAGAGTCACTACCCCACGGCCTCTTGTCCTCCTGTTGTTTTAACCTGCGGTAGAAAAACACAGCCAGCGGGGGGAGGAGAGTAAGAGGTCGATGCCAATGGATTCAGATAACAACCCAAGAGGTCCACGGTTGGACAAGGTCAATGTGGCACAAATAAATGACATCTCAAATCAAATCACATATTATTTGCCACATGTGCCGAATACAACAGGTGTAGTAGACCTTACAGTGAAATGCTTACTTACAAGCCCTTAACCAACAATGCAATTTTAAGAAAGAATACCAAAAAAATACCAAGAAAACATTAAGTAACAAAATAATAAGAAATAAAAATAACAAATAATGAATGAGCAGCAGTAAAATAACAATAGCGAGGCTGTATACAGGGGGTACTGGTACCGAGTCAATGTGCGGGGGCACTGGTTAGTCGAGGTAGTATGTACATGTAGGTAGAGTATTATCTATGCATAATCAATATAATAAAACAGAGAGTAGCAGCAGCGTAAAAGAGGACACACACACACACACAATGCAAATAGTCTGGGTAGCCATTTGATTAGATGTTCAGGAGTCTTATGGCTTGGGGGTAGAAGCTGTTCAGAAGCCTCTTGGATCTAGGCGTTCCGGTACCGCTTGTCGTGCATATAGTATATGGCATATGAATGTCTAGTAATGCATTACCTTTGTATACAGGGAGCATAAAAAAGTCCCTTTTGCCTTTGACTGAAGGTGTTTTGAATTAAATTCCACTTAACTGGTCTTAAGTGAACCCTCCAGGCTTTTGGAAGATAAATAATGCTAGTGTGGTAGTGTGTTAGTTGGTACCTGTTCAGCTCGTTCCTGATGTCCTCCAGCTCGTGTTTCTCGCTTTTGACGGCTTCCTTCTCCTCGGCTGCCAGGTAGCGCAGCCTCATGGTCTCCAGCTCCTGCTGCTGCTTCTTCAGCCGTGTCATGGCGCTCTCCTGCTCTCTCTAACACAACATACCAGAGAAGGCTGCGATCATATCACTCTGTTCTGCAGCACAGCATACTTTCTCAAACAAAGTAGGAAAACAACCAGGTGTTTGAGGGCTGGGAATTGCCAGGGTCCTAAAGATACAAAATTATCACGATACTTAGGTGCCGAATATGATAATAGTATTTCCCGATTCTACTGCAATTCGATACTGCGATTTGATGTTCCAAACATTTTGCTCACTATATGTCTGCTGCAGAGACGAGAGAGCATGACAACATTTGTTTTGATTAGTTATGGAAATAAGTGTTGAAAACATGTTGGCTCACTATTTAAAAAGAAGAAGAACAAGCTATAGGGCATTTTTGGCGCAGGTACAGCCGACTAGCGCTAGCTAACGTCATCTTAAAAAAATATATATATATATATATATATATATATATATATATATTTTTTTTTTTATTTATTACAAATTGATACTTGGAAAGTATCGATATAATATCATCCAAAATAATATTGCGATATCTAACTATCGATTTTTTCCCCAATCACTAGTGTTTATGTTGGTACCATGGAATAAAAGCTGATCATGGAATAAAAAGCATTTTGACCAAGAGACTCCTATGACGGTTTCAATGAACAGCAGTTTATGACGGTTTCAATGAACAGCAGTTTAGGGACATGTCATGTGTTCCCTGACACTTAACAGTTACTGGTTCAAATATGGACAAGTTCCCTTTTCTCACAATCTGCTCCCTTTTCCAGACAATCACCGGTTAAAATACAGACAAGTTCCTTTTTCTCACACAGCCAGGGCAAAACTCAGTTCATCTTTATCACAGAGTGATATGTTGGCACAGAATTACGTTTAATTTAGTGTTTTCTGTGAACATTAGTCGCCTGTAATACATTTGCTTTACCAAAATTGCTACAAAAACAAACCACAGAAACATTTCTGGAGCGCACATTGCCAAGTAAGCGCCAAAGCACTGAAACAATTAATGCAGGGCTTTTTCTAAGGTCTCTTGGGCAAAGGGTTTCCTCGGCTACTGCTGGTTGAAGAGTGCATTAAGTATTTCCAGTGGACAACAGCGCCACGCTAGGGGCTAGGTGTGTGGTACGCCACTGCATTCTCAGTAATGGATGCCAGGTTCTTGGTAAACACAGCCCTCCAGAGTTTGGCTCTCTCCAGGAGGGAGAGGACAAAGGCAGCGCAGGCAGGCCTGAGTGACCAGCGAACGACCCCCATTCCCATTCCCTGTGGCCTGCATCCAGTGGGTCAGACTAGGGACTCGCCTGAGTGAAGCAAGCTGCCCAGATGGGCCTCAACTGCAGTTTTCTGGAAAATAAGCCGACTGACAGACAGACACCTGGGGGATTTCAAAGCTCCAGTTTTTCAGGTCTCACACTATCTGACACCAAATACCAAGGCGGTTCAGAGTTAGGGGAGTAGGAGGCGGCAGGCATACTTGGGCTCAAATTAATCAGTTGACCGTATCTGCTGTATTAGAGGCTAAGAGATAAGATAAGGCTAAGGGCTAAGTCAGGAATGTATACGTTTTCTAAAGAGCTGCATTTCATTCTTACCATCTGGACATTTAGAGGGAAAAGGCATTATTCCTGAGGCGAGAATTTCTTTGCCGCAACTTGGCTAAAAAGTATGCCGACGCGTTGATAGGTGAAACAAATAGTGATAGCATAGCGCAAACCAAACAAACGTTAACTACACAGAGTGTATCCAAGCACGGGTCTGACAGATACCCCTAAAAACAAGTGTGACATTTCAATGGTTAACGCCTGGGCTAATGCTTAACATAATACAAACATGATTTATAGGGCTATTTCACATTAAGTTATGAAGCCCTTAGTGCAACATAAATCAACTTGTGTTTTCTTAACATATATCTGGCACTTAGAAATTCCAGAAAAAAGGGGGTTCAGATTTTCCAGCTGGCTTTTGTCTTTAACAGTTATTAGTGAGGCCTGATAAGCCCAGTGTGCCGACTTTGTTGACATTGGATTAGTCCCTTGAAGGGCTCACTCCAGACGCAGCACAGGTTTCAGAGCCCACTAGAAGGTTGTGCTGATTTAAAAGTGATCAATGTCTAATACACCTTGTAAAAATATTTGGGCCCATGTAAAAACACACAGCGAATGACTCCACATGATATACTGTATGACGAGGCTGTGAAAGGTAGTGTAAAGTCGAGGCTAATGTGGCTTCCTTTATTTGCATTCACACTTATCCTCAAGCTGTTAATTACTTATCATTGACACATGCTGCAAGGATCCAACAAATTGAAAATATTTAGACATCTGGGGGTGGGGGGGGGGGGGGGGGGGGGGAGAACTCAAACATGATTTAAGCCTAGGGCTGGGCAATATGGCCAAAATAACATATCACAATGTTTTTCACGGTATGACAGTATTTGACGGTATTTTATGTTTTTGAATAATAGTTCAAAACATGCTTTATGAGTAGTTCATTACCCTAGCGTTGCAACACATTAATTATAAGTGATTTCAATGCGGCTTTCTCCATTCTGATTGTTTTATACTGTTCAATTCAACACCCCCAAAAATGTCTGCATTTCCTGCACTTTTGTTATCATTTCCACACTGTGCCACGTAGGGCTGCATGATATGGGCTATATATATATACATACACACATACATACACACACACACACACACTACCATTCAAAAGTTTGGGCTCACTTAGAAATGTCCTTGTTTTCCATGAAACGTTACATGAAATGAGTTTGAATAGGAAATATAGCAAAATGAATAGGAAATGTAGTCATTGACAAGGTTAGAAATAATATTTTTAATTGAAATAATAATTGTGTCCTTCAAACTTTGCTTTCGTCAAAGAATCCTCCATTTGCAGCAATTACAGCCTTGCAGACATTTGGCATTCTAGTTGTCAATTTGTTGAGGTAATCTGAAGAGATTTCACCCCATGCTTCCTGAAGCAACTCCCACAAGTTGGATTGGCTTGATGGGCACTTCTTACGTACCATACGGTCAAGCTGCCCCCACAACAGCTCAATAGGGTTGAGATCCGGTGACTGTGCTGGCCACTCCATTATAGACAGAATACCAGCTGACTGCTTCTTCCCTAAATAGTTATTGCATAGTTTGGAGCAGTGCTTTGGGTCATTGTCCTGTTGTAGGAGGAAATTGGGTCCAATCAAGCGCCGTCCACAGGGTATGGCATGGCGTTGCAAAATGGAGTGATAGCCTTCCTTCTTCAAGATCCCTTTTACCCTGTACAAATCTCCCACTTTACCACCACCAAAGCACCCCCAGACCATCACATTGCCTCCACCATGCTTGACAGATGGCATCAAGCACTCCTCCAGCATCTTTTCATTTGGTCTGCGTCTCACAAATGTTATTCTTTGTAACCCGAACACCTCAAACTGTCCATAACACTTTTTTCCAATCTTCCTCTGTCCAGTGTCTGTGTTCTTTTGCCCATCTTAATATTTGCTTTTTATTGGCCAGTCTGAGATATGGCTTTTTCTTTGCAACTCTGCCTAGAAGGTCAGCATCCCGGAGTCGGCTCTTCACTGTTGACGCTGAGACTGGTGTTTTGCGGGTACTATTTAATGAAGCTGCCAGTTGAGGACATGTGAGGCGTCTGTTTCTCAAACTAGACACTAATGTATTTGTCCTCTTGCTCAGTTGTGTACCGGGGCCTCCCACTCCTCTTTATATTCTGGTTAGAGCCAGTTTGCGCTGTTCTGTGAAGGGAGTAGTACACAGCGTTGTACGAGATCTTCAGTTTCTTGGCAATTTCTCGAATGGAATAGCCTTCATTTCTCAGAACAAGAATAGACTGACGAGTTTCAGAAGAAAGGCCATTTTGATCCTGTAATCGAACCCACAATTGCTGATGCTCCAGATACTCAACTAGTCTCAAGAAGGCCAGTTTGATTATTTCTTTAATCAGCACAACAGTTTTCAGCTGTGCTAACATAATTGCAAAAGGGTTTTCTAATGATCAATTAGCCTTTTAAAATGGAAAACTTGGATTAGCAAACACAACGTGCCATTGGAACACAGGACTGATGGTTGCTGATAATGGGCCTCTGTACGCCTATGTAGATATTCCATTAAAAATCAGCAGTTTCCAGCTACAATAGCCATTTACAACATTAACAATGTCTACACTGTATTTCTGATCAATTTGATGTTACTTTAATGGACAAAAAAATTGCTTTTCTTTCAAAAACAAGGATATTTCTAAGTGACCCCAAACTTTTGAACGGTGGTGTATATCACACAGTGCATTCGGAAAGTATTCAGACCCCATGACTTTTTCCACATTTTGTTACGTTAAAGCCTTATTCTAAAATGGATTAAATCATTTTTCCCCTCTCATCAATCTACACACAATACCCCATAATGACAGGTTTGTAGAAATGTTTGCAAATGTATTAAAACAGAAATACCTTATTTACATAAGTATTCAGACCCTTTGCTATGAGACTCGAAATTGAGCTCAGTTGCATCATATTTCCATTGATCATCCTTGAGATGTTTCTACAACTTGATTGGAGTCCACTTGTGGTAAATTCAATTGATTGGACATGATTTGGAAAGGCACACACCTGTCTATATAAGGTCCCACAGTTGACAGTGCATGTCAGAGCAAAAACCAAGCCATGAGGTCGAAGGAATTGTACGTAGAGCTCCGAGGCAGGATTGTGTCGAGGCACAGATCTGGGGAAGGGTACCAAAAAATGTCTGCAGCATTGAAACTCCCCAAGAACACAGTGGCCTCCATCATTATTAAATGGAAGTAGTTTGGAACCACCAAGACTCTTCCTAAAGCTGGCCCGCCCGGCCAAACTGAGCAATCGGGGGAGAAGGGCCTTGGTCAGGGAGGAAGTGTCACTTCTGGAGGAAACCTGGTATCATCACTACGGTGAAGCATGGGGGGTGGCAGCATCATGCTGTGGGGATGTTTTGCAGCGGCAGGATCGAGTGAAAGATAAACGGAGCAAAGTACAGAGAGATTCTTGATGAAAATTATTGACCATAACCTGTTGTTGAAAAAATTTGTGTTATGGCTTTTCAACCTCTGCCATATTGTGGATTCAGAGCTATCTATCTAATATAATTCAAAGGTTTTTCTTTAATTGAAACTTCTCCAATGTCAAACATGGAAAGTGTGGTGTACCGCAGGGCAGCTCTCTAGGCACTCTACTCTTTTCTATTTTTACCAATGACCTGCCACTGGCATTAAACAAAGCATGTGTGTCCATGTACGCTGATGATTCAACCAAATACACATCAGCAACCACAGTTAATGAAGTCACTGAAACCCTTAACAAAGAGTTGCAGTCTGTTTAGGCATGGGTGGCCAGTAATAAACTGGTCCTGAACATCTCTAAAACTAAGAGCATTGTATTTGGTACAAATCATTCACTAAGTTCTAGACCTCAGCTGAATCTGGTAATGAATGGTGTGGCTGTTGAACAAGTTGAGGAGACTAAATTACTTAGCGTTACCTTAGATTGTAAAGTGTCATGGTCAAAACATATAGATTCAATGGTTGTAAAGATGGGGAGAGGTCTGTAATAAAGAGATGCTCTGCTTTTTTTTGACACCACACTCCAAAAAGCATGTCCTGCAGGCTCTAGTTTAGTCTTATCTTGATTATTGTCCAGTCGTGTGGTCGAGTGATGCAAGGAAAGACCTAGTTAAGCTGCAGCTGGCCCAAAACAGAAAGGCACGCCTTGCTCTTGATTGTAATCATAGGGCTGATATAAATACTATGCATGCCAGTCTCTCTTGGCTAAGAGTTGAGGAGAGACTGACTGCATCACTTCTTATTTTTTAAGAAACATTAATGTGTTGAAAATCCCAAATTGTTTACATAGTCAACATACACACAGCTCTGACACACACACTTACCCCACCCAGACATGCCACCAGGGGTCTTTTCACAATCCCCAAATCCAGTACAAATTCAATAAAGCGAACAGTATTATATAGAGCCATTATTGCATGAAACTCTGTTCCATCTCATATTGCTCAAATGAACAGCAAACCTGGTTTAAAAAAACAGATACCGCAACACAACGCTTCTCCCCTATTTGACCTAGATAGTTTGTGTGTATGTACTGATATGTAGGCTACGTGTGCCTTTAAATAAAAAACATTGATGTAGTTCTGTCCTTGAATTGTTCTTGTCTATTAATGTTATGTATTATGTCATGTTTCATGTTTTGTGTGGACCCCATGAAGAGTAACTGTTGCAACAGCTAATGGGGATCCTAATAAAATACCCCAAAAAACAAATACCAAAACCTACCAAGTTGAACCCGATAGAACATCTCTGGAGAGACCTGAGAATAGCTGTGCAGCAATGATCCCCATCCAACCTGACAGAGCTTGAGAGGATCTGCAGTGAAGAATAAGAGAAACTCCCCAAATACAGGTGTGCCAAGCTTGTAGCGTCATACCAAAGAAGACTCGAGGATGTAATCGCTGCCAAAGATGCTTCAACAAAGTACTGAGTAAAGGGTCTGAATACTTATGTAAATGTGATATTTCTGTTTTATATTTTGAAATTAGCTAAAGTTTCTAAAAACCTGTTTTCGCTTTGTCATTATGGGGTATTGTGTGTAGATTCATGAGTTTTTTTGGTTGTAATTTAATCCATTTTAGAATAAGGCTGTAACGTAACAAAAATGTCAAGGGGTCTGAATACTTTCCGAATGCACTGAATATATGTATGTGTGTGTGTGTGTATATATATACACATATACATACATACATACATACACACACACACAAACACACACACACACACACACACAGTGAGGGAAAAAAGTATTTGATCCCCTGCTGATTTTGTACGTTTGCCCACTGACAAAGAAATGATCAGTCTATAATTTTAATGGTAGGTTTATTTGAACAGTGAGAGACAGAATAACAACCAAAAAATCCAGAAAAACGTATGTCAAAAATTTTATAAATTGATTTGCATTTTAATGAGGGAAATAAGTATTTGACCCCTTTGCAAAACATGACTTAGTACTTGGTGGCAAAACCCTTGTTGGCAATCACAGAGGTCAGACGTTTCTTGTAGTTGGCCACCAGGTTTGCACACATCTCAGGAGGGATTTTGTCCCACTCCTATTTGCAGATCTTCTCCAAGTCATTAAGGTTTCGAGGCTGACGTTTGGCAACTCGAATCTTCAGCTCCCTCCACAGATGTTCTATGGGATTAAGGTCTGGAGACTGGCTATGCCACTCCAGGACCTTAATGTGCTTCTTCTTGAGCCACTCCTTTGTTGCCTTGGCCGTGTGTTTTGGGTCATTGTCATGCTGGAATACCCATCCACGACCCATTTTCAATGCCCTGGCTGAGGGAAGGAGGTTCTCACCCAAGATTTGACGGTATATGGCCCTGTCCATCGTCTCTTTGATGCGGTGAAGTTGTCCTGTCCCCTTAGCAGAAAAACACCCCCAAAGCATTATGTTTCCGGTGGGGATGGTGTTCTTGGGGTCATAGGCAGCATTCCTCCTCCTCCAAACACGGCGAGTTGAGTTGATGCCAAAGAGCTCCATTTTGGTCTCATCTGACCACAACACTTTCCCCCAGTACTCCTCTGAATCATTCAGATGTTCATTGGCAAACTTCAGACGGGCATGTATATGTGCTTTCTTGAGCAGGGGGACCTTGCGGGCACTGCAGGATTTCAGTCCTTCACGGCGTAGTCTGTTACCAATTGTTTTCTTGGTGTCTATGGTCCCAGCTGCCTTGAGATCATTGACAAGATCCTCCCATGTAGTTCTGGACTGATTCCTCACCGTTCTCATGATCATTGCAACTCCACAAGGTGAGTTCTTGCATGGAGCCCCAGGCCGAGGGAGATTGACAGGTCTTTTGTGTTTCTTCCATTTGCGAATAATCGCACCAACTGTTGTCACCTTCTCACCAAGCTGCTTGGCGATGGTCTTGTAGCCCATTCCAGCCTTGTGTAGGTCTACAATCTTGTCCCTGACATCCTTGGAGAGCTCTTTGGTCTTGGCCATGGTGGAGAGTTTGGAATCTGATTGATTGATTGCTTCTGTGGACAGGTGTCTTTTATACAGGTAACAAGCTGAGATTAGGCGCACTCCCTTTAAGAGTGTGCTCCTAATCTCAGCTCGTTACCTGTATAAAAGAGACCTGGGAGCCAGAAATCTTTCTGATTGAGAGGGGATCAAATACTTATTCCCCTAATTAAAATGCAAATCAATTTATAAAATTTTTGACATGCGTTTTTCTGGATTTTTTTGTTGTCTCTCACTGTTCAAATAAACCTACCATTAAAATTATAGACTGATCATTTCTTTGTCAGTGGGCAAACGTACAAAATCAGCAGGGGATCAAATACTTTTCCCCCTCACTGTATATAAATAAAACTTTTAACAAGGCACACCTGTTAATTGAAATGAAATATATATCCCCCTATATATTCCAACTATAGAATTGCACAAACATGCTGGTCTAGGCCTACACCAGCACTGGTATCAGGCTGTATTCGCATACTACGGGCAAACACATTTCTGTTGAATCAAAGTGGCAGTCATCTAAATTGGCCTACCTGCTTGAACCTGGCCAGTTCTTTTAAAGCACGCCCCCACTGCTGCTTGTAATGAAGTTTCGACTTTGTTGTGGATTCCAGTTTCCTTTCAAGTTCCACCTTGAATAACAGATAGTTGATTAAAAGATGCAGCACAACCGTAACAAAAAAAAAATACACCCTACATTTCTATTCAAGGTCAAAATGATAAGAAACGGTGGTTATAAGGTCTTACAAACAAGTTAGAAATGGTTGTAAACAGGTTATAAGTGGTTACAAACAGATTATAAATGGTTATAAACAGGTTATAAGTGGTTATCTTTCAATTACAGGTAGCCTAGCGGTTACGAGGTCGCTGGTTCGAACCCCCGAGCCGGCTAGGTGAAAAATCTGTTGATGTGCCCTTGAGCAAGGCACTTAACCCAAATAGCTCCTGTAAATTGCTCTGGATAAGAGTGTCTGCTAAATGACTAAAATGTAAAAAGAATGTACATTGCTAGCTAGTGTGACTCGGCTAGCTTGCTGCAAGGAAAGTATTCAGTTCCCTTGACTTTTTCCACATTTTGTAACGTTAGAGCCTCATTCTAAAATGGATTTTAAAAAACAATTTCCTCAGCAATCTACACACAATACCCCATAATGACAAAGCAAAAACAGGTTTTTGGAAATGTTTGCTAATTTAAAAATAAAAACCAGAAATACCTTATTCCCATAAGTATTCAGCCTATGAGACTCGAAATTGAGCTCAGGTGCATCCTGTTTCCATTGATCATCCTTGAGATTTTTCTACAACTTGATTGGAGTCCACCTGTGGTACATTCAATTGATTGGACATGATTGGAAAGGAACACACCGTTCTATATAAGGTCCCACAGTTGACAGTGCATGTCAGAGCAAAAACCAAGCCATGAGGTCGAAGGAATTGTCCGTAGAGCTCAAAGACAGTGTTGTGTCGAGGCACAGATCTGGGGAAGGGTACCAAAAAATGTCTGCAGCATTGAAGGTCCCCAAGAACACAGTGGTCTCCATCATTCTTAAATGGAAGAAGTTTGGAACCACCAAGACACTTCCTAGAGCTACCCGCACGGCCAAAGTAAGCAATCGGGGGAGAAGGGCTTTGGTCAGGGAGGTGACCAAGAACCCAATGGCCACTCTGACAGAGCTCCAGAGTTCCTCTGTGGAGATGGGAGAACCTTCCAGAAGGACAACCATCTCTGCAGCACTCCACCAATCAGGCCTTTATGGTAGAGTGGCCAGACGGAAGCCACTCCTCAGTAAAAGGCACATGACAGCCCACTTGGAGATTGCCAAAAGGCACCTAAAGGACTCAGACCATGAGAAACAAGATTCTCTGGTCTGATGAAACCAAGATTGAACTCTTTGGCCTGAATGCCAAGCGTCACGTCTGGAGGAAAACTGGCACTATCCCTACGTTGAACCATGGTGGTAGCAGCGTCAGGCTGTGGGGATTATTTTCAGCGGCAGGGACTGGGAGACTAGTCAGGATCGAGGGAAAGATGAACGGAGAAAAGTACAGAGAGATCCTTGATGAAAACCTGCTCCAGAGCGCTCAGGACCTCAGACTGGGGCAAAGGTTCACCTTCCAACAGGACAACAACCCTAAGCACACAGCCAAGACAACGCAGGAGTGGCTTTGGGACAAGTCTCTGAATGTCCTTGAGTGGCCCTGCCAGAGCCCGGACTTGAACCCGATCAAACATCTCTGGAGAGACCTGAAAATAACTGTGCAGCAATGCTCCCCATCCAACCTGACAGAGCTTGAGAGGATCTGCCGAGAAAAATGGGAGAAACTCCCCAAATACAGGTGTGCCAAGCTTGTAGCGTCATCCCCAAGAAGACTCGAGGTTGTAATCGCTGCCAAAGGTGCTTCAACAAAGTACTGAGTAAAGCATCTGAATACTTATGTAAATGTAATATTTTAGTTTATTATTTGTATAACATTTGCTAAACATTCTAAAACCTGCTTTTGCTTTGTCATTATGGGGTATTGTGTGTAGATTGAGGGAAAAAACTAATTTAATCAATTTTAGAATAAGGCTGTAATGTAACAAAATGTGGAAAAAGTCAAGGGGTCTGAATACTTTCCGAATGCACTGTATGAAATGTATTAATTACACTGTTAGAATGTTGCAGTCAGAATGACTGCTCGTTAGCTTGAAGGAGGGTCCCCCGAGGCCCAGCGGTTCTAGTGTGAACAGATAATTTAAATGATTATTTCTTACCTAAATATTAAAATTAACATTATTTAATAACTTTTTATTCGTGGTTTACATGATAACCACCAAAAAGCAACTATATCCTCTATAAATACAGAAGTAAATATAAAACACTTGTTCAGTTTACCTACTTAGACATACATATCTTTAAGTTGTATCTATCTATGGCAGTGGATAAGAATGCAGAAGTGTTTGTGCTGAAGCACCACAAGCTCACTAATAAACAAGGGCTGAATGAGATGAATTAAACTTTGTCTCAAAGTAAATCTGAAATGGCACTGTTCACAAGTTCACACAATATGCAGTAACATGCAGTTCGTAATGTCACCACTAGATGTTTTTATTGAGTAGATTCACTACAGTGCTTTACAACAGTCAAAGTAAACAGTCATGTAAAGAAACACTATGGCAACCTGGCAATGAGAGCTTGTTTTGACAAGCACACGCTAACTGTTCATTACGAGAATGTTTTCTTATTGAAATCATTGTAAATTACAATCTTATTCAATACAAAATGTATTGGCTATATATTTCAACTGCAAATGGCATGCGCTGATGACTGAAAACGTTCATGCAGGAAAATGTTTGCAGAACTGACTTGTCACACACGTTCTAATTTAGTTAGCTAGCTAACAATCTTATCTCTATGTATAAGCATGAAGTAGAGGCCTAAGCATTGTTGTTCACTAGTTTACTCCAATTAGGGAGGGGATGGTGGGGTTGGAAAGTAATAAAGGGAAATATATATATTTTTAAAGGATGTGTATGTATGTTTGTATGTATATATATATATATATATATATATATATATATATATATATATATATATATATATATATATATATATATACACACACACACTGCTCAAAAAAATAAAGGGAACACTTAAACAACACAATGTAACTCCAAGTCAATCACACTTCTGTGAAATCAAACTGTCCACTTAGGAAGCAACACTGATTGACAATACATTTCACATGCTGTTGTGCAAATGGAATAGACAACAGGTGGAAATTATAGGCAATTAGCAAGACACCCCCAATAAAGAAGTGGTTCTGCAGGTGGTGACCACAGACCACTTCTCAGTTCCTATGCTTCCTGGCTGATGTTTTGGTCACTTTTGAATGCTGGCGGGGCTTTCACTCTAGTGGTAGCATGAGACGGAGTCTACAACCCACACAAGTGGCTCAGGTAGTGCAGCTCATCCAGGATGGCACATCAATGCGAGCTGTGGCAAGAAGGTTTGCTGCGTCTGTCAGCGTAGTGTCCAGAGCATGGAGGCGCTACCAGGAGACAGGCCAGTACATCAGGAGACATGGAGGAGGCCGTAGGAGGGCAACAACCCAGCAGCAGGACCGCTACCTCCGCCTTTGTGCAAGGAGGAGCAGGAGGAGCACTGCCAGAGCCCTGCAAAATGACCTCCAGCAGGCCACAAATGTGCATGTGTCTGCTCAAACGGTCAGAAACAGACTCCATGAGGGTGGTATGAGGGCCCGACGTCCACAGGTGGGTGTTGTGCTTACAGCCCAACACCGTGCAGGACGTTTGGCATTTGCCAGAGAACACCAAGATTGGCAAATTCGCCACTGGCGCCCTGTGCTCTTCACAGATGAAAGCAGGTTCACACTGAGCACATGTGACAGACGTGACAGAGTCTGGAGACGCCGTGGCGTTCTGCTGCCTGCAACATCCTCCAGCATGACCGGTTTGGCGGTGGGTCAGTCATGGTGTGGGGTGGCATTTCTTTGGAGGGCCGCACAGCCCTCCATGTGCTCGCCAGAGGTAGCCTGACTGCCATTAGGTACCGAGATGAGATCCTCAGACCCCTTGTGAGACCATATGCTGGTGCGGTTGGCCCTGGGTTCCTCCTAATGCAAGACAATGCTAGACCTCATGTGGCTGGAGTGTGTCAGCAGTTCCTGCAAGAGGAAGGCATTGATGCTATGGACTGGCCCGCCCGTTCCCCAGACCTGAATCCAATTGAGCACATCTGTCTCGCTCCATCCACCAACGCCACGTTGCACCACAGACTGTCCAGGAGTTGGCGGATGCTTTAGTCCAGGTCTGGGAGGAGATCCCTCAGGAGACCATCCGCCACCTCATCAGGAGCATGCCCAGGCGTTGTAGGGAGGTCATACAGGCACGTGGAGGCCACACACACTACTGAGCCTCATTTTGATTTGTTTTAAGGACATTACAGCCTGTAGTGTGGTTTTCCACTTTAATTTTGAGGGTGACTCCAAATCCAGACCTCCATGGGTTGATAAATTTGATTTCCATTGATAATTTTTGTGTGATTTTGTTGTCAGCACATTCAACTATGTAAAGAAAAAAGTATTTAATGAGATTATTTCATTCATTCAGATCTAGGATGTGTTATTTTAGTGTTCCCTTTATTTTTTTGAGCAGTGTATATACAGTGAGGGAAAAAAGTATTTCATCCCCTGCTGATTTTGTACGTTTGCCCACTGACAAAGAAATGATCAGTCTATAATTTTAATGGTAGGTTTATTTGAACAGTGAGAGACAAAATAACAACATAAAAATCCAGACAAACGCATGTCAAAAATGTTATAAATTGATTTCCATTTTAATGAGGGAAATAAGTATTTGACCCCCTCTCAATCAGAAAGATTTCTGGCTCCCAGGTGTCTTTTATACAGGTAACGAGCTGAGATTAGGAGCACACTCTTAAAGGGAGTGCTCCTAATCTCAGCTTGTTACCTGTATAAAAGACACCTGTCCACAGAAGCAATCAATCAGATTCCAAACTCTCCACCATGGCCAAGACCAAAGAGCTCTCCAAGGATGTCAGGGACAAGATTGTAGACCTACACAAGGCTGGAATGGGCTACAAGACCATCACCAAGCAGCTTGGTGAGAAGGTGACAAGTTGGTGCGATTATTCGCAAATGGAAGAAACACAAAAGAACTGTCAATCTCCCTCGGCCTGGGGCTCCATGCAAGATCTCACCTCGTGGAGTTGCAATGATCATGAGAACGGTGAGGAATCAGCCCAGAACTACACGGGAGGATCTTGTCAATGATCTCAAGGCAGCTGGGACCATAGTCACCAAGAAAACAATTGGTAACACACTACGCCGTGAAGGACTGAAATCCTGCAGCGCCAGCAAGGTCCCCCTGCTCAAGAAAGCACATATACAGGGCCATCTGAAGTTTGCCAATGAACATCTGAATGATTCAGAGGAGAACTGGGTGAAAGTGTTGTGGTCAGATGAGACCAAAATCGAGCTCTTTGGCATCAACTCAACTCGCCGTGTTTGGAGGAGGAGGAATGCTGCCTATGACCCCAAGAACACCATCCCCACCGTCAAACATGGAGGTGGAAACATTATGCTTTGGGGGTGTTTTTCTGCTAAGGGGACAGGACAACTTCACCGCATCAAAGGGATGATGGACGGGGCCATGTACCGTCAAATCTTGGGTGAGAACCTCCTTCCCTCAGCCAGGGCATTGAAAATGGGTCGTGGATGGGTATTCCAGCATGACAATGACCCAAAACACACAGCCAAGGCAACAAAGGAGTGGCTCAAGAAGAAGCACATTAAGGTCCTGGAGTGGCCTAGCCAGTCTCCAGACCTTAATCCCATAGAAAATCTGTGGAGGGAGCTGAAGGTTGGAGAAGATCTGCAAAGAGGAGTGGGAAAAAATCCTCTGTGATTGCCAACAAGGGTTTTGTTTTTTTGTTGTTATTCTGTCTCTCACTGTTCAAATAAACCTACCATTAAAATTATAGACTGATCATGTCTTTGTCAGTGGGCAAACGTACAAAATCAGCAGGGGATCAAATACTTTTTCCCCCTCACTGTATGCGAAAAACAACAACAACAAAAAAACATATGGGGGATCGGAAGTGATGCAGACAATTACATTGATGGAAGTTACAATCTATCTGCAATATTAAAGCTGATCTACCACCTAAAAAAATAACAAATAAAAATAAATCTTATCTCATCATGAATACACGCACATGGCCTGAACGATAGATCTGCGCCAACAGTCTTGCTTTTTTTGCAGATTGCATATTTTGTATCAAGGATGAGTAGGTGTTCACTTTGGCGTCCGTCCAGCGTTCGCACATAAGAAGTACAAATTGATAGCTAGCTAGCTAGCTTGGCTAACTACCTAACTGGCTTGATAGAGCCCAACTACACTGCTGGCTAGCTATGTGTGCAAGTGATGAGGACAGGGCTGCTTGCTTGGTGAAGTGTACTTTTGATTATTTACTTATTCAACTATGCTGTCGCTGGCAAGCCACCATGCCCACTCTCTCTCACGTCGTGACTTAGGAGCTGAAATGATGTTCAATGAGCAGCTCATAGAGCGCCCTCTTCAGGCAACCATTGAAACATTAAAAAAATGAGCAGACGTATTTGTTCATTCTATGTATATAATATCAGCACTTTATCTGTTGAATAAAGATCAATACAAATATTTCTGTGAAAGGCTAATATCGGCCGATAATATCAATCAACCAATTTATCGATCAGTCTCTAATTGGGATAGTGGGATATATTATGATTTCTTCTAATAGTTGTGTGTCGGCCTTTGGAGGGGGCTTGCGACGGCCCTCTACTACAGAGACATGAGCAGGTTTTCTTTTGGGGTATCTCCTTTGAGATATAATGCTTTGTTTATGGGCATCCCCTCACTGTTGAACTTCTTCCCGATGGTTTGTTTCTGTGCCTTTACGGAGCGTGCACCCTCAGTTTTGCGATACGGGAGTTTACCATATCCCACCGTCAAATACGGAACGGGTAATTGAAAGAGAACAAGGTTATTTACATAACCCCGGTTATCTGATATTATGAGTGAAGTATTTCACCACACTTCCCTGCTCGCAAGACGAGGAAGAGAAGCATGTTTGAAAACATTTGGCAGTGAGCAGGAGAGTGGCGCCTTTACACAGGGTGAGGGCGCACCATATTATCTGCTCTCCAGGTCTGTCTCCAACAGACGTTTGTGATTGGTTATTTCAAGTTATGGGAGTTTCGGAATGAAATCCCACTGTGAAATACGTCACTTAGAATATCAGAGAACTGGGATTATGTAAGGTGTATAGTTAGAAGCTGATGTGCTCACCTTCTCCAAACTTAGCAGGTTGATCTCAGACTGTAGTCTGATCTCAGGGCGAATGCTCTGCTGCTCCCGAAACTGCTGGTACTCCTTCTCCAGCAGTTTGTATTTGTTATCTGCATCCAGCATCTACAACAGAAGAGACAGAAGAACTTACTATGAGGAGCGAAACTGAAAAATATTGTTCCTCATCACTACCAATTATGTCATGTGTTACACACACAGGGCGACATTTTCGTAGTGCAATGTAATTTAATTGTGCAAAGTGCAAAAAAACTTACCATAAACCTCAATCTGGCAATGTGATTTAAATTTAAAACTCTTCTTCAACAATGTGTGTTATAAAGAGGCGACTATTTATGTATTGCTCAATTTACTAAACTCTAGTTAAATAATCACCGCACAATTGTTGAAGAAAGGTTTCACATTTAATCTCACAGATTATAATGATGATTATGGTATTTTTTGCACTTTCCTAAATTATTTTGCATAAAAATAAATGTCACCCATAGGCTTAACTGCCAGTGTTACATTTTAACAACCTTACAACTGCTCTGACTAAACAGAGAACAGGAGAGTAGCTCATGACTCATTGTCAATTTGACACTTGGCTAGGAGCGCAAACCACAAACATGAATAATACATTATACGGTAATAACTTTCATTGATGGCCGTGAGTCCTATGCAATGCTTCCACTGACTAATAAACAAATGCCAAATGCCTCGAAATCATAGAAGGAGCCTAGCTGGTGTTTGTTGACGTCCAAAACCCCAGCGTAATTGAGATTGTGCGGTTCTCAATGTTCTCCTGTCTGTCTTTTAGACAAGGCAGGCAGCAGAGCAACAAACCCCACACACAATGCCTGGTATTCTGGGCTGGAAGGCTGGGAAGGGCTGGCAGGCAGGGTGGATGGATCCAGGCCTGATAAACGGGCTCTGGTGTGTGCCGACAGAGGACGACAAATGTGTGTTTACACATTCCTGACATGGAGAGACAAGATATAGAGCCGCGTGGCAGACTGGCTAGCAGATTTCTCAGCACTGCCTTCTTTCCGCATGTCAGAAACCTACTTTGCTTGATTTGTTATGGCCGGAGAGTCCAGATATTTTCTGGGAAAATGAGACGGCAGACAACTATTTCAGTAAGTGGGTTTGTCTGCGAGGAGGACGAGGGAGAGAGAGATTCTAGCGAAAATGACATATTTTCTGCTTTACTGTAAAACATCCAGAGCATACTGGGGGGGTGGAGTGGGACTGAAAAGAACCGACATCTCATTGCATACTGTAGCCTACACAGAGAACACAGCAGGTCGGGGTTGGATGGTCACGGCTGGTCAGATATTGATGGTATCCTTAGAGACTGCAAGAGGCCAGAGGCCTGGCAGTAGCCCCGGTGTCCGTCTGACCCGTGCCAATGACTGACCCGTCCTGCTTTCTTCTATCTTTTTTGTCCATTTCACTATGTCCATGGGGGGGATGACATGGCCCATTGACCTCGTCGTCAATTCTCACCCCCCCTCCCAGGGAGGGGCATTGAGCGGGCCAGCCTAGTATCCCTTCACCAGCCCAGCGCCCTGACGCCTACCTGCTGTTGCTGCCTGCCATGCTCCTCCTCCAGCTGCCTGACCCTTGACCTCTCCAGATCCAACTGGTGAGCGCAGTCCTCGCGGAGCCGCTGGCCGCTCTCCTGCAGCTTGCGCATGCTTAACTCATGCTCAGCACGCATCTCCCTCTGCAAGCGCTGCATCTGAAAGCACAAGCAGTGATGCTGGGGTTAATGATACAGGGTTCTGTTATGGTGTGGTGTTATGGTGTGCATTTTTCTGGCATGGTTTAAGTCCACTCAACCCCTTAGAGGGCAAGATAAACTGCAATAAATACACAGCCATTCTGAGTGATTACCTTCAACCTATGGTGAATAATTTCTATCCTGATGCAGTATTTCCCCAATAATTTGTTTCTGCAGCGGTGGCAAAGTTCGCAAGTGGGGGGTAGTGGGCATGGCCAATGGCACGGTCTCCGACCAACAATTTTAGAGGCCCTCCTCTTGGCCACAGAGACAAAATGTTGCTGTTTTAAAGCTAATTCCCTGCAATTCTACACATTTTGCCATGGGGCTGAGAGAAAAAGTGCAGTTTTAAAGCTAGTTCCCTATCCGGTGTATGTGACAATATACTTTTTTTTGCAGTTCTACACATTTTGCCATGGCTTATGCAGTGTTCTTATGCTATCTGAGTGACTCAAACATTATAACAAAATCAATGGGAGCCCCATCAGTCTCAGCGCCAGGATGAAGTGATTAATGGGGCAGTTGAAATCGACGAGGGGGGCACCATTTTTGGGGTTCCTGCATTGGAATAATATTGAATTCTGCTTATATCACGCTATACCACAATAAACAATGTTCATATGCCGAGACTCCGAGAACATTGAGTGCTTTTGAAGTGACAGGTTGGCGCGAAATCTGTAGCCCATCTCCGCTGCTCTGTATCAGCACAATGGACAGCGCAAGGCCGTTTTGGTAATGAATATAGGCTACAAGATAGATAGGGTAATTCACCTGTTACAAACAGCCTATGTGAATGCAGCCGTACACACAGCTGTCTTCCTAAAATAATGCAAACTAAATGCTGAAAGTAGTAGCCTAGTTATTCATGCATGCAAACAAAAATACTGAATTTATCAGATATGATAAACGCATGACACCATCTATATTTAGGCTAGTTACATTAACACTAAACAAACGCAGTAAACAAAAGGTGAATGTTTCACCCTTTTCACATCTAGAAAGTCTCTCTGGGTCAAAGGGCACACAGGTCCTCCTCCAGTTGGCTGGTGGGTTCGCTGAATCGTTCTGACATTTCACCAAATGACAGCATCAGCACTGCACTATGCCCAAATGACTTTGAACTCTGTCACACCTCAGCTTCTCGACGCACTCGGACCACTTTGACTCCAGTGTAAAGATCCGTTTGCGTTTGCCTCAAGTCATTTGTTTGGAGGATCGAGAAGATTGAGGATCCTGTGCATCATGGTGGCTACAAACTTAAAGCCGGGCTCTGTCACCGCCTTCAGCAGCCCTGTAGCCTCAAGTCTTACTTCTGTGTTGTACGAACGCGTGCATTCGATGTCAGAGGAACTTCACAATGCTCTCACAACTTTTACCAACCACTGACACAGTAGCCAGGCGTCCGGTCCACCTTTGATCCATTAGACTTTTCAAGGTTTCTCCAGTGTACAGGGCAGCCACTGTTGGTTTCGTTAAGAACTAGTGAGTCACAGCCATAAAAAATGTCCTCCAGCGCATTCTCAGACATTGCGTGAACGACCACTAAGTGAAGCTTGTTTTTTCCTGCTTTTTATGGAAACCCAAAGGAGTCATACCTAATTGCCCCAGTGTCTTTCCATAGCCCCCTACACACACCGCAGCACACTCTATCCATTGTGCTGACACAGCGAAGGGGAGATACACATTTTGCGCCAACCTGCCACCCAATCATTTGAACTTTTTTGCTATATTTATATAGGGACATAAAACTAAAACTGAGGGGACAAGTTTCAACTGAGGGGCCCTCTTTTGCCCCCTTGTGGAGCCGGGTCCGAGCCCCATGCATGACATTTTTGGCATTTTAGATTCTCAAGGACTGTTTAGTTTTTAATTTCTGTGAATGTTAATTCTCAAAGATGATCTTAACAAAAAATATATAGCTCCATTATCTTTTCTACATACTTTATATCTATAACTCTGTTTTATGTGGTCATTATCATCTATGTCATGTCTGTAAATGTTGATGTTTAATGTCGTTTAAATGTATTTTGCCTTTACAGGAATTTAACTGATTTCTGTTGAACAACACTATGGAAAAATGTTTACATTATTTTGGGGGACAGTTGCACTACGTAGAATACTGTCATTTAAGGTGTAGCGAGACCGGCTCCATGAGTGAGGTGACTACAGGGTGCGTATCAGGCAGTCAGAATGCACCCAGTGCATGTGCAGTTTCACATTTGTAAGACTATATATACTGTACTATACATTTACATTTTACATTTTAGTCATTTAGCAGACGCTCTTATCCAGAGCGACTTACAGTTAGTGAATACATTTATTTTATTTTTATATACTGGCCCCCCGTGGGAATCAAACCCACAACCCTGGCGTTGCAAACGCCATGCTCTATCAACTGAGCTACATCCCTGCCGGCCATTCCCTCCCCTACCCTGGACAACGCTGGGCCAATTGTGCGTCGCCCATGAGTCTCCCGGTCGCGGCCGGCTGCGACAGAGCCTGGATTCGAACCAGGATCTCTAGTGGCACAGTTAGCACTGCGATGCAGTGCCTTAGACCACTGCGCCACTCAGGAGCCCTATACAGGAGCCCTATACAGGAGCCCTATACATTACACTGTGCGTCCCGTGGTCTCCTTGAAATGTGAAAATACAAATAAACCAACCTCCATTTCTGCATGGGCTAAATGCTTCTCTCTCTTCTCCAAGTCAGCCAGAGTCTTCTGAAGCTGCTCTTCCAAGATGTTGTACTCTGCCTCCTGGGAACACATCACGAGGGCCTTCTGTCACATAACGACCATAAGAAAAGTATAATGCTCCGGATTGAAGTTTCCCCTAGGTACAGATCTAGGATAATCTTCCCCTCCCCCAATCCAAACCTTAACCATTACTGGGGGAAATGCAAAACTGACCCAGGATCAGCATCTAGGGCCAACGTCAACCTACTCCTACATTACAGAATCATTGTTGAGGTGTTGTAATCAGTAAAGGCAGTTATTGTAGCTCTTGCAGTAATTGTGCACCTTCTTTCTGACCAGAGACTCGCGCTCCCGATCCCTCTTCTTCCATTCCTCGGCCAGCGCCTGCATGTGGCCCAGCTCTTTCTTCTTCAGCTGAGGACGGTGCACGCACACACACACACACACACACACACACACACACACACACATTTGTACAAAAACAAAAAGGCATCAATGGAACTGCTTCAATAACACATTCACTGCAGTATAGCCACCTGGTCATCGAAGAGATCCTCCTGCATCTCCTTCCACATCTCCAGCTCCAGGGCAGCCCTGTACTCCAGCGTCTCGCGGGGGACCCCACCTGCATTGCTGGGAGGTGCTGGTTGCGGAGCTGGCACCGTCTTCTGTGCCACAGGATGCCCATTCTGTCACAATACAAGATCATATTATATATTATGATCTAAAAGGCTAAACTGAACCTGGATCCGCCCTTCTACTGTGAGACACTTTATAAATATGGGCCTTGACCAGTCCCTTATTCACAAAGGGTCTCTGAGTAGAAGTGCTGATCCAGGATCAGTTTGGGTTTTTAAATTAGAATGAATCTGATTACATGGGCAGGGGAGACCTACTCTTGAGATAATAATAATAGAATATGTGCCCTGGACTTCCGCTTGGTCTCTCACACTACAGCTCAAGTGGTAAATTACAGTATTAGTTGTCCACAAATCAAAAAGCATCAACTCAGGTACAAACATACAGCATGTGGCACATTGTACCTGGGAGGACTCGGATATGAGGATATCTTGGACCTTGACTAAACCAAGGTCCTCCAGGGTTGTGACGTAGTACAGGTCAGCCACCGTTTCACTGGGCCTGTGGAAGGAGACACACACACACAAGTTGTTTCACACCGTACTAACACTAGCTCAACCAAGCAGTCAAGAGGCAGTCAAGGGTGCCATCTAGCAAGCATACATAGAACTGCAGCCACACATGACTTGACTCCTGATGATAATACAGTGAGGGAAAAAAGTATTTGATCCCCTGCTGATTTTGTACGTTTGCCCACTGACAAAGACATGATCAGTCTATAATTTTAATGGTAGGTTTATTTGAACAGTGAGAGACAGAATAACAACAAAAACATCCAGAAAAACGCATGTCAAAAATTGTTATAAATTGATTTGCATTTTAATGAGGGAAATAAGTATTTGACCCCCTCTCAATCAGAAAGATTTCTGGCTCCCAGGTGTCTTTTATACAGGTAACGAGCTGAGATTAGGAGCACACTCTTAAAGGGGGTGCTCCTAATCTCAGCTTGTTACCTGTATAAAAGACACTTGTCCACAGAAGCAATCAATCAATCAGATTCCAAACTCTCCACCATGGCCAAGACCAAAGAGCTCTCCAAGGATGTCAGGGACAAGATTGTAGACCTACACAAGGCTGGAATGGGCTACAAGACCATCGCCAAGCAGTTTGGTGAGAAGGTGACAACAGTTGGTGCGATTATTCGCAAATGGAAGAAACACAAAAGACCTGTCAATCTCCCTCGGCCTGGGGCTCCATGCAAGATCTCACCTCGTGGAGTTGCAATGATCATGAGAACGGTGAGGAATCAGCCCAGAACTACACGGGAGGATCTTGTCAATGATCTCAAGGCAGCTGGGACCATACTCACCAAGAAAACAATTGGTAACTCACCACGCCGTGAAGGACTGAAATCCTGCAGCCCCCGCAAGGTCCCCCTGCTCAAGAAAGCACATATACAGGCCCGTCTGAAGTTTTCCAATGAACATCTGAATGATTCAGAGGAGAACTGGGTGAAAGTGTTGTGGTCATATGAGATCAAAATCGAGCTCTTTGCCATCAACTCAACTCGCCATGTTTGGAGGAGGAGGAATGCTGCCTATGACCCCAAGAACACCATCCCCACCGTCAAACATGGAGGTGGAAACATTATGCTTTGGGGGTGTTTTTCTGCTCTGGGGACAGGACAACTTCACCGCATCAAAGGGACGATGGACGGGGCCATGTACCGTCAAATCTTGGGTGGGAACCTCCTTCCCTTAGCCAGGGCATTGAAAATGGGTCGTGGATGGGTATTCCAGCATGACAATGACCCAAAACACACGGCCAAGGCAACAAAGGAGTGGCTCAAGAAGAAGCACATTAAGGTCCTGGAGTTGGCTGGCCAGTCTCCAGACTTTAATCCCATAGAAAATCCGTGGAGGGAGCTGAAGGTTCGAGTTGCCAAACGTCAGCCTCAAAACCTTAATGACTTGGAGAAGATCTGCAAAGAGGATTGGGACAAAATCCCTCCTGAGATGTGTGCAAACCTGGTGGCCAACTACAAGAAACGTCTGACCTCTGTGATTGCCAACAAGGGTTTTGCCACCAAGTACTAAGTCATGTTTTGCAGAGGGGTCAAATACTTATTTCCCTCATTAAAATACAAATCAATTCATAACATTTTTTACATGCATTTTTCTGGATTTTGTTGTTGTTATTCTGTCTCTCACTGTTCAAATAAACCTACCATTAAAATTATAGACTGATCATGTCTATGTCAGTGGGCAAACGTACAAAATCAGCAGGGGATCAAATACTTTTTTCCCTCACTGTATCTTCTAAGAGTCTCTATTTGTAGCATGACAGAGACAGGACTGTACCCTTGGGCCTTTATGACTTGGATCCTCTCGGAGAAGGTCTGCCTCCAGTGATGCTGGCCCGTGGGGCCCAGGAAGCGGCTCTTCTCTGCAGTCAGGAGGTGGGACAGCTGAATGCTGGCCGTGCCCAGGAGAATGTCTCTGGAGCTGGGATTTTTGTGCCACACCTCCACCACTAGGGGCACCCTACACCAATGAGAAAAATCCATTAACAAGGGAAAGGGAGATACCTAGTCAGTTGTATAACTGAATGCATTCAACTGAAATGTGTCTCCCGCATTTAACCCAACCCCTCTGAATCAGAGGTGCGGGGGGCTGCCTTAATAGACATCCACGGAGCCCGGGGAACAGTGGGTTAACTGCATTGCTCAGGGGCAGAACGACAGATTTGACCTTGTCTGCTCGGGGATTCGATCCAGCAACCTTTCGGTTACTGGCCCAACGCTCCTACCCGCCAGGCTGCCTGACCCAACGCTCCTACCCGCCAGGCTACATGCCTCCCCAGCACAGTGGGTATAGAACCTCTGGTGGGCTCCAGGGTGAAGTTTCCCCTTAAAAAGGTGTACATTAATGGGTATTTACAGTGCCTTCAGAAAGTATTCAGACCCCTTGACTTGTTCCACATTTTGTTACAGCCTTATTCTAAAATTGTTTAAATTGTTTTTTTTCCTCCTCAATCTACACACAATACCCCATAATGACAAAGCAAAAACAGGTTTTTATACAAAATCATTATTCGGATCCTTTACTCAGTACTTTGTTGAATCACCTTTGGCAGCGATTACAGCATCGAGTCTTCTTGGGTATGACGCTACAAGCTTGGCACACACACCTGTATTTGGGGAGGTTCTCCCATTCTTCTCTGTAGATTCTCTCAAGCTCTGTCAGGTTGGATGGGGAGCGTTGCTGCACAGCTATTTTCAGGTCTCTCCAGAGATGTTAGATCGGGTTCAAGTCTGGGCTCTGGCTGGGCCACTCAAGGACATTCAGAGATTTGTCCCAAAGCCACTCCTGCGTTGTCTTGACTGTGTGCTTAGGGTTGTTGTCCTGTTGGAAGGTGAACCTTCGCCCCAGTCTGAGGTCCTGAGCGCTCAGGAGCAGGTTTCTCTGTACTTTCCTCCGTTCATCTTTCCCTCAATCCTGACTAGTCTCCCAGTCCCTGCCACTGAAAAACATCCCCACAGCATGATGCTGCCACCACCATGCTTCACCGTAGGGATGGTGCCAGGTTTCCTCCAGATGTGACGCTTGGCATTCAGGCCAAAGAGTTCAATCTTGGTTTCATCAGAGAATCTTGTTTCTCATGGTCTGAGAGTCTTTAGGTGCCTTTTGGCAAACTCCAAGTGGGCTGTCATGTGCCTTTTACTGAGGAGTGGCTTCCGTCTGGCCACTCTACCATAAAGGCCTAATTGGTGGACTGCTGCAGAAATGGTTGTCTTTCTGGAAGTTTCTCCCATCTCAACAGAGGAACTCTAGAGCTCTGTCAGAGCGACCATCGGGTTCTTGGTGACCTCCCTGACCAAGGCCCTTCTCCCCCAATTGCTCAGTTTGGCAGGGCGGCCAGCTCTAGGAAGAGTCTTGGTGGTTCTAAATTTCTTCCATTTAAGAATGATATAGGCCACTGTGTTCTTGGGGACCTTCAACGCTGCAGAAATGTTTTGGTACCCTTCCCCAGATCTGAGTCTCGACACAATCCTGTCTCGGAGCTCTCCGGACAATTCCTTCGACCTCATTGCTTGGTTTTTGCTCTGACATGCACTGTCAACTGTGGGACCTTATATAGGAAGGTGTGTGCCTTTCCAAATCATGTCCAATCAATTGAATTTACCACAAGTGGACTCCAATCAAGTTGTAGAAACATCTCAAGGATGATCAATGGAAACAGGATGAACCTGAGCTCAAGTTCAAGTCTCATAGCAAAGGGTCTGAATACTTATGTAAATAAGGTATTTATGTTTTTTATTTTGAATACATTTGCAAACATTTCTAAAAACCTGTTTTCGCTTTGTCGTTATGGGGTACTGTGTTTAGATTGCTGAGGATAATTTTTTTTAAATCCATTTTAGAATAAGGCTGTAATGTAACAAAATACTGAAATAGTTAAGGGTCCTTTCTGAAGGCACTGTAAATCAAAGAAACCTTGAGTTGTCTTATCTGTACACAAGCAAAATGAAACAAGTAGACAATCATCAACGAGCTACAGTGTTTCCCAATCCTGGGGCCTCATTTATCAACCATGCGTACTAAATTTCATTAAAAATTCTGGAGTACGTGGAGATTCTTGGATTTGAATGCGCAGCAAATGATTGGGATTTATCAAACTGTTGCAGGCAACATATACGGATGTTTTCAATGATAAATCAGAGCCATACTATACATGTGTGCTTGTGAACAAGCATCACAACCCCACCTGGAAAATACCCTCCATTCACCTTTTATTGTAGCAAAAATGCTGTATGATTTGAAAATGTTGGAAATTGGGCCATGACAGTTTCTAAAAGAAAGCACAATGGCAAATGTAATCACATTTCTGTAGAGACTTTTTCATTGTCTATTCAAACTAGGGATGTTAACGGTTAACCATTAATCATTTAGCAGTCAAAGCCAAAAATAAATTTGACCGTCATACTTATCGGTCTATAGGATAATTTACATTATTTAGTGGAATTATATATATATACATACACACGCAAAAGTATGTGGACACCCCTTCAAAATAGTCGATTTGGCTATTTCAGCCACACTTGATGCTGACAGGCGTATAAAATCGAACACACAGCCATGCAATTTCCATAGACAAACATTGGCAGTAGAATTGCCTTACTGAAGATCTCAGTGACTTTCAACGTGGCACAGTCATAGGATACCACCTTTTCAACAAGTCAGTTCGTAAAATTTCTGCCCTGCTAGAGCTGCCCCAGTCAACTGTAAGTGCTGTTATTGTGAAGTGGAAACATCTAGGAGCAACAACGGCTCAGCCGCGAAGTGGTAGGACACACAAGTTCACAGAACGGGACCACCGAATGCTGAAGCATTTTGCGCGTAACAGAATAGTCTGTCCTCGGTTGTAACACTCATTACCGAGTCCAAACTGCCTCTGGAAGCAACGTCAGCACAAGAACTGTTCGTCGGGAGGTTCATGATATGGGTTTCCATGGCCGAGCAGCCGCACACAAGGCTAAGAACACTATGCGCAATGCCACACGTTCTCTGGAGTGATGAATCCCGCTTCACCATCTGGTAGTCTGACGGACGAATCTGGGTTTGGCGGATGCCAGGAGAACGCTACATTCCCCAATGTTGTGTGTAATTGCGGGCTATTCTTTGGGTGCTGAAACGTTACTTTTATGTGATGTCTGAGCTCCAGTCTGCCTACGCTAGTTGCCGCTCAACCCCATCGTAAATCGTGGAGTCGAGTTTAATCGGCAAGTACTGGAGTGAAATAGGTACTTTTATAAGCCCAGTCATTGCGCAACAAATAACAATTCTAAATGCAAATTGCATGGTAAAAACTGTAGATAGCCACGATTAAAAATAGCTACTATTTTTATTTCTCAATCTCAACGCCTCCCATTCGCCATTCGAGTGCATAGGCTATAGTCAATGGTAGGCAGGATATCACTGCGTCACCCATCACATTGCAATGTGAGCTTGAGGCAGTATAATTGTTTGAAACCTGAACATTTGACTTTACTTCAAATAATGAGGAATGTCTAACTTTGCTTCAAAGTAGCCTAGCCAAAATCCAACCACTGAAATGTGGGAGGCAATTATTTTATAACGACTTCCTCATGCCATTAACCAGCATTTTTCTCCTGTTCTATTGGTTTTCATATCAACTTGCTTTCATTGTCCAGTAGCCAAAAGCACAATCCTAGTCATATTAGCAACCCATCCTAGTTGTTGCTACTAGATTACCCCTCTTAGTTTCTAACAGAGATTTCCATCTGTCACATGTAACCGCTCGCATTAGGAGTGCTGTTTACAACAGTGTTTTCTATTGCTGCATTTTTTCATTAAGCTCTTAATGGAAAATGTCCATTCCTTGCATGCATGCATGCATGCATAGTATTTTCTGTTGGTCACCTAATTTTACTGTTTGGGAAATGTTTTACTGTTTGTTGACCGGTCAATGAGGGTCTGTTAGTTGGCAGCAAAATTGACCGAAAATTGCATCCCTAATTCTAAAATGTTGAAAGTACATGCTACAGACAACACTCCTATGTAAAATACAAATGTTTGTTCAATATTATGTTCATCAATAGACGATTATGATTATCTCCTGTCTTGGTATAGGCTCTGAGATCAAATAGGCTATGATGTCAAGCTCCTATCGCATAGCAATACTGTAGCCTACCCATACCGTCAAACAGGTTAGCGGTCTATTTACTTTCGAGCATGCTTGGCTATTGAATGAGCGATGGATAAATTGGAGCCTAATATTTGTTGTGTAGCGGGAATAAACCAGTCCTGCAATAGGATTATGATTTAGGCCTATATAATAAAAGTAAAAGAAACATATTAGACTACATGCTGCTATGCAATCTCCTTACCAACGGCAAATGCATCCGTTAACATTATTATAATTCAAAGACATCAAACACTTACATTTCCCCAAAATAACAATATTTGCTTGCAATACAATTGATCAACCACTAGAAGGCCTGAGCTGTACGTGGAGATACGCACCCTTTCTTCAAGTTCAAAATGGATAAATACTAACCTTCGTGGAAAAATGGCATACGCAAGGTTTAGAGTGTGTTTTTGTGCGCACGCACTTTTGATAAATGAGGCCCCTGATCCTGGGGACCCTAAGGAGTGCACATTTTAGTTTTTGCCCTAACACTAACACACTTGATTCAACTAACCAACTCATCATCAAGCCATTGATTAGTGCTAGGTCAAAAACACCCCTTTGGCACAATGAAGCAAGTAGGCACAACCATCAACAAGCCCCTAAAAGAGCATGCATCACGTATTCCTCTAGAATGTGACAGACACCTGAGGAAGGTGTCCTGGAGTTGGTGAGGCAGAGCGGCAAAGTCAAAGGCACAGTACGACTGGGGCAGGAACACCTCCATGTTCCTCTTCACCTCCATCGGGGGGTTGGTCATGATGGGGGCGGCACTCCCGAAAAACTGGTACGCATACCTGGAACGAGAGAAAATACTTGGGTTGTTCCACGAAAATAGTGCCTGTAACAATATAGAATTTTAAAATCCTGTTATATTAAAGGTGCAATTGCAGAAATCACTCCGCCATTTCCTGCTTGCTAAAATGATAATAGTATGTCTAATTTCAGTTTATATGTGACAAAGCAAGCAAGTGTAGAGAATCATTGTACCATCTAAACCGCTGTGAAATATATTTTCAATAACCAAAAATATTGTATTTTCAGCTGTTTTAAACTGGTGTACAAAACCGAAAGTAAAAGACGGAAAAACTAAACTTAAGAACGGGAAGCACAGAAAGAGCACATATAGAACAGATCTACCACTTCTTAGACTTGCTTTCAGAGAGAATTACAGATCTATAACTGTTTACGTTAATGTACACACTGCACCTGTACACAGCCCATCTGAAATTAGCCCGCCCAACTACCTCATCCCTATATTGTTATTTATTTTGCTCATTTGTACCCCAGTATCTCTATTTGCACATCATCTCTTGCACATCTATCATTCCAGTGTTAATACTAATTGTAATTATTTTGCACTATAGCCTATTTATTGCCTTACCTCCATAACTTGCTACATTTGCACACACTGTATATATATGTATTTCTGTTGTATTTTTGACTTTGTTTTGTTTTACCCCATATGTAACTCTGTGTTGTTGTTTTTATCGCACCGCTTTGCTTTATCTTGGCCAGGTCGCAGTTGTAAATGAGAACTTGTTCTCAACTGGTTTACCTGGTTAAATAAAGGTGAAATAAAATAAAAATAAAAAATGTGGGCAGGGTTGCCCAAAAAGTTACGTATTGCAGCTTTAAATGAAGTTCCCTATAAATAGACCAAATGGAGAATTCAATAGATCAGATTTTTAATATGGCAGTGTTTTTCATTAGCTCCAGCCGTCGGCTAAAATCAGACGGTTACAGACAAATTATCCGCCTGCAATTTTTTCCACTTCATATTAACCATTCTAGTGGGAGCCCTCTCCCGCTAGAATAAACAATATGCATCTTCTAGTGATCTATTGATAAGATAGGCAGGCGCATGTCAGTCACAAAGCGAATGATGACAGGGAAATGCAGTCTGCTGTCTGTCCCGCCTCCTGGGACAATTTGTATGCTCTGTGGTTGGTTGAAATCTTTTTTTCATTACAGGGAGAGTATTTGTGGTAACCATGAGTCGAAATCCACTTAACCACGCGGAGTCGTGGCGCATAGGCTATTTGCTGTGCTTTGATTGACAACTGAACAGCAAGTGTTGACTAGTTTATAAAAGGTGGCGAACTGACTGAATAAAGTCCATCTTTGCCATTCATAAATCATGAAACTTGGTTATACAGTGCCTTCAGAAAGTATTCATACACCTTGACTTATTCCACATTTTGTTGTGTTACAGCCTGAATTCAAAATTGATTAAATCGATGTTTTCCCCCTCACCCATCTACACACAATACCCCATAATGACAAAGTGAAAACATGTTTTTAGAAATGTTTGCTAATTTATTGAAAATTAAATACAGAAATATCTCATTTATGGAAGTATTCACACCCGAGTCAATATTTTGCGCCTTTGGCAGCAATTACAGCTGTGAGTCTTTCTGGGTGTTTCTACCCACACCTGGATTGTGCAACATTTGCCCATTATTCTTTTCAAAATTCTTCAAGCTCTGTCAAACTGGTTGTTGATCATTGCTAGATAAACATTTTCAGGTCCTGCCATAGATTTTCAAGTAGATTTAAGTCAAAACTATAACTAGGCCACTCTGGAACATTCACCGTCTTCTTGGTAAGCAACTCCAGTATAGTTTTGGCCTTGTGTTTTAGGTTATTGTCCTGCTAAAAGGTGAATTAATCTCACAGTGCCAGTGGAAAGCAGACTGAACCAGGTTTTCCTCTATGATTTTTCCTGTGCTTAGCTCCAATTCATTTATTTTTTATCCTGAATTAGTCCCCAGTCCTTAATGATTACAAGCATACCCATAACATGATGCAGCCACCACGATACTTGAGAATATGGAGAGTGGACTCAGTAATGTGTTGGATTGGATTTGCCCCAAACATAACACTTTGTATTCAGGGCAAAAAGGGCATTTTTGCAGTATTACTTTAGTGCCTTGTTGCAAATAGGATGCATGTTTTGGAATCTTTCATTCTGTACAGGCTTCCTTCTTTTCATGCTGTTAATTAGGTTAGTATTTTGAAGTAACTACAATGTTGTTGGTCCATCCTCAGTTTTGTCCTATAACCCTAACCCAGCCATTAAAACTCTGTAACTGTTTTAAAGTCACCATTGGCCTCATAGTGAAATCCCAACTGAGCGGTTTCCTTCCTCTCCTGCAACGAAGTTGGAAAGGACGCCTGTATCTTTTTTTAATTTTGGGGGGTAGATCAGCTTAATATTGCAGATAGATTGTAACTTCCATAAATGTAATTGTCTGCATCACTTCCAATCCCCCATGTTTATATATATATATATATATATATATATATATATATATATATATATATATATATATATATATATAGATATATATATATATATATATATATATATACACATACATACATATATACACATACTTTAAAAAAATATATATATATATATTCCCCTTTATTACTTTCCAAACCCGCCACCCTTTCCCCACTTGGAGTAAACAACAACGCCTAGGCCACTACTTCCAGCCCATACCCACTATCTACATTTTATGGACACAGTCAATTTTACAGTAATTACATTTTGTTTGTTCTTTCTCCTGAACTTCTTCTACTCTCAACCTCTCCGATCATTTTCATGATGTCCATCCGGTTTGCTTCTATATGCCATATCTTTCTAACTGTGCTCCTTCAAAAAAGCTCCCAACCTACAACCCATACACTTATTATGGACACAGCGTGCCTACATTATTAGTTATTTTGTTATTGTTTGTGGTTATTAGTCCCATCCTTCAATTCCAATCAACACCTCCCATCTATCTTTTAACACCATCCATATAGGATTTCTATTTGCCATATATACAGTGGGGAAAAAAAGTATTTAGTCAGCCACCAATTGTGCAAGTTCTCCCACTTAAAAAGATGAGAGAGGCCTGTAATTTTCATCATAGGTATACGTCAACTATGACAGACAAATTGAGAGAAAAAATTCCAGAAAATCACATTGTAGGATTTTTTATGAATTTATTTGCAAATTATGGTGGAAAATAAGTATTTGGTCAATAACAAGTTTCTCAATACTTTGTTATATACCCTTTGTTGGCAATGACACAGGTCAAACATTTTCTGTAAGTCTTCACAAGGTTTTCACACACTGTTGCTGGTATTTTGCCCATTCCTCCATGCAGATCTCCTCTAGAGCAGTGATGTTTTGGGGCTGTCGCTGGGCAACACGGACTTTCAACTCCCTCCAAAGATTTTCTATGGGGTTGAGATCTGGAGACTGGCTAGGCCACTCCAGGACCTTGAAATGCTTCTTACGAAGCCACTCCTTCGTTGCCCGGGCGGTGTGTTTGGGATCATTGTCATGCTGAAAGACCCAGCCACGTTTCATCTTCAATGCCCTTGCTGATGGAAGGAGGTTTTCACTCAAATTCTCACGATACATGGCCCCATTCATTCTTTCCTTTACACGGATCAGTCGTCCTGGTCCCTTTGCAGAAAAACAGCCCCAAAGCATGATGTTTCCACCCCCATGCTTCACAGTAGGTATGGTCTTCTTTGGATGCAACTCAGCATTCTTTGTCCTCCAAACACGACGAGTTGAGTTTTTACCAAAAAGTTATATTTTGGTTTCATCTGACCATATGGCATTCTCCCAATCCTCTTCTGGATCCTCCAAATGCACTCTAGCAAACTTCAAACGGGCCTGAACATGTACTGGCTTAAGCAGGGGGACACGTCTGGCACTGCAGGGTTTGAGTCCCTGGCGGCGTAGTGTGTTACTGATGGTAGGCTTTGTTACTTTGGTCCCAGCTCTCTGCAGGTCATTCACTAGGTCCCCCCGTGTGGTTCTGGGATTTTTGCTCACCATTCTTGTGATCATTTTGAGCACACGGGGTGAGATCTTGCGTGGAGCCCCAGATCGAGGGAGATTATCAGTGGTCTTGTATGTCTTCCATTTCCTAATAATTGCTCCCACAGTTGATTTCTTCAAACCAAGCTGCTTACCTATTGCAGATTCAGTCTTCCCAGCCTGGTGCAGGTCTACAATTTTGTTTCTGGTGTCCTTTGACAGCTCTTTGGTCTTGGCCATAGTGGAGTTTGGAGTATGACTGTTTGAGGTTGTGGACAGGTGTCTTTTATACTGATAACAAGTTCAAACAGGTGCCATTAATACAGGTAACGAGTGGAGGACAGAGGAGCCTCTTAAAGAAGAAGTTACAGGTCTGTGAGAGCCAGAAATCTTGCTTGTTTGTAGGTGACCAAATACTTATTTTCCACCATAATTTGCAAATAAATTCATAAAAAATCCTACAATGTGATTTTCTGGAATTTTTTCTCTCAATTTGTCTGTCATAGTTGACGTATACCTATGATGAAAATTACAGGCCTCTCTCATCTTTTTAAGTGGGAGAACTTGCACAATTGGTGGCTGACTAAATACATTTTTTCCCCACTGTATTTCAACTGTACTGTGATGTCTTACAAAAGTTCTGAACCTTTCTATTCTCATTGTTTCTAAAGATTGTGAATTGAAAATAAACATTTTTGCTAATAGTATTATTATGTTATTGATCGATTGACTATGACTTTTCAGATCACCCAGTAGTGCTATCTGCAGGGTTAGCTCCAGGTAAATATTGCAATCCTTTAGCCATTCCAAAAGCAAGCTACAAATGGACTGTACCAAAACAAATGATCTAATGATTCTGTCTCTTCGCAGCAAAATCTGCAGAGCTGGGAAGATTGTATCCCCCATATAAATAACATTCTATTGGTAGCAAGAATTTTATATAATAATTTAAATTGAAAGATTCTAAGTTTTGAATCTGGTGTCGTTTTGCGTATCAGTTCATAAACACTATGCCATGGGATCGGTATGTCAAAAATCTCTTCCCAACTATTTTGCAATCAATATGGGACGGCTGTCAATCCTTTGGTCCTTAAATGAAACTGATATACCTTTTTATTTATCAAAGTTTTCCTTAACCAATTATGTTCTTTAATGCAAGGCCGACAGACAAGTTCCTTACTTTCTCCTCCTTCCATTTTCCTCTTCCATTTTTGCGGTAAGGCTGCAATTATTTGGTTGTAATTTTGGGTAGAGCAGACATTTCCATATGTTTTTGTTAGCTGCATGTGCGACATAACTCCACCAGTCCTACCGATGACATCGTTTACAAAGATTATACATTTTTTAAACATTTTGTCAAAAAAAAACAAAGTTTTGTCAATTAGTATATTTGAGTTTAACCACAATATTTGTTGCATTATTTGTTCTGTCGTTTCTGGAGGATTAAATTGAAATTGCAACCAACTTTCTATGGCTTGTTTTAGAAATAGTGATATCTGGGAGATTATTTCCTTTTCAAATAACTGAAAGTGAGTGGTTGTAATCTGAATAAAGGGAAAAAGGCCATTCTTGAACATGGGGTGAGACAATCTTACTAATTTGCTAGAGAACCAGTTTGGATTTAAGTATAACTTTTGTATGACTGAAGCTTTTAGTGATAGGTCTAATGCTTTAATATTTAAAGTTTCTGTCCTCCGAATTCATATTCATTATATAAATAGGCCTGTTTAATTTTGTCTGGCTTGCCGTTCCAAATAAAATGGAATATTTCTTTCTCATATAATTTCAAAAACTGTTCGCTAGGCTTAGGCAAGACCATAGGCAAATAGGTAAACTGGGATAATACTAAAGAGTTAATCAGGGTGATTTTTCCACAAATTGATAGGCACTCACCTTTCCATGGTAGCAAGATCTTATCTATTTTTGCTAACTTTCTATTATAATTTGTTGAAGTGAGATCATTTATTTCCTTTGGGATATGTATTCCGAGTATATCCACATCACCATCAGGCCATTTTATTGGTAAACTACATGGCAATGTACATTTTTTTTTTTTTTTTATTGATCCAATACGTAATATAGTACATTTGTCATAATTTGGTTGTAATCCAGAGAGGTTAGAAAATGTATCTAGATCCTCTATGAGGCTGCGGAGTGATTCTATTTGTGGATTTAAAAGAAAACATGAATCATCAGCGTACAATGATACCTTTGTTTTTAAGCCCTGGATTTCTAATCCCCTGATATTGTTGGATCTGATTTTAATAGCTAACATCTCGATGGCCACAATAAATAGATATGCCGATAGTGGACAACCTTGTTTCACTCCTCTTGACAGTTTAAAACTTTCTGAGAAATAGCCATTATTTACTATTTTACACCTAGGGTTAATATACATGATTTTGACCCAATTTATAAAGAGATTCACCAAAATTGAAATGCTCCAGGCATTTATATATAAACCCCAGTCGTACTTTACCAAATGCCTTTTCGAAGTCTGCTATGAATAGCAGGCCTGTTCTATTGTTTCCAATACTTGCCTTAAATTATCTCCAATGTATCTTCCATGTAAAATACCTGTCTGATTAGAATGAATAATATCCGACAATACCTTTTTAATTCTATGCCCTATACATTTTGCATCACAAGACTGAAGTGTAAGGGGCCTCCAATTTTTTTAATGGACTGGATCTTTATATTTTCCACTTGTATCCTGTTTCAGTAATAATGAGATCAGACCTTCTTCTTGAGTGTCAGATAATCTACCATTTACATAGGAGTGGTTAAAACATGCTAATAGCGGTCCTCTTAGTATATCAAAAAGGTTTGGTATACTTCGACTGGTATGCCATCCAACCCTGGAGTTTTCCCAGACTTAAAGTCTTTAATTGCATCCAGAAGTTCCTCCTCTGTAATTTCACCTTCACATGAGTCTTTCTGTTTGGCTGTTAATTTTACATTATCAATAGAAAAAAATCTCTACAATTAGCTTCAGTTAGAGGAGATGGAGGCGACTGCAACGAAAACATATGCTTAAAGTACCTTGTTTCCTCCTTCAAAATATAATTTGGTGAATCATGGGTTACTCCGTCGATTGTAACCAATTTCATTACATTCTTTTTGGTAGCATTTCTATGTTGAAGATTAAAAAAGAATTTGGTGCATTTTTCCCCATATTCCATCAAGTTTGCTTTATTTTTATAATATATTACACTTGATCTTTCTTGAATAAGTTTCTCCATTTCTTTTTGTTTTTCCTCTAATTTATTCTGAGCCTCTATGTTACAGTTTTTATTGCCATATATCTGTTCTGTTAGACCTTCTATTTCCTTTGTTAGTATAAACTCTTTTGACCTAAATTGCTTTTGTTTTCGAGATGAGTACTGAATTGCATGGCTTCTAAAGGCACATTTAAAGGTGTCCCATAAAATAAGGGGATTTGCTGTACCTAGAGTGGGGGAAAAAAGTATTTAGTCAGCCACCAATTGTGCAAGTTCTCCCACTTAAAAAGATGAGAGAGGCCTGTAATTTTCATCATAGGTGCACGTCAACTATGACAGACAAAATGAGAAAAAAAATTCACATTGTAGGATTTTTAATGAATGTATCTGCAAATTATGGTGGAAAATAAGTATTTGGTCAATAACAAAAGTTTCTCAATACTTTGTTATATACCCTTTGTTGGCAATGACACAGGTCAAACGTTTTCTGTAAGTCTTCACAAGGTTTTCACACACTGTTGCTGGTATTTTGGCCCATTCCTCCATGCAGATCTCCTCTAGAGCAGTGATGTTTTGGGGCTGTCGCTGGGCAACACAGACTTTCAACTCCCTCCAAAGATTTTCTATGGGGTTGAGATCTGGAGACTGGCTAGGCCACTCCAGGACCTTGAAATGCTTCTTACGAAGCCACTCCTTCGTTGCCCGGGCGGTGTGTTTGGGATCATTGTCATGCTGAAAGACCCAGCCACGTTTCATCTTCAATGCCCTTGCTGATGGAAGGAGGTTTTCACTCAAAATCTCACGATACATGGCCCCATTCATTCTTTCCTTTACACGGATCAGTCGTCCTGGTCCCTTTGCAGAAAAACAGCCCCAAAGCATGATGTTTCCACCCCCATGCTTCACAGTAGGTATGGTCTTCTTTGGATGCAACTCAGCATTCTTTGTCCTCCAAACACGACGAGTTGAGTTTTTACCAAAAAGTTCTATTTTGGTTTCATCTGACCATATGACATTCTCCCAATCCTCTTCTGGATCATCCAAATGCACTCTAGCAAACTTCAGACGGGCCTGGACATGTACTGGCTTAAGCAGGGGGACACGTCTGGCACTGCTGGATTTGAGTCCCTGGCGGCGTAGTGTGTTACTGATGGTAGGCTTTGTTACTTTGGTCCCAGCTCTCTGCAGGTCATTCACTAGGTCCCCCTGTGTGGTTCTGGGATTTTTGCTCACCGTTCTTGTGATCATTTTGATCCCACGGGGTGAGATCTTGCGTGGAGCCCCAGATCGAGGGAGATTATCAGTGGTCTTGTATGTCTTCCATTTCCTAATAATTGCTCCCACAGTTGATTTCTTAAAACCAAGCTGCTTACCTATTGCAGATTCAGTCTTCCCAGCCTGGTGCAGGTCTACAATTTTGTTTCTGGTGTCCTTTGACAGCTCTTTGGTCTTGGCCATAGTGGAGTTTGGAGTGTGACTGTTTGAGGTTGTGGACAGGTGTCTTTTATACTGATAAGTTCAAACAGGTGCCATTAATACAGGTAACGAGTGGAGGACAGAGGAGCCTCTTAAAGAAGAAGTTACAGGTCTGTGAGAGCCAGAAATCTTGCTTGTTTATAGGTAACCAAATACTTATTTTCTACCATAATTTGCAAATAAATTCATTAAAAATCCTACAATGTGAAATTTACAGGCCTCTCTCATCTTTTTAAGTGGGAGAACTTGCACAATTGGTGGCTGACTAAATACTTTTTTCCCCACTGTACTCACATACTCCAACACACTCATCCCCCCTCCTCCACAATCCACCATAAAATCAGATACTCAACGGTTGTTATATCCCAGAGCCCAACTCAAGAAAGGCCCTGATTTACGAGTGCACATACAATTACAGCTGATTGAGAAAGCATGCTGTCAGATCCACCCTCTTCACCTGAGACACAAACACTCTGGTCCCCCGTTGTAACCATTTTTCCCAAGCATCTCCGTGCAGTCAGACCTTTGATTATTTTGTGCCACCTGGGCCACAATGATAAAAAACCCTCTCTGACGCCTGTATCTTTGTAGTGCCTTTGTATTGATACACCATCTAAAGTGTAATTAATAACTTCACCATGCTCAAAGGGATATTCAATGTCTGCTTTTTTTAATTTTTACCAATCTACCAATAGGTGCCCTTCTTTGCGAAGCATTGGAAAACCTCCCTGGTCTTTGTGGTTGAATCTGTGTTTGAAATTCACTGCTCGACCTTACAGATAATTGTATGTGTGGGGTGCAGAGATGAGCTAGTCATTCAAAAATAATGTTAAACACTATTATTGCACTAAGAGTCAATCCATGCACCTTATTACGTGACTTGTTAAGCAAATTTGTACTCCTGAACTTATTTAGGCTTGCCAGAACAAAGGAGTTGAATACTTATTGACTGAAGACTTTACAGCTTTCCATTTGTAAAAAAAATTTCTACAAAAAATTAATTTCTAAAAACAATTCCACTTCGACATTATGGGGTTTTCTGTGTAGACCAGTGACCAAAAAAATCTCAATTTAATTCATTTTAAATTCCGGCTGTAACATAACAAAATGTGGAAAAAGTCCAGGGGTGTGAATACTTTCTGGAAGCACTGTATTTCGTCATTGAGCACGTTCGGATTGGCCAGTGAGGTGCCAAGCCTCGACACACCCACAACTTGTTTATTCATCAAAACCCAGCTCATTCGCACCACCGCCAGCTACTGTGCCCATAAAACGAGCCCTCAAATATATGTGCCAAGAAGGGGGGAATAATTGGACTAAACCGGTGGCTTGTTAAAGGAATACTACACAAATATATTTTAGTATTTTTTACATTAGTCCACTGTTAATACAATCCTAGAAAATTGTGCATGTCAGCAGTCAAGTTTTCAGGATAGAGCACTTTCAGTACAGAGCAAAAACTGTGATGATGCGTTTTGCATCAAAATCTACCTGAGTGTGCAGCTGACGGGGAAGCCCAGGTTTAGGTTGCGGATGCTGCGCAGGTCCATGGAGAAACAGTAGTGATGTGCTGAGGAGGGGATGGCTATCTTTGGTGCAGAGACACTGACCGAGGACAGGCCTCCCTCAGGCTTGTACTCCACCTCCTCCTGGCATGGGGCAAGGACAGAACCTGGAGGCCCGAGTTAGACAGACACACACAACCACAGACATGTTAGTGCTTTTCACCTGGCTTTCTTGTTCAGAGGCTGCGGCAGCTTTTCAAATTGACTAATTCTTGGGCTTAACCGAGGGCTAAGGAAAATGCTGTGTGGAAAGCCTTTAGAGGAAGTGTAGTGGGTGTGCTTACTGTTTTGTTTCCCAAAAGTGGTACTAAAGCTGTCAGGTCTTACTGCCAAACCCTTGAGACAGGGCGCATTGGTTTTGTGTCTCCCAGTACCCCGGTGGGTGGAGATTTCCCTTTAGGACCAATGGAATGGTCTAAAATGTCCAAATGAATGTGAATGAGCCCACTCAAACAAACACCTACCAGTTGGGAGATGTTGAGCCTGCGAGGCTACTTCTTCCTGCAGGCTGTCAGCCTCGCTTTCGGTGCGGGGGTTGGGAGGGGACTCAGCTAGGTACGTGGGAGACTTAACAGGGGACTTTATGCCAGGTGAGGGGGTGCGGGGCCTCTTTTCAGCAGGGGGAGATGGAGGGATGACGGGCGCCACAGTCCCGGTCTTCAGTGGAATCAGAGGACCATCTCCTCCCTCTGCATTACCTCCCACCTACCAACACACATACAGAGAGAGAGGAGAGCGAGAGAGAGAAACCACCTCTGTCAAAGCTTATCAAAGTGTTCCTCCTGTCATTTGCAATGATGCAAAATGGAGACGACCAACATCAGAGACAGTAACCAAGTAATTGAGCCCTACAGCAGTAGGGTATTAAACATTCAAGATCAGTAGGTTAATAACCGTGATTAGCTCAATGTGTCGTGTAGGCCTTTCTTTACCGGAGTAGTGAGAGCCTCTCTCCTGAGTGTGACGGACACCCCCACAGTGGGCTGCAGATCAATGGGGACAGGAGGCAAGCTTTGCTTGGCTCGGTTAGGAGGCCGGAGGATGAAGGCCCCCTCCACTGTGGCCACCTGCTTCTCCAGGTCCACACTGCTCTTAGCCAGGCCAGCCAGGGAGACCTCTGTGCTGCCAAGGGAGTGGTTCCCACAGCAGAGGTGGACCTGTGACAAAACATACACAGAGACGACTATGAAACACTAGTCTAACAGATTCCATTGATAGCAAGTAGAATCACAAAATTTGCAAATGAAGCTACATTTATGTCACCATTTTATGGGAGTTATGTTATTTCTGATTAAAAATCAAACGATAATGGCACCAGACTTTGTTGACACTCATGCAAAGCAATTATTTGCGTCGAGTTTGCGCGTGTGAGCATGACAGATAGCACAGCACCTGAAGACTGGGCTGCAGGCTGAGAAAGGCCAGTATAACCGGATCACTGCTGCGGATTCGGACCGAGGCCCTCTCTGGCTCAAAGCTGGGGCTCATCAGGTTTTGGAAAGGTTCACTGGTGATGTCATTACCCAGCAGGGTATAATAGAAGAAAAACTCAGACCCTTCACCGGCCAGCTTCATCGTACTGGGAATCAACTGAAACACACAAGCAAACAAACCACTATCAGTACACACCTGCAATACCTGCATGAACTACAAAATACATGTTTCAATATAGCTGTGAGCAGCAATAAACTGGTTCACAGGATGACAGAAAGGACAAGATCACCTGAATAACAAAGCTAGCACTCTATCATGGTGAGCAAGACATACTATCTTCCTTTACATACAATCAGTGAAAGCATTACCATGTTTATCCCTTAATACCAAGAGATAACAGATGACGCAAGTAAAGTTTAGTCTAGTGCTGTAGGTTGGTTATGTTTGAATGCAGCAAGTAATCCTTCTTAAAGTCATTACTTATTGTATTGTGTTTATATACACATTCTGGGGTCAATTTGACTAATGGTTTATGTTAAGATTTGTGAAATATTTTCAGCATTAGTGTATATTGCGGTCATCTATGAATTCTCAGTGTTTTCCACAAGTACATAGAGTAGCCAGCCAAATAAAACAAGTGGCCAGCCAGGCGCCCCTGCCCTTGACATTTTCTGCAGAAGGAGCTCTATTTTGGTGGCCTCTGGTTTGAGCCTGTGCTGTGCCAATTCAGTATGTCTTGCTCACAGGGCCACTGTATTCTACAGCTCCCAGGTTTTCTGTGGATATAACGGTTTACTAGTCTAGTATTCATGGCCCTCTTTGTACTTTATTTTATCCAGGCATAGACAATATAGGCAAAAATAGCTCCAAGGCTGTCAGCTCATGAGGTTAAAACAGAAAAAGTACATAGCCCAACATTACCTTGAAAAATAAATTAAAGGTTTTGTTTTTCCAGGTTACCATTTTCCCATTTGTTTCAGGTTTTCGCTCTCAAAATCCCACTTTTTTAATACAAAAAAACCAACACATTTGGATGTTCTAAGTCTACAACAATGCTTAAACCACATCAGTAGACCACTTTTGCGATATAGGAAAAATCTGAGAAATTTGGTATTTGGGTGAAGTTATTACCCTTTAATTCGCACCTAGCAAGAGGCTGCCGTTAGCAGTGCTAACAGTATAATTTGCAAAACAAATACCCACTGGATTGTTAAAAAAATTATATAATTGTGCCAGGTAAGCATAGGCTACTTTGTAGTTAACATTTAATTGAAAAGGTTTTTGGGGAAGCCTTTCCATCCACCAGAAGACTGTTTTCCTTAGCATCATTGCTAACGGATACACAAAGTGTTAGACGCACGCACCGCACACACAAAAACAGGGGCATTCTCGTCGCCTCTTCAAAAAGTTGCAGGAAATACGAATCAATTATGCATTCTGTTCATGTCTTATGATAAACTTGGGCAAATTAATACATTTGAAATACATTTAGTTGATTCCCTATTAAAAGGAAAACTCCACCGAAAAAAATAATAATTTTGGTACTTGTTTAATTAGTCCATTGCTGATATAGTCCGAAAATGTTTTGCTTGTGAGTAATCATGTTTTTAAGATACACTACATGACCAAAAGTATGTGAACACCTGTTCGTCGAACATCTCATTCCAAAATCATGGGCATTAATATGGACTTGGTCCGCCCTTTGCTGCTATAACAGCCTCCACTCTTCTGGGAATGCTTTCCACTAGATGTTGGAACATTGCTGCGGGGACTTGCTTCCATTCAGCCACAAGAGCATTAGCGAGGTCTGGCACTGATGTTGGACAATTAGGCCTGACTCGCAGTCAGCGTTCCAATTCATCCCAAAGGTGTTAGATGGGGTTGAGGTCAGGGCTGTGTGCAGGCCAGTCAAGTTCTTCCACACCGATCTCGACAAACCATTTCTGTGATTCATCACTCCAGAGAACGCGGTTCCACTGCTCCAGAGTCCAACGGCAGGGAGCTTTACACCACTCCAGCCGACGCTTGGCATTGCTCATGATGATCTTAGGCTTGTATGCCGCTGCTCGGCCATGGAAACCCATTTTATGAAGCTCCCGACGAACAGATATTGTGCTGACGTTGTATCCAGAAGCAGTTTGGAACTCGGTAGTGAGTGTTGCAATCAAGGACAGACTATTTTTACGAGCTACGCGCTTCAGCACTCGGCAGTCCCGTTCTGTGAGCTTGTGTGGCGTACCACTTCTCAGCTGAGCAGTTGTTGCTCCTAGACGTTTCCACTTCACAATAACAGCACTTACAGTTGACCGGGGAAGCTCTAGCAGGACAGAAATTTGATGAACTGACTTGTTGGAAAGGTGGCATCCTATGACGGTGCCGCGTTGAAAGTCACTGAGTTCTTCAGTAAGGCCATTCTACTGCCAATGTTTGTCTATGGAGATTGCATGGCTGTGTGCTCTATTTTATACACCTGTCAGCAACGGGTGTGGCTGAAATAGCCGAATCCACTAATTTGAATATACAATGTATGTAACTTAAAAAATATAGAAATCATCCCCTTATCATGCATTTTTAAAACTTGATTGCTAAAAAGCAAAACATTTTGGGACCATGTCAACAATGGATTAATGAAACAAATACCAAAAGATAGTTTTTGGGTGGGACTTTCCTTTAAGGTCTATAAAAAAAAATTATATCAATGAATTCCGTTTTAATGCCTGTATTCCATGAGGGCCCTAATTATCATATTTTGACCAAAATAAGGTTTGCCACCTATTGTTCCTGCAGTGATGATTCAAATCAAATCAAAATGTATTGGTCGCGTACACATATTTTGCAGATGTTATCGCAGGTGCAGGGACATGCTTATGTTTCAAGCTTCAACAGAGCAGTAATACTGAACAATACAAAACCATACATACAAATCCCCTAAAAAATTTAAAAGAAAGAAATTTCAGAACGAGCAATGTCAGAATCCGGAAAATAACTATATCTGTACTGTACATGATTGTTTGTATAGACAGCATGGACAGTATATGAAGAGAAAAAGGTGTGTACAGCAGTAGTTATATAGGATGAGCGTTGACTAGAATACAGTATATACAGCGCATTCGGAAAGCATTCAGACCCCTTGACTTTTCCCACATTTTGTTACGTTACAGCCTTAATCTAAAATGGATTAAATTGCTTTTTTTCCCCCTCAATCTACACACACACACACACACAATACCCCATAAGGACAAAGCAAAAACAGGTTTAAAAAAACTGAAATATCACATTTACATAAGTATTCAGACCCTTTACTCAGTACTTTGTTGAAGCACCTTTGGCAGCGATTACAGCCTCGAGTCTTATTGGGTATGACGCTACAAGCTTGCCACACCTGTATTTGGGGAGTTTCTCCCATTCTTCTCTGAATATCCTCTCAAGCTCTGTCAGATTGGATGGGGAGCGTCGCTTCACAGCTATTCTCAGGTCTCTCCAGAGATGTTCGATCGACTTGTCCCGAAGCCACTCCTGCGTCTTGGCTGTGTTCTTAGGGTCGTTGTCCTTAGGGCCTTCGCCCCTGTCTGAGTTCCTGAGCGCTCAGGAGCAGGTTTTCATCATGGATCTCTCTGTACTTTGCTTCGTTCATCTTTCCCTCGATCCTGACTAGTCTCCCAGTCCCTGCCGTTGAAAAACATCCCCACAGCATGATTATGCCACCACCATGCTTCACCGTAGGGATGGTGCCAGGTTTCCTCCAGACGTGACGCTTGGCATTCAGGCCAAAGAGTTCAATCTTGGTTTCATCAGACCAGAGAATCTTGCTTCTCATGGTCTGAGAGTCTTTAGCTGCCTTTTGGCAAACTCCAAGCAGGCTGTCATGTGCCTTTTACTGAAGAGGGGCTTCCGTCTGGCCACTCTACCATAAAGATCTGATTGGTGTAGTGCTGCAGAGATGGTTGTCCTTCTGGAAGGTTCTCCCATCTCTACAGAGGAACTCTAGAGCTCTGCCAGAGTTACCGTCGGGTTCTTGGTCACCTCCCTGACCAAGGCCCTTCTCCCCCGATTGCTCAGTTTGGCCGGATGGCCAGCTCTAGGAAGAGTCTTGGTGGTTCCAAACTTCTTCCATTTAAGAATGATGGAGGCCACTGTGTTATTGGGGACCTTCAATGCTGCAGAAATGTTTTGGTACACTTCCCCAGATCTGTGCCTCGACACAATCCTGTCTCGGAGCTCTATGGACAATTTCTTTGACCTCATGGCTTGGTTTTTGCAGGTGTGTTCCTTCCAAATGATGTACAATCAATTTAATTTACCACAGGTGGACTCCAATCAAGTTGAAGAAACATCTCAAACCTTTTTTCGCTTTGTCATTATTGAGTATTGTGTGTAGATTGATGAGGGAAAAAAAATATTATTTTTGAATAAGTCTGTAATGTAACAAAATGTGGAAAAAGTCAAGGGGTCTGAATACTTTCCGAATGCACTGTAAGTACGTCTGATGATGTTCCCAGTCACCTTGTCGTGGTTAAAGGAAGTGCTTCTCGCGAATGCTGTCATCTATGCACGGTTTTTGGTTTGGATAAGTTCTAATCGTCACCATCGAATGTTATTTTCAGAATGTACTTGCAGATAATAGCCAAAAAGCCTAGGTCTACCAGTATCATATGCATATTAGGGAGCCAAATGAACAGATCTCTCACTGAAGTGAATCGGTTGGCTACACTGACTGACGAGAGTCGCTCACTTTAGCGTCACTGTCTGGCATGCCCCGACATCCTAGGAAAGGAAACCCAGGAAATCCTTTTGTTTACTTGTCCCGATGCAATACCATGGACATATAACCACGTTGCATGATTTATGAATGGCAAAGGGATATAAGAAATCGACTTTATTCAGTCAGATCGACAGTTTATAAACTGTCACTCACTCAACACTCACTGTTGAATTGTCAATCAAAGCACAGTAAATAGCCTACTATGCGCCACTACTCCGCATGGCTGGCTTTGTGAAATATGTAAAATAAAATAAATGGAATGTACCAGAAAAACAATAAATTAGGCTAAGTCATGATTTCGACTCATCGTTACTACATACATTAAAAGGGACGTCCAAATTCATGATCATCACGCTCCTCCGTGTAAAGAAATTTGACAGCAATCAACCAAAGTGCACACAAATTGTACCGGGAGGCGGGACAGACAGCAGACTGCGTTTCCCTGTCATCGCTCACTAGATGCTACATATTGTTCATTCTAGCAGGAGAGAGCATGACGGACTAGCGAATTGAAACTTTTAAATTAAAAGTAGCTTAGTTAACATGAAGTGGAAACAGCAGCCGGCTGAAAACGAGTCTGTAACTGGCTGATTAGCTGACAGCCGGCGCTAATGGAAAACACTGAATTCTGAGGACTTCATTTTTGTCTAAATCACATTAGCGTCCCAAAATACTTAAATACATTCTCACAGCTATAATACGCTGACTGCGCAAGCGACAGGACTAATGGCGTCTAATTTTCCCGAATAAAAGATACGCTTTTCACTACGCTCAGCCAACATAATACAGCAACAATGTGATAATACATATACTATATACTAATCATGATATTTCACATTGTTCGTCTGCATAATTTAAATCTAACATTAATTTGCATGAGACATTGTCCACTTGATAAAATTGTTACTGCGCTTGTATCCTATGGTGACAATGACATCTATAGTGCGGCCAACTGGTCTGGCGCAGCCATCTAATGTTGCAGTGACTTTATATTCACACAGCTTCTAAGGACATACACATAAGGTTTACATACAAAATGTCATGGCCCCATGTCCATCGGTTCAGTTTTTACAGCCCTGGTGTGATATGGTGTCATCTAGTGGTGTAGTGTGACCAACATTGAACACAGCAACTAATCATTCTCAAATTCATTAGAGGCTAATTCATCAAGTCTATATACCAAATCTGGTGTCAATCTGATGAATGGTTCATGTAAATAAGATTTTCAAAAAATGGCCGACCTGTACCTACAGATTTATTTTTGAAAGCAGCAACAATTTGAGCAACAATGAGACTTTAAAGACTAATGTAATAAGTCTAAATACAACATCTAGAGTGAATCTGATGTATGGTTCATGAGGAGAAGATGATTGCAGATGATGTTGAGCATTAGCGTTGCATAGAATGCGTTGTTTATAGTTCTTGTTTTGTTTTAGACATCAATACCAAATTCAGTGTGGTTCATCTTAGGGACGTCCATGATAGTGATGACAAGTTTCAAGTTTATAGGCCACTGTGGAGTGGGTTTACAGTGGTTTAAATGGACATGTAAAATCTGAATTCTTATTAACTCTGCCATCTTTCAACCAAACTAAGTTAATACCTGTACCATGGGCATACATTCCAAATGTGGTATCATTTGGTCCTATGGTTAATGAGAATACGTTTTTTTAGCATGTGGCTATCTATGAATACATTAACGTTATTTTCTCAAACCCTTAAGGGACTATTGTGATGAGTCCAAAGACCAAATTTGGAGTGAATCTTTTAAGCATTAGAGTTACATAGTCAATAAAGTTAATAGTTAATAGTTGTGCATATACACACACACACACAGTAATATGCCATTTAGCAGTACTAGTCAAATGTTTGGACACACCTACTCATTAGAGTTTTTCTTAATTTTTACTATTTTCTACATTGTAGAATAATAGTGAGACATCAAAACTATGAAATAACACGTATGGAATCTTGTAGTAACCAAAAAAGTGTTAAACAAATCAAAATATACAGTGGGGAAAAAAGTATTTAGTCAGCCACCAATTGTGCAAGTTCTCCCACTTAAAAAGATGAGGCCTGTAATTTTCATCATAGGTGCACGTCAACTATGACAGACGAAATGAGAAAAAAAAATCCAGAATATCACATTGTAGGATTTTTAATGAATTTATTTGCAAATTATGGTGGAAAATAAGTATTTGGTCACCTACAAACAAGCAAGATTTCTGGCTCTCACAGACATGTAACTTCTTCTTTAAGAGGCTGCTCTGTCCTCCACTCTTTGCCTGTATTAATGGCACCTGTTTGAACTTGTTATCAGTATAACGGCAGGTAGCTTAGTGGTTAAGAGCGTTGTGCCAGTAACCGAAAGGTCGCTGGTTCTAATCCCCGAGCCGACTAGGTGAAAAATCTGTCGATGTGCCCTTGAGCAAGGCACTTAACCCTAATTGCTCCTGTAAGTCGCTCTGGATAAGAGCGTCTGCTAAATGACCTATTATTATTTATTATTACACCTGTCCACAACCTCAAACAGTCACACTCCAAACTCCACTATGGCCAAGACCAAAGAGCTGTCAAAGGACACCAGAAACAAAATTGTAGACCTGCACCAGGCTGGGAAGACTGAATCTGCAATAGGTAAGCAGCTTGGTTTTAAGAAATCAACTGTGGGAGCAATTATTAGGAAATGGAAGACATACAAGACCACTGATAATCTCCCTCGATCTGGGGCTCCACGCAAGATCTCACCCCGTGGGATCAAAATGATCACAAGAACGGTGAGCAAAAATCCCAGAACCACACGGGGGGACCTAGTGAATGACCTGCAGAGAGCTGGGACCAAAGTAACAAAGCCTACCATCAGTAACACACTACGCCGCCAGGGACTCAAATCCTGCAGTGCCAGACGTGTCCCCCTGCTTAAGCCAGTACATGTCCAGGCCCGTCTGAAGTTTGCTAGAGTGCATTTGGATGATCCAGAAGAGGATTGGGAGAATGTCATATGGTCAGATGAAACCAAAATAGAACTTTTTGGTAAAAACTCAACTCGTCGTGTTTGGAGGACAAAGAATGCTGAGTTGCAACCAAAGAACACCATACCTACTGTGGACTGGGGTGGAAACATCATGCTTTGGGGCTGTTTTTCTGCAAAGGGACCAGGACGACTGATCCGCGTAAAGGAAAGAATGAATGGGGCCATGTATCGTGAGATTTTGAGTGAAAACCTCCTTCCATCAGCAAGGGCATTGAAGATGAAACGTGGCTGGGTCTTTCAGCATGACAATGATCCCAAACACACCGCCCGGGCAACGAAGGAGTGGCTTCGTAAGAAGCATTTCAAGGTCCTGGAGTGGCCTAGCCAGTCTCCAGATCTCAACCCCATAGAAAATCTTTGGAGGGAGTTGAAAGTCCGTGTTGCCCAGCGACAGCCCCAAAACATCACTGCTCTAGAGGAGATCTGCATGGAGGAATGGGCCAAAATACCAGCAACAGTGTGTGAAAACCTTGTGAAGACTTACAGAAAACATTTGACCTGTGTCATTGCCAACAAAGGGTATATAACAAAGTATTGAGAAACTTTTGTTATTGACCAAATACTTATTTTCCACCATAATTTGCATAATTTGTTTTTTAATCATTTTGTCTGTCATAGTTGACGAGAACGGGAGACCCATGGGGCGGCGCAGCGTCGTCCAGGGTAGGGGAGGGAATGGCCGGCAGGGACGTAGCTCAATTGGTAGAGCATGGCGTTTGCAACGCCAGGGTTGTGGGTTCGATTCCCACGGGGGGCCAGTATGAAAAAATAATAATGTATGCACTCACTAACTGTAAGTCGCTCTGGATAAGAGCGTCTGCTAAATGACAAAAAATGTAAAATGTGTACCTATGATGAAAATTACAGGCCTCTCATCTTTTTAAGTGGGAGAACTTGCACAATTGGTGGCTGACTAAATACTTTTTTTCCCCACTGTATTTTATATTTGAGATTCTTCAAAGTAGCCACCCTTTGCCTTGATGACAGTGTTGCACACTCTTGGCATTCTCTCAACCAGCTTCATGAGGTAGTCACCTGGAATGCATTTCAATTAACAGGTGTGCCTTGTTAAAAGTTAATTTGTGGAATTTCTTTCCTACTTAATGCGTTTGAGCCAATCAGTTGTGTTGTGACAAGGTAGGGGTTGTATACAGAAGATAGCCCTATTTGGTAAAAGACCAAGTCCATATTATGGCAAGAACAGCTCAAATAAGCAAAGAGAAACGACAGTCCATCATTACTTTAAGACATGACGGTCAGTCAATACGTAACATTTCAAGAACTTTGAACGTTTCTTCAAGTGCAGTCGCAAAAACCATCAAGCGCTATGATGAAACTGGCTCTCATGAGGACCACCACAGGAAAGGAAGACCCAGAGTTACCTCTGCTGCAGAGGATAAGTTCATTAGTTAACTGCACCTCAGATTGCCGCCCAAATAAATGCTTCACAGAGTTCAAGTCACAGACACATCTCAACATCAACTGTTCAGAGGATACTGTGTGAATCAGGCCTTCATGGTCGAATTGCTGCAAAGAAACCACTACTAAAGGACACAAATAAGAAAAGACTTGCTTGGGCCAAGAAACATGAGCAATGGGCATTAGACCAGTGGAAATCTGTTCTTTGGTCTGATGAGTCCAAATTTGAGATTTTTTGTTCCAACCGCCTTGTCTTTGTGAGACGCAGAGTAGGTGAACGGATGACACTGTCAGACAGCTGGTGACACTGTCTGTGATTTATTTAGAATTCAAGGCACACTTAACCAGTATGGCTACCACAGCATTCTGCAACGATACGCCATCCCATCTGGTTTGGGCTTAGTGGGACTATCATTTGTTTTTCAACAGGACAATGACCTCCAGGCTGTGTAAGGGCTATTTGACCATGAAGCAGAGTGATGGAGTGCTGCCTCAGATGACCTGTCCTCCATAATCACCCGACCTCAACCCAATTGAGATGGTTTGGGATGAGTTGGACCGCAGAGTGAAGGAAAAGCAGCCAACAAGTGCTCAGCATATGTGGGAACTCCTTCAAGACTGTTGGAAAAGCATTCCTCATGAAGCTGGTTGAGAGAATGCCAAGAGTGTGCAAAGCTGTCATCAAGGCAAAGGGTGGCTACTTTACATTTTAGTCATTTAGCAGTTGCTCTTACCCAGAGCGACTTACAGTTAGGGACTGCATACATTTTTGTTAATATATATATATTTTTTCATACTGGTCCCCTGTGGGAAACGAACCCACGACCCTGGCGTTGCAAACGCCATGCTCTACCAACTGAGCTACACGGGACTAAAAGAATCTAAAATATATGTTTTATTTGTTTAACACTTTTTAGGTTACTACATGATTCCATATGTGTTATTTCATAGTTTTGATGTCTCACTGTTATTCTACAATGTAGAAAATATTAAGAATAAAGAAAAACCCTTGAATGAGTAAGTGTCCAAACTTTTGACTGGTACAGATATATATATTTAGTATTTAGTATCTATGCAGCCTACTCAATCACTTTTTATAGCTACTGTTTACAGGCCTCCTGGGCCATATACAGCGTTCCTCTCTGAGTTTCCTGAATTCCTATCAGACCTTGTAGTCATAGCAGATCATATTCTAATTTTTGGTGATTTTAATATTCACATGGAGAAGTCCACAGACCCACTCCAAAAGTCTTTCGGAGCCATCATCGACTCAGTGGGTTTTGTCCAACATGTCTCTGGACCTACTCACTGCCACAGTCATACTCTGGACCTAGTTTTGTCCCATGGAATAAATGTTGTAGATCTTAATGTTTTTCCACAAAATCCTGGACTATCGGACCACCATTTTATTACGTTTGCAATCGCAACAAATAATCTGCTCAGACCCCAACCAAGGAGCATCAAAAGTCGTGCTATAAATTCTCAGACAACACAAAAATTCCTTGATGCCCTTCCAGACTCCTTCTGCCTACCCAAGGACCTCAGAGGACAAAAATCAGTTAACCACTTAACTGAGGAACTCAATTTAACCTTGCGCAATACCCTAGATGCAGTTGCACCCCTAAAAACGAAAAACATTTGTCATAAGAAACTAGCTCCCTGGTATACAGAAAATACCCGAGCTTTGAAGCAAGCTTCCAGGAAATTGGAACGGAAATGGCGCCACACCAAACTGGAAGTCTTCCGATTAGCTTGGAAAGACAGTACCGTGCAGTACCGAAGAGCCCTCACTGCTGCTCGATCATCCTACTTTTCCAACTTAATCGAGGAAAATAAGAACAATCCAAAATTTCTTTTTGATACTGTTGCAAAGCTAACTAAAAAGCAGCATTCCTCAAGAGAGGATGGCTTTCACTTCAGCAGTAATAAATTCATGAACTTCTTTGAGGAAAAGATCATGACCATTAGAAAGCAAATTACGGACTCCTCTTTGAATCTGCGTATTCCTCCAGGGCTTAGCTGTCCTGGATCTGCACAGCTCTGCGAGGGCCTGGGATCGGGAGAGACACTTAAGTGTTTTAGTACTATATCTCTTGACACAATGATGAAAATAATCATGGCCTCTAAACCTTCAAGCTGCATACTGGATCCTATTCCTACTAAACTGCTGAAGGAGCTGCTTCCTGTGCTTGGCCCTCCTATGTTGAACATAATAAACAGCTCTCTATCCACCGGATGTGTACCAAACTCACTAAAAGTGGCAGTGATAAAGCCTCTCTTGAAAAAGCCAAACCTTGACCCGGAAAATATAAAAAACTAATCGGCCTATATCGAATCTTCCATTCCTCTCAAAAATTTTTGAAAAAGCTGTTGCGCAGCAACTCACTGCCTTTCTGAAGACAAACAATGTATACGAAATGCTTCAGTCTGGTTTTAGACCCCATCATAGCACTGAGACTGCACTTGTGAAGGTGGTAAATGACCTTTTAATGGCATCAGACCGAGGCTCTGCATCTGTCCTCGTGCTACTAGACCTTAGTGCTGCCTTTGACACCATCGATCACCACATTCTTTTGGAGAGACTGGAAACCCAAATTGGTCTACACGGACAAGTTCTGGCCTGGTTTAGATCTTACCTGTCGGAAAGATATCAGTTTGTCTCTGTGAATGGTCTGTCCTCCGACAAATCAACTGTACATTTCGGTGTTCCTCAAGGTTCCGTTTTAGGACCACTATTGTTTTCACTATATATTTTACCTCTTGGGGATGTTATTCGAAAACATAATGTTAACTTTCACTGCTATGCGGATGACACACAGCTGTACATTTCAATGAAACATGGTGAAGCCCCAAAATTGCCCTCGCTAGAAGCCTGTGTTTCAGACATAAGGAAGTGGATGGCTGAAAACTTTCTACTTTTAAACTCGGACAAAACAGAGATGCTTGTTCTAGGTCCCAAGAAACAAAGAGATCTTCTGTTAAATCTGACAATTCATCTTGATGGTTGTAAAGTCGTCTCAAATAAAACTGTGAAGGACCTCGGCGTTACTCTTGACCCTGATCTCTCTTTTGACGAACATATCAAGACTGTTTCAAGGACAGCTTTTTTCCATCTACGTAACATTGCAAAAATCAGAAATTTTCTGTCCAAAAATGATGCAGAAAAATTAATCCATGCATTTGTTACTTCTAGGTTAGACTACTGCAATGCTCTACTTTCCGGCTACCCGGATAAAGCACTAAATAAACTTCAGTTAGTGCTAAATACGGCTGCTAGAATCCTGACTAGAACCAAGAAATTTGATCATATTACTCCAGTGCTAGCTTCCCTACACTGGCTTCCTGTTAAGGCAAGGGCTGATTTCAAGGTTTTACTGTTAACCTATAAAGCGTTACATGGGCTTGCTCCTACCTATCTTTCCGAGTTGGTCCTGCCGTACATACCAATACGTACGCTACGGTCACAAGACGCAGGCCTCCTAATTGTCCCTAGAATTTCTAAGCAAACAGCGGGAGGCAGGGCTTTCTCCTATAGATCTCCATTTTTATGGAACAGTCTGCCTACCCATGTGAGAGACGCAGACTCGGTCTCAACCTTTAAGTCTTTACTGAAGACTTATCTCTTCAGTAGGTCATATGATTGAGTGTAGTCTGGCCCAGGAGTGTGAAGGTGAACGGAAAGGCTCTGGAGCAACGAACAGCCCTTGCTGTCTCTGCCAGGCCGGTTCCCCTCTCTCCACTGGGGTTCTCTGCCTCTAACCCTGTTACAGGGGCTGAGTCACTGGCTTGCTGGTGCTCTTTCATGCCGTCCCTAGGAGGGGTGCGTCACTTGAGTGGGTTGAGTTACTGACGTGATCTTCCTGTCTGGGTTGGCGCCCCCCCTTGGTTTGTGCTGTGGTGGAGACCTCTGTGGGCTATACTCGGCCTTGTCTCAGGATTGTAAGTTGGTGGTTGAGGATATCCCTCTAGTGGTGCGGGGGCTGTGCTTTGGCAGAGTGGGTGGGGTTATATCCTTCCTGTTTGACCCTGTCCGGGGGTTTCTTCGGATGGGGCCACAGTGTCTCCGGACCGCTCCTGTCTCAGCCTCCAGTATTTATGCTGCAGTAGTTTATGTGTCGGGGGGCTGGGGTTAGTTGGTTATACCTGGAGTACTTCTCCTGTCTTATCCAGTGTCCTGTGTGAATTTAAGTATGCTCTCTCTAATTCTCTCGTTCTCTCTTTCTCTCTGAGAACCTGAGCCCTAGGACCATACGTCAGGACTACCGGACATGATGACACCTTGCTGTCCCCAGTCCGCCTGGCCTTGCTGCTATTCCAGTCAACTGTTCTGCCTGCGGTTACGAAACCCCTACCTGTCCCAGACCTGCTGTTTTCAACTCTTAATGATCGGCTATGAAAAGCCAACTGAGAGACCTGAGCCCTAGGACCATACGTCGGGACTACCGGCCGTGGTGACTCCTTGCTGTCCCCAGTCCGCCTGGCCTTGCTGCTATTCCAGTTTCAACTGTTCTGCCTGCGGTTATGGAACCCCTACCTGTCCCAGACCTGCTGTTTTCAACTCTTAATGATCGGCTATGAAAAGCCAACTGAGATTTATTCCTGATTATTATTTGACCATGCTTGTCACTTATGAACATTTTTGAACATCTTGGCATGGTTCTGTTATAATCTCCACCCGGCACAGCCAGAAGAGGACTGGCCACCCCTCATAGCCTGGTTCCTCTCTAGGTTTCTTCCTAGGTTTTGGCCTTTCTAGGGAGTTTTTCCTAGCCACCGTGCTTCTACACCTGCATTACTAGCTGTTTGGGGTTTTAGGCTGGGTTTCTGTACAGCACTTCGAGATATTAGCTGATGTAAGAAGGGCTATATAAAATAAAATTGATTGATTGATTGAGTATTTATATTTTTTCCCCCACACCAGATACAAAACATAGTATGTTATTCATTTTAGGGATGTCCATCTAGGCCAGAAAGTATGCCTTCAGAAAGTATTCATACCCTTTGACCTTTTCCACATTTTGTTGTGTTACAGCTTGAATTTAAAATAGATTAAATTTAGATTTTGTCCTCACTAGCCTACACACAATACCCCATGATGTCAAAGTGGAAATATTTTTCCATAAAAAAAAAACCTAATTAATACAAAATAAAAAGCTAAAATGTCTTGAGTCAGTAAGTATTCAACCCCTTTGTTATCGCAAGCCTAAATAAGTTCAGGAGTAAAAATTTGCTTAACAAGTCACATAATAAGTTGCATGGATTGACTCTGTGTGCAATAATAGTGTTTAACATGATTTTTGAATGACTAGCTCATCTATGTACCCCACACATACAATTATCTGTAAGGTCCCTCAGTCGAGCAGTGAATTTCAAACACGGATTCAACCGCAAAGACCAGGGAGATTTTCTAATGCCTCGCAAAGAAGGGCACCTATTGGTAGATCGTTTTTTATTTAAAAAGCAGTCATTGACTATCCCTTTGAGCATGGTGAAGTTATTAATTACACTTTGGATGGTGTATCAATACACCCAGTCACTACAAAGATACGGGCGTCCTTCCTAACTCACTTGCCGGAGATGAAGGAAACACCAAGAGGCCAAAGATTACTTTAAAACAGTTACAGAGTTAAATGGCTGTGATGGGAGAAAACTGAGGATGGATTAACAACATACTCCACAATACTAACCTAATTGCCAGAGGAAAAAGAAGGAAGCCTATTCCTAAACATGCATCCTGCTTGCAACAAGGCACTAAAGTAATACTGCAAGAAATGTGGAAAACCAATTAACTTTTTATCTTGAATACAAAGTGTTGTGTTTGGGGCAAAGCCAATACAACACATTACTGAGTTCCACTCTCCATATTTTCAATCATAGTTGTGGCTGCATCATGGTATAGGTATGCATGTAATCGTTAAGGACTGGGGAGTTCTTCAGGACAAAAAAAAAGACATGGAATGGAGCTAAGCACATGCAAAATCACAGAGGAAAACTTGGTTCAGTCTGCTTTCCTCCAGACACTGGGAGATGAATTCACCTTTCAGCAAGACAATAACCTAAAACACAAGGCCAAATCTACACTGGAGTTGCTTACCAAGAAGATAGTGAATGTTCCTGAGTGGCCAAGTTACAGTTTTGACTTAAATCTACTTGAAAATCTATGGCAAAACCTAGAAATGGTTGTCTAGCAATGATCAACAACAAATTTGACCAAGCTTGAAGAATCTTGAAAATAATAATAATGTGCAAATGTTACACAATCCAAGTGTGGAAAGCTCTTAAAGACTTACCCAGAAAGACTCACAGCTGTAAATCGATGCCAAAGGTGCATCTACAAAGTATTAACTCAGGGGTGTGAATACTTTATGTAAATGAGATATTTTTGTATTTCATTTTCATGTTTTCACTTTGTCATTATGGGGAATTATGTGTAGATGGGTGAGAAAACAAAATCAATTTAATGAATTTTGAATTCAGGGTGTAACACAACAAAGTGTGGAATAAGTCAACAGGTATGATTCTGAAGGCACTGTACATATGAACAACAACTAACAGACACACACAAATAACGACTACATCTCATCTGTCCAGACCCGCATGCTCACACCCCCATCCCTAGTGCCTGAATTGATTGATTTCCACGTTTTTAGTATACGTTTTTTCAAGATGAGTGATGAGCAATGTTCCCTCTAAGTCGCCACGCAGAAGAAATGACAGGCTGCGCAGACACACAAGAGATTGAACTTCATCCCATTATATAGATCAATGTTTTTTCTGTGATCAAATCAACATGATAAAATCAGCCATTTGATGCAATAAACCAAAACAAATTTAGTTTGTGATTTTGTTGTAGGCAGAGCCAGAGCAGAGCCAGAGCGCAACGGAGTAGAATTCTATTGATCTTTCAATCACCTGTGAGTGAATGCGCTTTTCAGATCAGTTCAGTGCGCAGAGCCGCGCATGTGCACATTTGTTGATATTCTTTGCTAGTTAGACGAGTTATTAGCCCAGTTATAGATAAGTATAGGTCAGCAATGGGGAGTTACTGCTTCCTACAAGAGCACAAAACGTGTACGCTACATTTCAAGCTGTGTTTGTAAAGCCAGTCAGGTAAAAAGCTTATGTCTTAATTAAAGGGGCAGTGTTTGATTTTGAGACAGGCTTGAATATGCAAATAAGCCAATAGGCAGAGGGGTAACCTACATTGTCTAATTCTCTGTATGGCAATAATAATTAATTTTATTTTGTAAAGTGTTTTCTTGCATCATACAACACAATACAATTTACAATCACCTATTTGGCCCATGGTGTTACAGACCAAATAAAAAATAATTAATTAATGTCAAGACCATCATAATGTAAAAACGTTTTTTTAAAAGTTTGATGTAATGTAGGCCTGCATTGAACACCACATATAGGCTACTGTAGGCTAGATCATTGAAATCAAAAGCTATTTCTTTGTGAAACTGTTACGGGATTTGCTCCATTGGTTTGTTGGTAGGCCTACATTATGCTCAAGTAGCAACAAAAGCCTATTGGCTACTGTCTAAAACTAAGGGAACAACCTCAGGGTTCACTCTAAACGCGCGGCAGAAGTTGCAAACTTCTCACAACGTTCAAGTTTCCGCTCACAAAACAAAATATTTGAGGGAACATTGGTGATGAGAATAGAATCGTCCAGCCCATTGGGTATCTCACTACACCCCCATATGGCATGTCTTGAAATATGCAGACAGACGGATTAAAAGTAAGTTTCCATTAACCAGGTTTCCATCAAACCTTTTTATGCGAGTAAAGTACATGTCGAATACTATTTTTTATGACCGGCCGGATGGAAACAGAACATTTTTCTGTAAACTTTCCAAATGTCAACAAAACAAAATATGCTAGACAAGGTGTGATCTTTTTGTGTCAGTAAAATTAATTATGTGAGATATGCAGGTGGAAAAGCTTTGATGCGCAAATATTGATATAATAACCATCATATCGAAGTAAACTTGGAGTCACATGATGACATGTGTGGTCCTTCCACTACGACTCGGGGAAACCATTCAGTTCATTAGGCTACAGATGAAATAAATTGTGATGAACTTCACAGGGCGGTGAAAGTGCAAGGTGATGAGCTTGATGCTCCTTTCCGATAAATATCGAGGGTCTTATTCTGGTGACATGATCATCGATGCTTGGCTGCCGTTGGACAAAAACATAATCTCGCTCTTTGTCCATAATAATAATAATAATAATAATCTCATCATGTAGGCTATACGTGCGCTCTAGCCAACAGCGCGCAGATAGTGCTGGTGGCTAGAGCACACCTGCCAATACCGGAGTGGGCACACTCTCTGTAAAAAACCATCAGTAGAGTTGAAAATGTGAAGGAAACCCATTTAACTTGTCTTTTTATATAGTACATGGGAATTTAACCACAAAAGGTATTTTTATGTGCACTATGTCATCACGCACAGCCTTTTATCTGCAACAAGTCAATTTGATGGAAACATCTCCGGCGGGAAAATGTGCATACTGTTTTTATGCAGATTTTAGAATAATCTGTCGCCAATTGGACGGAAACCTAGCTATTGACAACTATTACACATACATTTCCACAATGCTTATGAAGAAGCACTTTACCTGTTCCAGCTTGGTAGCAAAGGCCACAGTAACTGACAAAACAAACAAGTCAGTGCAATGATCTTCATGTCCAATTTGGTGATATCCTTCATCCTCTTTCAGAACAGCCTCTAGTTTCTCTGGCAAAAGGTTACTCAACACAGGAGAACCTACAAAAAAAAGTGACGTTGTTAAAACACCAAATATAGCCTAATCCCCCACATTTGTTCAAGTAATATATTATAACTTATTTATGGGTACATCCCAAATGGCACCCAATTCCCTATATAGTGCACCATGTAGGGAAAAGGGAGTTATTTGGGACACAACCTATGTAGACACTCCTCACCTTGTCTTGGTGGTGCTTTTTTGGCCTTGAATCGTTCTTGTGTCAGCTCTGTTTGTTTGGTGTCATTCTCCAGTGCAATGGTGAGCAGAATGGCTGGCTTCAACTTGGTGTACTTGCTGCTTAGTAAGGGATACCATTTAGGAGCCTGGTGACAATGAAACAAGTCTGTCATCAGAATCACCTTTATTCACCAAATACATTTGTATGTACAGGAATTTGACTGGCTGAAATAGTGCTGCCACAATAAACAAAACAACATACAGATACACAAACATATACAGTGAATTCGGAAAGTATTCAGACCCCTCAAATTATTCCACATTTAGTTACGTTACAGCCTTATTTAAAAATGGATCAAATAATGTCCTCAATCTACACACAATACTCCATAATGACAAAGCGAAAACAGGCTTAGATTTTTTTGCCAACGTACTGGGAAGAATAAAACTGAAATACCTTATTTACATAAGTACAGACCCTTTGCTATGAGACTCGAAATTGAGCTCAGGTGAATCCTGTTTCCATTGATCATCCTTGAGATGTTTCTATAAGTTCATTGGAGTCCACCTGTGGTAAATTCAATTGATTGGACATGATTTGGAAAGGCACACACCTGTCTATATATAAGGTCCTACAGTTGACAGTGCATGTCAGAGCGAAAACCAAGCTATGAGGTCTAAGGAATTTTCCGTAGATCTCCGAGACAGGATTGTGTCGAGGTGCAGATCTGGGGAAGGGTACCAAAAAAATGTCTGCAGCATTGAAGGTCCCCAAGAACACAGTGGCCTCTATCATTCTTAAAATGGAAGAAGTTTGGAACCACGAAGACTCTTCCTAGAGCTGGCCGCCCGGTCAAACTGAACAAGATTATCTGGTCATGCTTCACGGTGGGAACTACACATGCTGAGATCATCCGTTCACCTACGCTGCGTCTCACAAAGACACAGCAGTTGGAACCAAAAATCTCAAATTTTTACTCCAGACCAAAGGACAGATTTCCAACGGTCTAATGTCCATTGCTCGTGTTTCAAGGCCCAATCAAGTATCTTCTTATTGGTGTCTTCTGTATACCCCCGGTGAGACCAAAATTGAGCTATTTGGCATCAACTCAACTCGCCGTGTTTGGAGGAGGAGGAATACTGCCTATGACCCCAAGAACACCATCTCCACCGTCAAACATGGAGGTGGAAACATTATGCTTTGGGGGTGTTTTTCTGCTAAGAGGACAGGACAACTTCACCGTATCAAAGGGACGATGGACGGGGCCATGTACCGTCAAATCTTGGGTGAGAACCTCCTTCCCTCAGCCAGGGCATTGAAAATGGGTCGTGGATGGGTATTCCAGCATGACAATGACCCAAAACACACGGCCAAGGCAACAAAGGGAGTGGCTCAAGAAGAAGCACATTAAGGTCCTGGAGTGGCCAATCCCATAGAAAATCTGTGGAGGGAGCTGAAGGTTCGAGTTGCCAAACGTCAGCCTCGAAACCTTAATGACTTGGAGAAGATCTGCAAAGAGGAGTGGGACAAAATCCCTCCTGAGATGTGTGCAAACCTGGTGGCCAACTACAAGAAACGTCCGACCTCCGTGATTGCCAACAAGGGTTTTGCCACCAAGTACTAAGTCATATTTTGCAGAGGGGTCAAATACTTATTTCCCTCATTAAAATGCAAATCAATTTATAACATTTTTGACATGCCTTTTTCTGGATTTGTTTGTTTTATTTTGTCTCTCAATATTCAAATAAACCTACCATTAAAATTATAGACTGATCATTTCTTTGTCAGTGGGCAAACGTAAAAAATCAACAGGGTATCAAATATTATTTTCCCTCACTGTATGTATGTATGTATGTATGTATGTATGTATGTATGTATGTATGTATGTATGTATGTATGTACAGTGGGGAGAACAAGTATTTGATACACTGCCAATTTTGCAGGTTTTCCTACTTACAAATCATGTAGAGGTCTGTAATTTTTATCATAGGTACACTTCAACTGTGAGAGACGGAATCTAAAACAAAAATCCAGAAAATAACATTGTATGATTTTTAAGTAATTCATTTGCAATTTATTGCATGACATAAGTATTTGATCACCTACCAACCAGTAAGAATTCCGGCTCTCACAGATGGCCATTGGCAAACTTCAGACGGGCCTGGACATGCGCTGGCTTGAGCAGGGGGACCTTGCGTGCGCTGCAGGATTTTAATCCATGACGGCGTAGTGTGTTACTAATGGTTTTCTTTGAGACTGTGGTCCCAGCTCTCTTCAGGTCTTTGACCAGGTCCTGCCGTGTAGTTCTGGGCTGATCCCTCACCTTCCTCATGATCATTGATGCCCCACGAGGTGAGATCTTGCATGGAGCCCTAGACCAAGGGTGATTGACCGTCATCTTGAACTTCTTCCATTTTCTAATAATTGCGCCAACAGTTGTTGCCTTCTCACCAAGCTGCTTGCCTATTGTCCTGTAGCCCATCCCAGCCTTGTGCAGGTCTACAATTTTATCCCTGATGTCCTTACACAGCTCTCTGGTCTTGGCCATTGTGGAGAGGTTGGAGTCTTTTTGATTGAGTGTGTGGACAGGTGTCTTTTATACAGATAACAAGTTCAAACAGGTGCAGTTAATACAGGTAATGAGTGGAGAACAGGAGGGCTTCTTAAAGAAGAAGAAACAGGTTTGTGAGAGCCGGAATTCTTACTGGTTGGTAGGTGATCAAATACTTATGTCATGCAATAAAATGCAAATTAATTACTTAAAAATCATACAATGTGATTTTCTGGATTTTTATATTCCGTCTCTCACAGTTGAAGTGTACCTATGATAAAAATTACAGACCTCTACATGCTTTGGAAGTAGGAAAACCTGCAAAATCGGCAGTGTATCAAATACTTGTTCTCCCCACTGTACATCCACAGGTACACCTCCAATTGACTCAAATTATGTCAATTTGCCTATCAGAAGCTTCTAAAGCCATGACATCATTTTCTGGAATTTGCCAAGCTGTTTAAAAAGGCACAGTCAAACTTAGTGTCTGTAAACAATTGTTGGAAAAATTACTTGTGACTTGCCATAACTATATTTTGTTAACAAGAAATGTATGGAGTGGTTGAAAAAACGAGTTTTAATGACTCCAACATAAGTGTATGTAAACTTCCGACTTCAACTGTATAAATAAGACACAGAAATTACACAATCCACATACAGTATGTTATGTGACATTCTGTCAAAATACTGACTTTCAAGAGTTCAAGCTAACTTTGTACGTTCTTCAGACATAAGATCTGGTGCCAGGACAACAACCTCTCCCTCAACGTCAGCAAGACAAAAGAGCTGATCATGGACTACAGGAAACCGAGGTGTGAGAACGCCCCCCCATCCACATCGATGGGGCTGTAGTGGAGCGGGTCGAGAGCTTCAAATTCGTCGGTGTCCACATCACTAAGAAATTAACATGGTCCACACACACCCAGACAGTTGTGAAGAGGGCATGTCAGTGCCTCTTCCCCCTCAGGAGGCTGAAAAGATTTAGGCATTCAGATCCTCAAAAAGTTATACAGCTGCAACATTGAGAGTATCTTGACAGGCTGCATCACCGCTTGGTACAGCAACTGCAAGGCACCCGACCACAAGGCACCACAGAGGGTGGTGAGCACAGCCCAGTACATCACTAGGGCCATGCTCCCTGCCATCCAGGACCTCTACACCAGGTGGTGTCAGAGGAAGGCCCAAAAAATTGTCAAAGGCTCCAGTCACCCAATCTACCGCACAACAATCTGTACCAGTGCACAAAGTCTGGAACCAACAGGACCTTGAACAACTTCTAACAACTTCTACCCTCAAGCCATAAGACTACTAAACAAGACTGCTAAATAGCTAATCAAATGGCTACCCGGACTACCTGTATTTACCCTCTTTTCCACTGACTAGGAACACACACTGGACTCTACCCACACACTCACACATACTTACACTAACATCCCAACACGCACTACACTACATACGCCCACACACATGCATACTGACGCCATACACACATTCACACTCACCACATACGCTGCTGCTACTGTCTATTATCTATCCTGTTGTCTAGTCACTTACCCCATACCTATAGCTACCTCAATTACCTCATACCCCTGCACATCGACTCGGTACTGGTAGTCCCTGTATATAGCCATGTTATTTTTACTCATGATTGTTTTTCACTGTGTATTTATTCCTTGTGTCACTATTTCTATTTTGTATTTATTTCAACTCTGCATAGTTCACTGTTAGTCTACACCTGCATGTGACAGATACAATTTAATTTGATCTTCAATGTATGAAACGTAATCTAGCTAAAAGCAGGTATCACGTTTCTAGCTAACATCTTGAAGGAGCAGAATGACAGAAGGGCGATATTCAGAGAAGTCCTGAGGAGCTCACCTGTTTGATTTCTTGCACAGATCTTAAATCAAGAATAATATATCCAACACACTCTTTCACAGATGTGGTAGTATCAACAGCATAGCACTGTAGTTTGATGGGTGTGCGCTGGAGTCTGGGGGTACAGAACATTGACATTACAATCTTCAGTCGCGTGCATGTGTACTAGTAGTAGCCTAATACATCAGCAATCAAGGTGCATAACTGCAGGGAAATGTACCATCATAAAAGTAAAACCAAGTAACTGGGCATCAATAGTATCTGGAGAGAATGTATGTAGTTATGAATGACCTGTGCTGGTGCAGGGTCCTGCGATCAAGTTCCCAGGCCAACTCTGTGCAGAACTGAGGCTGCTCCTTGTGATCAACAGGGTCTGTAGCCAACTGCTCCCCATCAAACTTTGCATGTACTATAAGGTCGTGGCGCTGGCTCTTTGGGAATTGACGACCTGGGTCGGGCAAAATAGATTTCAAACAGACTTGCTTGTAGCTTATGTGGCATTTAAGAATGTGCTTAGCTAACTATACATCTTGGCTAGCTATCTAACCAACAATTTCAATAAGAAGCTTATCAGCTAGCAACATGTAGCTAGCTAGTTAGCTATAGTTAACAGTTAACTAGCTAACGTTAGCTAAAGTTACAAGATAGCTAGCTAGCTAGCTAACTAGCTAGCTACGTTAACGTTGCATAAACAAAAGGGGGAAGATTAGCTAGCTAGCCATCAGTATCTTTGGGCTGACGTTTTCTACAATAAATACACGTGGCACATATTTTAGAACTAGATAACTAGCCTAGTAAATAAGGAAAACATACCAGACAGATTGACTTTGACCTACCTTCAAGGATGGACACCACGATGAGAAGTTGGTCGGATTTCGATGTCATAATGACATTTGTGTAACTTAGACTGGCTAGTTAGCTGACTAGCTAGTTTTATTTTTCTAACAAAGTGTATCTGGTTGTCTTGCTAAACTTGTAGATAACTGACTTATCTAGCAATAGCTGTCATAAATATGTTTCACCAGTGAGAGTCTGCCCGTTGCATACCCCGCTTTGTTGTTATTATTTGCCGCCACCCCTTTCAATCGGAAGCGTAGAATGAGACCTCGGGTGTATTCATTTCTAGATTATGTTACAAAACGTTTATTCTGTTGCTAAACGTTTTGCAACAAGAAGTTTACTCCAAACGGAAAACGTTTTGGAACGAAAAGGAGAGTTTCTATTGGACAAATTCAGGTAGGTCCCTCTCCGTTTCGTTCCGTTTGCAGAATCGCGTAAAGCCTCATGTCCACAGATACATTACATTCTTTGCGTTCTGGCGGAAGTTATTCATTGTCAATTTTTTTCTCCAACTTTATTTAACCAGGTAAGCCATTTGAGAACAAGTTCTCATTTACAACTGCGACCTGGCCAAGATAAAGCAAAGCAGTGCGATAAAAACAACAACACAGAGTTACATATTGGGTAAACAAAGCATAAAGTCAAAAATACAACAAAAAATATATATACAGTGTGTGCGAATGTAGTAAGTTGGAGGTAAGGCAATAAATAGGCCATAGTGCAAAGTAGTTACAATTTCGTATTAACACTGGAATGATAGATGTGCAAAATATTATGTGCAAATAGAGATACTGGGGTGCACATTACCAAAATAAATAACAATATGGGGCTGAGGTAGTTGGGTGGGCTAATTTCAGAATGGCTGTGTACAGGTGCAGTGATCGGTAAGCTGCTCTGACAACTGTTGCTTAAAGTTAGTGAGGGAGATAAGAGTCTCCAGCTTCAGAGATTTCTGCAGTTCGTTCCAGTCATTGGCAGCAGAGAACTGGAAGGAATGGCAGCCAAAGGAGGTGTTGGCTTTGTGGATGACCAGTGAGATATACCTGCTGGAGCGCATACTACGGGTGGGTGTTGCTATGGTGACCAGTGAGCTAAGATAAGACTGGGATTTGCCTAGCAGTGATTTATAGATGACCTGGAGCCAGTGGGTTTGGCAACGAATATGTAGTGAGGGCCAGCCAACAAGAGCGTACAGGTCACAATGGTGGGTTGTATATGGGGCTTTGGTGACAAAACAGATGGCACTGTGATAGACTACATCCAATTTGCTGAGTAGAGTGTTGGAGGCTATTTTGTAAATGACATCGCCGAAGTCAAGGATCGGTAGGATAGTCAGTTTTACGAGGGCATGTTTGGCAGCATGAGTGAAGGAGGCTTTGTTGCGAAATAGGAAGCTGATTCTAGATTTAACTTTTGATTGGAGATGCTTAATGTGAGTCTGGAAGGAGAGTTTACAGTCTAACCAGACACCTAGGTATTTGTAGTTGTCCACATACTCTAGGTCAGACCCGCCGAGAGTAGTGATTCTAGTCGGGTGGGCGGGTGCAAGCAGCGTTCGGTTGAAATGAAGCAGTCTGCCACACTACGTTGGTGATGCAGCGGTGCGTTCTGTGTGCCGCAAAAATGCAATATTTTCAACTCCTGTGTTGTTGCTTTACCATGCGGTGGTACAAACAGAAGTTCATAAACAGTCATATAAACAGTCAATCCAGTTAGCTAGCTATCTAACTACAAAGCTAACCACTTTGCTAGATAGCTTAGCTAATTGCCAGCACCTAGCTTCCACTTTCCAGCTAATTATTTCACATTCAACTGACCAGGTAATTAATCATATTGGCAGTGTCTCCATGCATCATTTTTAGCATGGAGATCCAGGTAGCAATCAACGCTTTGGTTGAACATGGCAGAGAACCCAGAGACAGCAAAAAATGACCTTCTCCATGCTGCAAACCTTTCTGTAGCCTTGCGGATATATGCATCTGGTGGACATCAGGCATAGGTTAGTGGAAACTAAAACTGCCCTCAGAACATGCTGCTACTCATCTTCGCTGATTGGTCAATTCACAGCGCTGGTAAACCCTTGTTTTTGATTGGCTAGCTTTGCGAGTTGCACATAGCTAGCTTCACCAGCATGTTGAGCCTGAAGGGAATCCCGCTGGTGGTGCGAAATGGTTTTACCTCATGAATAAATTATGAGGTATACTATAGGCATAGTTAAATGTTTCCAGTCTGCCGTGAAGCATTCATCCATGTATACGGGTAAGAGTCTAGCTACATTTTCTAATATTATACGTTTCAAATTTTGTCAGAAAGTCATTTTCATTGCAAGTTAAAGCGTACTGTTCACTAGCGAACGTTAGCTTGCTGGCTTGCTAGCTAACGTTACATGTATGATCTGTGTAGTAATATTATTTGAATCAGAAATCCATTGGGATTGCTAGTTATAGCCTAATGTTAGCTAGCTAACATTTAATCTAGTTGGTTAGCTATTTAGCTACCTGCAGATTCATACTACAGCTATGACAATGTGTGTATTGGTAGCAGTATGAGTTGGGATTTTGCCGGTTCATTGTTTAGCTAGCTACATGTCTAGACAATAGTGACCTATCCACTTAGCTACATTTACATTTACGTCATTTAGCAGACGCTCTTATCCAGAGCGACTTACAAATTGGTGCATTCACCCTATAGCCAGTGGGATAACCACTTTACAATTTTTTTTAATTTTGTTAAATTTTTTACTTTTTTATTTGGGGGGGGGGGTAGAAGGATTACTTTATCCTATCCCAGGTATTCCTTAAAGAGGTGGGGTTTCAAATGTCTCCGGAAGGTGGTGAGTGACTCCGCTGTCCTGGCGTCGTGAGGGAGCTTGTTCCACCATTGGGGTGCCAGAGCAGCGAACAGTTTTGACTTGGCCTGAGCGGGAACTATGCTTCCGCAGAGGAAGGGGAGCCAGCAGGCCAGAGGTGGATGAACGCAATGCCCTCGTTTGGGTGTAGGGACTGATCAGAGCCTGAAGGTACGGAGGTGCCGTTCCCCTCACTGCTCCATAGGCAAGCACCATGGTCTTGTAACGGATGCGAGCTTCAACTGGAAGCCAGGGGAGTGTGCGGAGGAGGGGGGTGACGTGAGAGAACTTGGGAAGGTTGAACACCAGACGGGCTGCGGCATTCTGGATGAGTTGTAGGGGTTTAATGGCACAGGCAGGGAGCCCAGCCAACAGCGAGTTGCAGTAATCCAGACGGGAGATGACAAGTGCCTGGATTAGGACCTGTGCCGCTTCCTGTGTAAGGCAGGGTCGTACTCTCCGAATGTTGTAGAGCATGAACCTGCAGGATCGGGTCACCGCCTTGATGTTAGCGGAGAACGACAGGGTGTTGTCCAGGGTCACGCCAAGGCTCTTCGTACTCTGGGAGGAGGACACAACGGAGTTGTCAACCGTGATGGCGAGATCATGGAACGGGCAGTCCTTCCCCGGGAGGAAGAGCGTATTGCCTGCCTTGTGAGTAGGGGGGGACGGTGAGAGGGTGAGGTCAAAAGAGGAGAGGAGTGGAAAGAAGGAGGCAGAGAGAAATGAGTCAAATGTAGACGTAGGGAGGTTGAAATCACCCAAAACTGTGAAGGGTGAGCCATCCTCAGGAAAGGAACTTATCAAGGCGTCAAGCTCATTGATGAACTCTCCAAGGGAACCTGGAGGGCGATAGATGACAAGGATATTAAGCTTAAATGGGCTAGTGACTGTGACAGCGTGGAATTCAAATGAGGAGATAGACAGATGGGTTAGGGGAAAAATTGAGAATGACCACTTGGGAGAGATGAGGATTCCTGTGCCACCATCCCTCTGACCAGATGCTCTCGGGGTATGCGAGAACACATGGTCAGACGAGGAGAGAGCAGTAGGAGTAGCAGTGTT